GCTGCCCCTGGTGACTGATCCAAGATCACAGCCCCGCCGTTCGCGCCGTTGAACACACTAGAGTGTTGATGTGGCTGGTCTAAAGGTTGATGTCAGCTCGCGCAATGATTCCCGGGTCTTTCAGGTCATCCGGTCCCCCTCGATTACCTCATTCTATCCATCCTCAACCCGTCGTGTATCAAGCTCATGGATAAAGTCATGGTCAGTGATGATGAATGGCAGTCACCGTCCGAGCATTCATCTGGTTCCCTGGTTTTCCGGGTAAATCACCAGTCCTGTAGCATGTGCTACACATTCTGATCTAAGAACTCTATCCTCCATGCATTGACTACGAAATTGCGCAAGAGCAGCTCTCTGGGTCGCTTCCATCCTGTCGGGACACCCCGGCGCTTGCTCAGACATCAGGGTTGGTGCTTTCTACCCGATATCCCCCCGATCATCGATATACTCACCTTCAGGTGGGTAGCGGTGCAGCATCTTCTGCATGGACAGGGTTCCAAACCTGTCACTCTTGAATTACTCCACCAGTGAGGTACTTCGATGTGCTCGCAAAAGACACGAAATGTCTCCCGAAAGCGTGGTACCTAGATCAAGACTCTAAAGAGCTGAGGTGAATTCTCGACTTGGCCCATCGACAAGTGACAAATCGACCTCACTGGCCCTTGCACTGACGGATGTTGATCTTGGACCTCCATCCTCTATTGCCGTGTAGTTTACTCTTCAAGTTTAGCGCCCTTGATGAGAGGAAGTGCGCGTACCCGAGAACCTCGGGGATTGGCTGGATATTGGAAAGGGAATCATCACCCACCCGCCATTGCCGCAGTGTTGGAAGTCAACGGGTTATCGTGCAAACGTACCTTGTCCAGGCCCGAGCGGCACTTGTCGAGCTCGGCACTAGGCAATAGGCATTGATTCAAGCTTGTTGGCCTTTCCGAGAGGCTAGCGCGTAGCCGTAGAACTGTACACTTCACATTGTACAAGTGTACATGGTAGCTGAAGGACATCCATTTTGACAAGAGGCAGTAGATCCTACGGTTCCTACCTGCGACCTGGAAAAAACCCACCGCTTTCATGGTCCACCGCTTTTGTCGTGGAGGTTGGTGCTTGAATGTTCAAGGCAGACCTACCTCCATATAGCTGAGGTATCTCGCACATGATGCGTATGCTTGGTTATCATGATTCTGACGCAAATATGTCTCAATGATAGCCCTGCTGACGAAGATGCATCGGCCGCGACTCGGTGACGCTTGGAATCCCCACCAGCCGCACGGGGATTTGTTCCTTCTGGTAACGTGATACGGTGATCCCCGATCCCGTGAGCCGCCCAACGGGATGAGCCAGCCACATCAACGCATCAACTTTGAATTCAATTTGCGCAACCAAAATCTCGAATGGTGTACATTTGACGATGGGGACATCGATTAACCCTACGGCCAACCTCCCTACAGCCACTACACCTCTGCGGAGTGCGGACCCCTTGGTGCGTGCGTGGTCGGCGTTCCTGCCCGCTGATCATGCGGCTGCATCTACCTTCCACCCTCTCTGGCTAATTTCTTGCGCCCAACAGATTCAGAGCCTCCTGAATCAATAGTCCCCCCTTCGTGTAGGAATCAGCGCCTCGATCTTGATGCTTTTGACGGTCTTTCTGGCCTTAGCCGCGAGTAGAGCCGGCTTTTCTTTCTGTTTGATACATCCTTGATGATCGCCTTTTGCAAGTTTATCTACTAGTTCCCCTTTTAATCAGAGTAGTAGGTCTGAAGTCATAGCAGATTAAAAATAAAACACGAAGCTACCTCTTAACCTAAGCCGTCGTCCCACGCGTCTCCGGCTCTATCTGACTAGATCTGGTACCTTGTATTGAACTATTGATCTTAGCTACGGGATGGTTATGGCGGATTGCGCGCTTGGTGGCTACGCGGAGCCGTAGCCAGCCGTCAAGCCGCAAGCCGTAACGCGATTCTAGTCTTTTGGCTTGTTTGGTGAATAGACCCGGCTATTTCCCATGACAGTGTCGGCCTAGGGCATTGTCTAGCCTATCCCAGAGATAGTGGGCATTATGTGTATTGTTTTCACTTTTCAGGGGGTCCAGGCAAATGAGAAGAGACGGGCATACCTGGGAGGAGATGGAAACCTGATCTTAGATTCAGATATGCCTCCACTGGAACATCGGGCAGACTGGGACAAAATCGCCCGGGCCTCTCCCGTTGTTCAAAGTATATATTTCACCGACTGTGAAATATCCCCGGGAGAGTCACGATCACGGTCTAGTATGATCGGATCGCGCTTCCCCCACTACCATCATGGATCTTGTCCAAGAGATAACGTACTTTGAACCTAATACCCGCCAGAGCTGGAAAGTCAGCTAGTCTAGTCCACTGCTTGTACTATACCAAGCCGCGACGTCAGTAAGGGGAAGGGAACTTTCAAACCAGCCCATGGAATGGATGAACAAGCCTGGGTTGCAGTTTGAAGTGGTCCCAAGTTGACTTAGTGCCACAGACAATTCTGAAGACAAATGTTGAGATGACTTTCAAGCTGCACATCCGCCTAGTCGAGTATTCGATTGATGCAGGTTCCTGATATGTGGCAAGCCTTAGGTACGTACTGACCTACAAGCCTGGAGTCCGTATTCAAGATAGGCCCAAGTTCACTCGGCGGGTCGAAGGTTACTTGGCCGCCGGGTTGGCTCCGGACTCACGCCATCTGAGGAAGCTGAAGGGTCTCCAAAGGCAAATTGATGAAGTGCACATAATCTGCAACCCCTGTCGGAAGTCAAGGCGAGTCGATGCGCCCGTTCCATTGTAATGGTATACGATTCCACTGGGGAGTTTCACGACTCTCCCGAGTCAAGTTCTGGACTCCACGCCCCGAAATTTGAATCTCGACCACAGATAATAGCGGTCAGTCAGGCATAGCTTTAGAACCGCTGGTCGATGGGCAACTCGTCCCAGGTGTCGAGTAGTTGCATCTGGTCATTTCAAACTCAAAATAGAATCATGGCTTTTCCGTAGTCCCACGTGTTGCGGTGTGACGTGATGGTCAACTACAGTACACACTACACAAGTACACAGACATTCATTGCAATAGGGGGCGTTGGAACATGTTCCCTAGACACGCAGCGTTGAGATTGTTCAGGGTCAAAGAGATTGGTAGGGCATCGAAAGCAGCGGCTGCAGCACCGAGTCAAAGCCGTCCGATGGCGATAGAGAGAGGGTCGGATATTGATGGAATGACCTCCAAATGCTTGCCCTCGTCCGGTCGATGATATTTGTTCCAGGCCTGGAGAATGAAGTATTGCCCATTTTCCGGAATGCAAGGCGTTGAGCTTGGGGTATCTGCTGGGGCTCGACAAATTATTTACAGACGCTGAAAATGCCTACGTTCGACTACGAGCCAGTTCCAGTCAATCGGCGACCATGTCCGACTGTACGTGGCAGACAAGTCGCATACGGGCTGAGCGACTGAATCCAACGGCGCCTGGACATTATGGAGACTGAAAACCTGGATAGCGAGAAGTTGTGGTATAATGCCGGACGAGTCGCAGCGCAAGACATGGGACGAGAGTGGTTGGAAACATTTCGTGCAAGTATCATGAAGGAAGTAAGAAGGTTGGGTTTCATTGGCTTAGACTCGGCTCATTTCAGGGTGAGCTCGAGCGCTAGCGGTTCCTGTTGATCCTTTTTTAGATTCTATAAGAACCATCTCATTTTTCCATATCGTTCGCTCCTCAAAAGACCAACACCGACGAAAACAGACATTGCTTAGCGCTTGCCAGCAGCCTTCTCCTGGGACTCCTTGAGGACCTTCTTGACGATCTTCTGCTCCTCGATCAGGAAGGCGCGGACAATGCGGTCCTTGACGCAGCCAGCGCAGCGGGAACCACCGTAGGCACGGCTGACGTTCTTCTTGGGGCGGGAGATCTGAGCGTACTCGCGGGGACGGAGGGCGGGGACCTAGAGGTTGAACATGGTCAATTTGAAAAGTTCGCTTTAAATGGGGGGAAAAATCCACACAGGCGAGAGCAGTAGTGCGAGTTATGGGAATGACTCTCAGGAACGCGGGATTCGTGTCCATTGTGTGCAGGACAACGATTTTTTCATCTCCCCGTTTTTCAAGCGCCACCGATGCGCGCGAAGTCGTTCCAGAGTCCCTTCGCTCATCACACCCATCACTCGCAATACTGTGCAAACGCCCGTACCAGACGTAGAACTCAGGAAGCACTCACACCGGGGAGCTTGATGCCACAGTCACCGCACTTGGGAGCAGTACCCTTCTTCTTCAGGTGAAGGTACCGGAGCTCACCACCAGGGGTCTTGATGATGCGAACCTTGTTGGACCGCGTGTTGTACCTGTCAAGCGTAATTTCGTCAATAGAATGTCCCCAAGGTCGACGGATGGTGCGCAGAATGCCCAGTGAAGGCATGGAGTTGATCGTTGCGGGCGGGATGAGGGCATTGTGCGAAAAGTAAGAATTTTCGAGGTAACGTACGGGTTCCGGCGGCGCTGCAGAGCGGAAACCAGTCAATATGCGCGATTCAATCGAATTCTGTGTCGTCGTTTTCACTCACGTATTGCAGTCTGTTGTTAGGCATTTTGGCGTCTTTGAACCTCTGCGGTGGTCAAGGGCGGCGGTTGTCGTTCGTCGGGTTGTAGACGATAAAATGTCTAGACGGACGGATTTGTGTGGGTTTGGCTCTAGCGCACATTTGGCGAGTCCGCACTAGTCCGCTTTTGGAATAGCGCCATCTGGACTGCCGCCACCTGAAACTTCAAGCAAAGGAGCAAGACTTCATTGCGAGAAGTGTCATTAGTCGTGGGTACTTTACTCCATCTCTTGACATCGGCAGAGCTATTGAGACTTATTCGCAAGGACGCTGTCAGTTTCGGTCCTCCAGTATTGTGTCCAAAGTCGATGGTTATTCACGTGATCTGGACGCGACTTTGAGCTCAACTCACATCTAAGGGAGGGTGGGTTTACTCCCCCATCAACCACCAACACGATGGCATCTTTGCCTCCTCCACCTCCTCCAGGATGGGGTGCAGCTCCTCCTTCGATGACGATGGCACCGCCGCCTCCGGGATATCAGCCACCAGCCGATCCAAACGTCGCGAAGTTCGCTCAGAAGAAGCATGAGTGGTTGCGCACGCAGCGCAAACGCTTCGGCGAGAAGCGGAAGGCTGGATTTGTCGAGACACAGAAGGCAGACATGCCGCCAGAGCATCTGCGGAAGATCGTCAAAGACATTGGTGATGTGTCGCAAAGAAAATACACCAACGAGAAGCGCAGTTACCTTGGCGCCTTGAAGTTTATGCCACACGCGGTCCTCAAGCTCCTAGAGAATATGCCGATGCCTTGGGAGTCGGCTCGTGAAGTGAAGGTTCTCTATCATGTCAACGGATGCTTAACAATTGTCAATGAAACGCCACGCGTCATTGAGCCCGTGTTTCACGCCCAGTGGGCTACAATGTGGATGTGCATGCGTCGCGAGAAAAGTGATCGACGCCACTTCAAGCGGATGCGCTTCCCTCCATTCGACGACGAGGAGCCTCCACTCTCGTGGTCGGAAAACATTGAAGACGTTGAGCCTCTAGAGCCGATTCAAATGGAGTTGGATGAGGATGAAGATGGTGCTGTCTACGAATGGTTTTACGATCATCGACCTCTCCTCGACACACCTCATGTCAACGGACCAAGCTACAAAACTTGGAATCTCTCCCTGTCGCAGATGGCTACTCTCCACCGTCTGAGCCACCAGCTGCTCAGCGACGTCGTGGATCAAAATTACTTCCACATGTTCGATTTGAACAGCTTCTTCACAGCCAAAGCGTTGAACGTGGCTATTCCCGGCGGTCCGCGTTTCGAGCCTTTGTACAAAGACATCGACCCGAACGATGAAGACTTCAGCGAATTCAACGCCATCGACCGCATCATTTTCCGCGCTCCTATCCGAACCGAGTATCGCGTGACCTTCCCCTTCCTATACAACACTCTCCCTCGCAGCGTCAAAGTCGCTTGGTACTCCCATCCTCAAGTGGTCTACGTCCGTACCGAAGATCCGAACCTCCCTGCGTTCTATTTCGACCCGGTCATCAACCCTATCTCCTCCCGCTCTGTCGCTCCCAAGAACATCACAATCAGTCATGAGGATGAGATTTTCGGCATTGGCAATAACGAGGATGAATTCGAGCTTCCAGACGAGGTAGAGCCTTTCTTCGATGATGAAGATTTATACACCCCTGACACTGCTTCGGCAATTGCTTTGTGGTGGGCTCCTCATCCCTTCGACAAGCGATCTGGCAAGATGGTTCGCGCACAAGATGTACCCTTGGTCAAACAGTGGTACTTGGAGCACTGCCCACAGGGTCAGCCTGTCAAAGTGCGCGTTTCTTACCAGAAGTTGCTGAAAACTTATGTTTTGAATGAATTGCACAAAAATAAGCCTAAGCCTCAGAGCAAACAGAATCTTCTCAAGACCCTGAAGACAACAAAATTCTTCCAGCAGACCACGATTGACTGGGTTGAGGCTGGTCTGCAAGTCTGCCGACAAGGTTTCAACATGTTGAATCTGTTGATCCACCGCAAGAACCTGACCTACCTGCACCTTGACTACAACTTCAATTTGAAGCCCGTCAAGACCTTGACCACTAAAGAGCGCAAGAAGTCGCGCTTCGGCAATGCATTCCATTTGATGCGTGAAATTCTCAGGTTGACCAAATTGATCGTCGATGCTCAGGTTCAGTATCGACTTGGTAATATTGATGCCTTCCAGCTGGCTGATGGTATCTTGTATGCCTTCAACCACGTGGGTCAACTTACCGGCATGTATCGGTACAAGTACAAGTTGATGCATCAAATTCGCTCTTGCAAGGACTTGAAGCACTTGATCTATTATCGCTTCAATTCAGGACCAGTGGGCAAAGGCCCGGGCTGCGGTTTCTGGGCTCCTGCATGGCGCGTGTGGCTGTTCTTCATGCGCGGAATTATTCCTCTACTGGAGAGATGGCTTGGAAACTTGCTTTCTCGTCAGTTCGAGGGTCGTCACAGCAAAGGTGTTGCGAAAACAGTTACCAAGCAGCGAGTCGAGTCCCACTTTGATCTTGAACTGCGTGCATCCGTTATGGCTGACTTGATGGATATGATGCCCGAAGGAATCAAGCAGAACAAGGTCAATGTTGTGTTGCAGCATTTGTCTGAAGCTTGGAGATGCTGGAAGAGTAACATACCTTGGAAGGTTCCCGGTCTTCCTGCTCCTATCGAGAACATTATCCTGCGATATGTGAAGAGCAAGGCTGATTGGTGGATTTCTGTCGCCCATTACAACCGAGAGCGAATTCGCCGCGGTGCGACTGTTGACAAGACAGTTGCCAAGAAGAATCTCGGACGCTTGACTCGTCTTTGGCTAAAGTCAGAGCAAGAGCGCCAGCATAATTACCTGAAAGACGGTCCTTATGTATCCTCCGAGGAGGCTGTTGCCATCTACACCACAATGGTTCACTGGCTCGAGTCCCGCAAGTTTTCGCCAATTCCCTTCCCTAGTGTCTCATATAAGCATGATACCAAGATTCTCATCCTTGCACTTGAGCGCCTTCGCGAATCTTACTCTGTCAAGGGTCGATTGAATCAAAGCCAGCGTGAGGAACTTGCCCTCATTGAGCAAGCTTATGACTCTCCAGGAACAACGCTTGCGAGGATCAAGCGATTCCTTCTCACACAGCGTGCGTTTAAGGAGGTCGGTATTGACATGAACGACAATTACAACAATATCAACCCTGTGTACGATATTGAGCCAATTGAGAAGATCACCGATGCGTACCTGGACCAGTACCTCTGGTATCAGGCTGAGCAGCGCCACCTCTTCCCAGCCTGGATCAAGCCATCAGACTCTGAGGTTCCTCCTCTTTTGACATACAAGTGGACGCAAGGAATCAACAACTTGTCCAATGTGTGGGAGACAGCAGATGGCGAGACGAACGTGATGATTGAGACCGAGCTATCAAAGGTCTACGAGAAGATTGATCTCACCCTTCTCAACCGCATGCTTCGCCTCATCATGGATCACAACCTTGCGGATTACATCACTTCGAAGAACAATGTGCAGCTCAGTTACAAAGATATGAACCACACCAACAGCTATGGCCTTATCCGTGGCCTCCAGTTCTCTGGGTTCGTATTCCAATACTATGGACTGATGATTGATCTCTTGCTTCTTGGCCTTCAGCGAGCCAGCGAAATGGCGGGACCCCCTCAGAGCCCCAACGACTTTTTGCAGTTCCGCGATAAAGCCACCGAGACTCGTCACCCTATCCGTCTCTACACCCGTTATGTTGATAAGATTTGGGTCTTCTTCCGATTCCAAGCAGATGAGTCCCGCGACCTCATCCAAAGATTCCTCACTGAGAATCCCGATCCCAACTTTGAAAACGTCATCGGATATAAGAATAAGAAATGCTGGCCGCGTGACTGTCGCATGCGCTTGATGCGTCACGATGTCAATCTTGGTCGTGCTGTTTTCTGGGATCTCAAGAATCGTCTTCCACGTTCGATCACTACCATTGATTGGGATGACACCTTTGCCAGCGTTTATAGCAAGGACAACCCCAATCTGCTCTTCTCCATGAATGGATTTGAAGTGCGAATTCTTCCTAAGATCCGCAATCAAAATGAAGAGTTCTCGGTCAAGGATAGCGTCTGGTCCCTTGTGGACAGCTCGACTAAGGAACGCACCGCCCACGCCTTCCTTCAGGTCACCGAAGAAGACATTCAGAAATTCAACAACCGCATTCGCCAGATTCTGATGTCTTCGGGATCGACTACCTTCACGAAGATTGCGAACAAGTGGAACACAGCGTTAATCGCGTTGTTCACCTACTACCGCGAGGCTGCTGTTTCGACCGTAAATCTCCTGGACACGATTGTGAAGTGCGAGACGAAGATTCAGACTCGTGTGAAGATAGGCCTCAATTCGAAAATGCCTTCGCGTTTCCCGCCTGCCGTCTTCTATACGCCAAAGGAACTCGGAGGATTGGGTATGATCTCTGGATCTCACATTCTTATTCCCACGAGCGATAAACGCTGGTCGAAGCAGACTGACACTGGAATTACTCACTTCCGCGCTGGTATGTCTCACGATGAAGAGACATTGATTCCCAACATCTTCCGGTATATCATCCCCTGGGAGGCGGAGTTCATTGATTCCCAGCGCGTGTGGATGGAGTATTCGCAGAAGCGTCTGGAGGCCCAGCAGCAGAATCGCCGCTTGACGCTTGAAGATCTCGAGGACAGCTGGGATCGTGGTCTACCCCGTATAAACACCCTGTTCCAGAAAGATCGCAGTACCCTCAGCTTCGATAAGGGCTTCCGACTCCGGGCTGAATTCAAGCAATATCAGTTGATGAAGAGCAACCCCTTCTGGTGGACAAGTCAGCGACACGACGGCAAACTTTGGAATTTGAACGCTTACAGAACCGACGTCATTCAAGCCCTGGGTGGTGTGGAGACAATTCTTGAACACACGCTTTTCAAGGCAACCGCTTTCCCGTCATGGGAGGGTCTCTTCTGGGAGAGAGCATGTCTTGCAAAGGGTACTCGACTTCTGCGTTTCGATGGCTCTGAAATTCGTGTTGAGGACGTCAAAGAAGGGGATAAGCTGCTTGGGCCCGATGGCCAGCCTCGCACTGCCTTCAACATCGTGAGTGGCGAGGATCGGTTGTACCGCATCAAGCTTGACGCCTCGATGGAAGACCTGGTCGTCACTCCGAATCACATTCTGGTGTTGCACCGCGAGACATCTGAAGCTGCGGAAAGTGTCAAAGACTCGGCCAGCGTGAAGGCCGCTGAGCGATACGACACTGTTGAGATGACCGCTGAGGAGTTCGCCGCGCTTTCGCCCGAGGAACGTGGACGGTACCGAGCCTTCCGCTCTCCTGAGTTCAAGTATCCCAATCAAGAAAGCACAGGTCAGCCACAAGTGCATGACTTTGTGATCAACGACATTAGCTTGGAGTCGCAGACGACTGAATGGGCCGGTTTCCGAGTTGACAAGGACCAACTGTACATGCGCCACGATTACCTTGTCCTTCACAACTCTGGATTTGAAGAGGTCAGTCGAAATCTCCCACACTCTTTTCTCTCTTACTTTTCTTCGAGGCTTTTCTTTCTTCTCGCCCGGGTGGTACAATTGATCGGGGTCAAATAAGCTAACTATCTCTACAGAGCATGAAATTCAAGAAATTGACCAACGCCCAAAGGTCCGGTCTGAACCAGATTCCTAACCGTCGGTTCACTTTGTGGTGGTCCCCTACAATCAATCGTGCCAACGTTTACGTCGGTTTCCAAGTCCAGCTCGATCTCACTGGTATCTTCTTGCACGGCAAGATCCCCACCTTGAAGATCTCCTTGATTCAGATCTTCCGTGCCCATCTGTGGCAGAAAATCCATGAATCTGTAGTCATGGATCTTTGTCAGGTCTTCGATCAAGAGTTGGAGCAGCTGGGAATTGAGGCAGTGCAAAAGGAGACTATTCATCCCCGTAAGTCCTACAAGATGAACAGCTCCTGTGCCGACATCCTTCTATTTGCGACAAACAAGTGGAATGTTACACGCCCGTCCTTGTGCTTCGATACCAAGGATGTATACGAGCCAACCACAACAAACAAATTCTGGCTTGATGTGCAACTTCGATATGGTGACTATGACTCCCACGATATTGAGCGCTACGTTCGTGCCAAATACCTCGACTACACGACCGATAGCATGAGTATCTACCCGTCTGCTACTGGATTGATGATTGGCATTGATCTTGCGTACAATCTGTGGTCTGCCTATGGCCAGTACTTCCCCGGTCTAAAGACCTTGATCCAACAAGCCATGGCCAAGGTTATGAAGGCAAATCCTGCCCTGTACGTTCTTCGTGAGCGTATCCGCAAGGGTCTGCAGCTTTACGCTTCCGAAAGCAACCAGGAATTCCTCAACTCGCAAAATTACTCCGAACTCTTCAGTCCCCAAATCCAGCTATTCATTGATGACACCAACGTCTACCGTGTCACAATCCATAAGACCTTCGAAGGCAATCTGACGACGAAGCCTATCAACGGTGCTATCTTCATTTTCAACCCGCGCACTGGTCAGCTCTTCTTGAAGATTATTCACACGAGTGTGTGGGCTGGGCAGAAGCGTCTCGGCCAGTTGGCCAAATGGAAGACTGCCGAAGAAGTTGCTGCTCTGATTCGATCGCTGCCTGTTGAAGAGCAGCCGAAGCAGCTAATTGTGACTCGCAAGGGTCTACTTGATCCTCTTGAGGTTCACCTGCTCGACTTCCCCAACATCTCCATTCGAGCCTCGGAACTTCAACTGCCCTTCCAAGCTGCTATGAAGGTCGAGAAGTTGGCCGATATGATCCTTCGGGCCACAGAGCCCCAGATGGTATTGTTCAATCTGTATGACGAGTGGCTCAAGTCTATCTCCCCATACACAGCCTTCTCTCGTCTGATCCTCATCCTCCGTGCTCTCCATGTCAATATTGATAAAGCCAAGATCATTCTTCGCCCCGATAAGACTGTGATCACTCAGGAACACCACATCTGGCCGTCCTTGTCTGACGAGGATTGGATCAAGGTCGAAGTGCAGCTTCGTGACCTGATCTTGAACGACTATGGAAAGAAGAACAATGTCAACGTGCAAAGCTTGACCAGCTCTGAAGTTCGTGACATTATCTTGGGTATGGAAATCAGTGCGCCGTCTTTGCAACGTCAGCAGGCAGCCGAGATCGAGAAGCAGCAGGAAGAAGCCAAGCAGTTGACTGCCGTTACGACCAAGACACAAAATGTGCGTGGTGAGGACATCATCGTCACGACAACCTCCCAGTATGAGCAACAGTCATTCGCATCGAAGACGGAATGGCGAACTCGTGCCATCGCCACGTCCAACTTGCGCACTCGCTCGAACAACATCTACGTCTCGTCTGACGACATCCGCGAAGAAGGCTACACATACATCATGCCTAAGAACATCTTGAAACGGTTCATTACCATTGCCGATCTTCGTGTTCAGGTGACTGGCTACATCTATGGTAGTTCGCCCCCTGATAACGACCAAGTCAAGGAAATTCGCACCATTGTCATGGTCCCTCAAGTCGGCAACACAAGGGATGTACAATTACCCCACCAACTACCCCAACATGACTATCTGCATGGCCTGGAGCCGCTGGGCGTGATTCACACTGTTTCTGGAAATGAGCCGCCGTACATGTCGGCGGCTGATGTGACGCAGCACGCTCGTCTCATGAACTCTCATGCTTCCTGGGATAAGAAGACCGTGACCATGACTGTGTCATTTACCCCTGGCTCAGTGTCGTTGGCTGCTTGGGCCTTGACTCCAGAAGGTTACAAGTGGGGCGCTGAGAACAAGGATATGAGCTCCGATCAGCCACAAGGCTTCTCCACCAGTATGGGAGAGAAGTGCCAGCTGCTGCTTAGCGACCGCATCCGTGGTTACTTCCTGGTGCCCGAGGACAATCTATGGAATTACAGTTTCATGGGCAGTTCGTTCGGCAGTGTTGAGAAACGGCCTATCTATGTTAAGATTGACACTCCGCTCCGCTTCTATGATGACCAGCATCGCCCTCTCCATTTCCAGAACTTTGCGGAACTGGAGGACATTTGGGTGGACCGGACGGACAATTTTGAATAGTGCGCTGCGAAATTTGGTTGGCGTTGCAGAGAAGCCATAGTTGATTGAGTGTTAGGGTTTGGAAGCGTTCATTTTGTATTATCCATGTATTTCTTTTCACCCTCTTTCAATGTATGATGATATCTTTAATCTTTCCCATGTACTTTATTGGCAAAAGTGAGAACCTTGACCAAATCTCCTCCGAAGATCCATGACTCTGCAACCTTCCTTGCACTCTCAAGCTACACGGTGAAGTTTGGTAGTCATTGGAAGTAAGTCATGAAATAATCAGACCTTATATCTGAGTCAGTAGTCAAACACAATTTGTCGGTTGGCTTGAGTTGCCAAGTGTGCGACCAGAATTTGTTGGGTCAGCTCAACTTCACATGATCTGGTCATGTGTCTTCCTTCCAATATGTGACTTTGATATCTTTGCCGGCGCGGCTGCCACGCACACGCATCCTGATTGTCACGTTACCTACACTGAATCGATGCATACTCCTGCGCGCGTGGACTGCCGTGTCTCGTGTGTCAATAGATATTCGAAACCTGGAAGGATTCTCCCCTGGGCTGTCAATTCTCCAAACGGAGACCACGGATTGCAGTGACAGGGCTGAGATGGCCAATCCAACATATCAAATTCCATCGAGGTTGGAAACTTAACCTTTCTCGCAGCAAGGCTCAATTTTGATGAATTTTGGAATTGAAAGGCTTCTCGAAACAATTCCTTGCGCCGTTCCACGCGCACGAGGCGATCCAGTTGCTGATCTTGGTCAGTGCGGCCGGAAACATGTTAGTGGAAGAGCATGACAGCAAGACGATCGTTTGTTGTCAACCTAGATAGCAGCACATCCAAGCAGAAAGCGCCGGTTGTCTTCTCCAGCGTACCTGCGATCTTTGACCGAGAGGCGGCTTGTCGACCCCTGCTCGCTTTCGTCAGTCGCAGGATGTTGTCAACTTGCCCTCATGCCTCAAGAAATTCTCGCATTGAGCGTTCATTGGCCAGAATTGATGTCGCGATGATATTTTCCATGCAACCATACGAGTATTGGCACATGAATTTGTGCCCGGACTGGATGGCTTTCGAATGCTTCAAGCTAGTCCAACTTTGATCACAGGACAACATACCCGACAGTACGGCTCGGGTTTCTCCCAACACGTCCCTCTGGAAACTCATCACTTGCACAATGCCTTTCCATGTTTCCAACGAGTTCGTCGGAAAATCATTGTTCGGCTCAAAGTCCAAGACAGCTGATCACTCCCTCAACTGGATTTGGTGATTGGCATTTGTCCATGATTAAATCTCGGCCCGCCAGAAAGCAACAGAGCGCACATGCGTTGGGAGTTACCACGAGCCAGGAAACGCAGTGCGTTGTTCCAATCAGCTCACCTTTAGCAGTCAATTCATGACTGGGGCTGATTGACGAGGCTTTCGAAGGGCAAACAACATTGTTGACCAGGGTCCCTCTGACGCGGATGATCGCGGAGTAGACCACGAGTTGGCCATCTAACGGGCTAGGTTCGTTGGCATGAGACAGTGCGTGCCCATGGCGTGAAACGGGGAGAGACGGGGAGATTGAGTCTCCTCGTATATTGGGAAATTATGACTCCCAGTCCCAGCTTCTAGTCCATACGAGCGCCCGTTCGAGAAAACTCTACATTATTTTAGGCAAATTGACCAGTCTGCCTTGCGAAGACCGGAGGAATCCTTGATTGGAAAGCCAGAGGGCATGGGTTGGTTTCTGGCCGTGAAGGCCCATGAGGCATGAGCAACGAACGGGCCGCTTTGACCGTACCTCGACTCACATTGTTCTGCGGTTTTGAGCGCCAATATTCGTGATGATGGCCGCCCTCCTATATGTGTGGCGAAGCGCCAATAAGAGGAAAGGAATGCTTCCTGCTGACGATTAGAGACAAAGCAGATCAAGCAGCTGGATCTACATTGCTGATTGATCCGACCATTATTGTTTGCACCCCTGTCTGCAGCTGTTGACTTCCCTTTTCCTCGTGCCCATGCGTGTCTGTGATGTTATTTGCATGTCCTCCACGAGTGAATGCGTCTTGACGGACCCGCCCAAGGGCGCAGAGATGTCCAACGAGGTGATTATATGGCTAATCTGACGCCTAGACTATTGGTCGAATAGACCAGAATCCCGTTGCTACTACACCCTCCTGAACACGGAGTCACTCGAGAGCAGGGGTTGCTTGCGCCGCCGAATGAAACCCTGGTCGGGGACGGTCCGCTTTGCCCCCCGAATCAATCTGACGGGGCGATTCTTTCCCCCTTTCGGCATTTTTCGGGGTGTAGAGGGAGCCGATGCAGACTTGAGGTTCTGAAGGGTTTGCGGCCCTTTCGCTCGTTTCAGCCACAACGCACTGGGAGAAATTTTATATTTGGCTTGACTCGATGATCAACCAGTTCTCGCATGCTCGGGCCTCTGGGCAGTAGGCACGGCGCTGATGAGTGCTTGTTGAAAAGAAGCAGTCTCCAAGTTCATCAACTCCGGCGAGAGCGAGTGACTCTGATGACAGATCGGTTCATCGCTTCGCGGCAACATCCAACAGCAGATTGAGTCATTTAGGACGAAAAACCTTCATGACAAGTCTGTGTCATTTCAGCTCCAACAAGAAAACAGATTTCAGAGCTTATTCGATCCATTTGATGCAAATTGTTGGCCAACCCACACCCTGGTCGCACAAGATCCTGCTGATGTAGGTCCCTCGTGCTCCTCCTGCTCGGCTACCGAGTATCATTCACAGTGCACTTTGCATGATCAGATAGGCGTGAAATGAGAATATTCGTGTAAAATGATATCTTTGACCGTCTCATACACCCTGAGTCCGTTCACTGCTCACTGAATCAGACTCCCGGTGGGCCCGATTCGAATCATGTCTTCCAAGCTCATTGCTGTGCGTCTGTCTATGTGTCCTATTCTCCATTCGGAAGATACCGCGTTCCTGACCAAATCCCACTGGACTACATACATCCCTGCCTAACTCTTGACGTTTAAATCGCCGTCTCCCCTCACCCTACCTGGGAATTTCAACACGCAGTTCTTATGTGAAATTCAAGGATACTCAATCTTGCCTCGTCCCTTTGTGGGCACGAACCATTTATAGGCCTTCTTATCATCATTGTGTCGTGAAACACTCATACGCCGGGCCGTCTCCTGGCAAGGTCGATGCATGTCCGTTTCACTGGCAGATCAATACCGAGGCTTCGCAATCCACACCTCCCACGAAGCAAAGCCTGCAGATCAGAGTTTTGCTTCCTACGATGCTAGAACCAAGCTGAACGGGCTTCCTTTTCAGCCCGATAACGCCCAATCGATCTACGACCACTCCCATCATGGACCACTCTTGCCCCATCCTGCATCCCAGAACAATGCTTATCAAGATACGCAAACACCATACATGCACGCGCATCAAATGCCACGTCCATCATTTCACTACGGCTATGAGTATAGTCCATTTCGAAGCACTGATAAGCGGAAGCGCTCTGATTCAGACGACGAAGGAGACGGAAGACGTCAGTTGGACCATCCCTTCGCTACGAGAGGGTCGTTGCTGTCACTTTCCATCGACGGCACATCCATTACCGATCAGTCCGAGAGCACTCTATTTCCGGGCCACGAAGATATCTCGACCTCGCTGCCACCGACAACGCACGCGTACCAACCCGCGTTTTCACTTCCCGTCCCACAGCAGCACCATCACCACCGTCTCCCTGCCCAGCTTTTGAATGCCCATGACTCCTTGGTCACAGTATCCGGGGGTCCTCCCAGCGTGGTCGGCCAGCCTGGAATGCCGGAGCCGGCCCCGCGCCCACGAGGTCCCAAGCTCAAGTTTACACCGGAGGAGGATGCTCTGTTGGTAGACTTGAAGGAGGAAAAGAATTTGACCTGGAAGCAAATTGCCGACTTCTTTCCGGGCCGAACAAGCGGGACCCTGCAGGTCAGATACTGCACCAAGCTCAAGGCAAAAGACGTGGTTTGGACAGACGAAATGGTATGTCTGGTGCTTGACGCACCGGATCTGGTTCAGTCTTAGAGGCGAACGATACTGATTGTCTTGTTTAGCTCGCACGACTTCAGCGTGCTCTCAGCGACTATGAACATGATAAATGGCGTATCGTTGCCGCGAAAGTCGGCAATGGATTTACACCCGCCGCGTGCCGGGAACGAGCTGATCATTTGCCGCAGTATGGGCATGAACATGGCCATGGCAGGGAAATACTCCAAGACCGCGAGATGTATAGTTCCCATCAGCTCAGCGATGTTGATACTCGTGGATCGATACCCAGAGAATGCGCGATGTGAAATTGAGACTTGCCTTTCATCCATCTTTACTGTTACACAAGTGCATGCTCCTACTGTCATTAATTCCTTCACCACGGAGCCCTGAGTAGACTAGGAAACTAGAATCGGTATGGCTCCTCTAGTCGACGATACTTGAAATGATGAGATTAGAAGCGCTTATGCGTTCGATGTGACCCCGGCCACTTCAAAACGAGCCAATGATCTGATTGAGCACGACCATTTTGTCCGGTCATGGTATTTTCGAGTTCCAGTGTCAATGTCGCCGCTCATCTTCTCGTAAAATGGACCTGTAGAATGGTCGACCTGCATTTCTCAGCAATTATTAGCTCGAACTTGGTGCAATGAATTTTCAAAACAGATCATCTGAAATACCTTTGTTCAAACTGAGGAGTCTCTTCTCGTATGGGCCAAGGACCTCCTCCAGCATAATGTCCTTTGGCGGCGCCCCTTCGGCGGGTCCATTATAGACCCACGCCCAACGCATTTCCTCACTATACTGTTCACTTTCCACCCCATCTCTATGTCTCTCTCCAAGTCTTGATCTCACTCGCACCTTTTCCAAAATCCACGGGCCCTTTTTCAGCAACGCCCGGCACTTGTACAAGCCGTTGTCGTCAAAACCCAGTCCCTCGAGACCGAGCCGGATTCGCACGGATCGATGTATGCGCTCATTAGTACCTTCCAGGAACTCGCGCGTGGGATATGAAGTTCTCGGATCGATACGATGGTACATTCCCGGCGTGCGGGTGGTCTTGCCGGCAAGTTTGTATATTCCAATCGCGGACTGGACTATCTCGCCGAGTCCCCAGGGTCTGACGGGCTTGTGCTCCTCATAGATCGACTCCTCGGCCCATTGCTTCCATCTTTTGCTAGGTGAGCTATCTTCACTTTGCTTGCCGTCGAAAGCTTGGTCGTAGTAATACTTGACACTTGCCTCGAAGATCGTATCAATTGTGCTCTCTTCGAAAGCCACACCCAGTTCAGACAGTTGGTCCATCATCCAGGCTATGCTCACGTTAGCAAGCTCCTGGTCGGGAAGACCTCCGCCCACATTCGAGTGGGCACCACAGAACCAGACTTGTCGTAAGTCTGTATGGACACCCCGCGGCCTCTCCCAGACAGCAGGTGCGAACGAGGTGCGGACCTCGTCCAAGGCGAGGGCTTGAAAGGCGTGCTCCACGGTGTTGGAGAGTGATGTATCGTACCATTTACATGTACTGAAGGTCAGCTTTGCGTGTGCGTAATTTGAGGCAGAACTTGGGCACACTTATTCTCTTGTTGACCGAGGAATTCTGAGTTTCGTTGACAGATTCGTGTCAGGAATTCCCAAGCTGCCTACTGTTTCGAACACGGCAACGCAGCGGACTTTGATGGTATAGCCATCGGGGTCAGTGAGACGTGTGAGACCTTCCTGCGAGTTGATCGGTCAGCTGAGTCGATAATCACACATGAGAAGGGGCAAAGGATGCGCACGTCTTCTAGACGAAGCCTGTACTCTCGTCGGCTTCGAGGTTTGTTGGGAAATGGTATTGTGGGAAATTTGTCTTTGTAATTCAAATCCCTGATGTTCTCCGCATCCTTAAATATAGGGTAGAGATACTCCATTCCTTTGGAGTTAAGAAGTCCGATCTGGGTGATCAGTCCCTAAGGCACTGTAAGCTATGGGCTTAAATCTCTACTACTTCAAGGACTAGCTACTTACAGCCACGCTGCGTGCCGTGAATGCTCCGCGGGAAAATCCTATAAGAAAGATCTCGTCGCCTGGCTCGTAATTTGTTGCAATGAAACTGTAGGCCTCCCGAATGTTCTGTCAAACGATGCCTGTCAATCTACTCTATCCTGCGATCGCGAAAGGCTCAGCTTAGGACCCACCTCGTCTACCCCAGCTCCAAAGATTCCTCCGGCAAGCTCATCCAGAAATGATCCAGAGGTGCCTACCCCGGGATGATAGTACACGATCTGGCTCATGCCATCAGAGCCAGTCTTCTTCAGCGCTCGATAAAGTCGAGTCACATTGGTGGGCACTTGAAGAGAATAGTTTGGGTCACTGGCTGTCGGACGGTTGTAGCCTTCATCGCTGTTCACCCATGTGCCATCCAAACATACGACAAGGCGTTTTCGAAGATAGCTCATTGCGAACGACTCGATTCACAGTCAATCTGGCAATTATTGACAGTGCAGTATCTGCCACGTCTGGAACCAGTATCTGGGCTGATGACCCTTCAGAGAGAACCACCGACAGGGATTAATGCTGCAAACAGATGTTTGTCGTTCTTCGGTAACCCTTCTCTTGGCCAACTTTGATGCATCTGCAGACGAGAGGAGATGATTGTCAACGCCGTCTGAGAGCAGGGTGCATTGCCAGGAAGCAGAGAAGAGTGGATCATTCTCGCGAGGCCCATGTTGTTGGACCGTACAGCAGTGACAGGCGAGCGAAAGCTGAACTTACCCCGCGGCAGCCTCACTTCGCCCGTGACTTGCCCTCCCGACCCTTCCCCGTGACAAGGCAGGGCGGCGCGTACTGCGTAGTAGCGTACTACACACCTCGTGGGAGTCATGTGAAAGTGTAAAATAGAAGAAGTCAAGAGATAACCAAATGATGTTCAATTTGATACGTAATTCAGAAAATCAAAAGCATGAATATCAACGTAAAGTTTCACCATTTGCCATCGTCGTTTCAATCGGGATCGCTCGTATTCCGTCCTTCCTCCTCTTTGCCAAATCAGCACGAAACTAAAACACCAAAAAGAAAAACAGGCGAAGCACGACACGTTCTCTTGCGATAGCGTTTCAAGTCAAAGCCGGCTAGGCATACACCTCACAGGAGCTGGCATCGGATAGAGCGCCACTTCAACTCAACGTGCTCCGCACTATAGTCAATTTGACATCCGCCATCATAAGCATCGATCTGGAAAGACCGGCCGCCACCATCTTCGCAGGAACTATCGGATGCTGTGCAAACACCTCCCCTGAGATTCCACGAATAGATCGTGCGAGTAATTCCCGTGGCGCAAGAGCCTGAGCGGAAACCACCATCTGTGAAGTGCTTGCAATACACGCCAGCAACTTCATCAGCCCCGGTGTAGTAGTCTCCGGGCAAGTCAATGCACTTTTTGTCCATGTCTGCGTGGCCTCTTATCACGTAGTATTCACCATCGCAGATTGTACTGGTGTAAGCAACAAGTGTCCAAGCAGGTCCATTCACTGAGGTGACTGATGCGACTTCGCTTTTCTTGGATGTAGTGCTTGGGGGCTTTGGGACGTTCTTGGTAGTCCCTGGTGCCGTGGTGATGGCTGGTGCTGTAGTGATACCCGGCGCTGTGGTGATTGGAAATTTGGTCATGGTTGTTCTCTCTTTGGGATTTGGCTTTGCAAAAGGAAGGACCGGTATATTGACGGTAGGCTTTGCAGCAGGGGGAGGATTTGGAGCCTTTGGTGCCCCGAGCTGGCAATTCGACACACAGGCTTGGTCCTGAGAAGTGCACTTGTTTCCCGACGGCGAGACACAAAAGCCATCAACTGTGCACTATACATCGCTTGAGTTAGTCATGCGGATATTCTTGAGAGACCATATGGAGAAGAGACAAAACGTACACATTTGTCTTTTGGGCAGGGATTGATCGATGCGAGATCAGCCCAGTTATCAGGTCTCATGGATCCAGGCATCAACGGACCACAAACTGCATCACCTTTTGCCGTGGGCATGGGAGGCTCTCCAGGGCCGATGCAAATTGTAGCGCCCTGTGGAAGAGCAGCACAATTGAAGCGCCAAGAGCGAGCATTGAAGCTAGTGAGCTGAGCGACCGAGATGCCATTTTTCTTCGCGATGGAGTCACAATTGTCGCCAGACTGAGTGACGTAAACCTTGCACAAAGCAGTTGAGCCTCTTGCATAGAGTAGTGTTTCGTTGTGATCAACAGACCCCGCAAAGTCAGCCGACTGGGGCTTCTGATGACCGAAGACAGAGTCCGCAGAAGCAATTGCGGCGAAGGCCAGCACGAACGCCCAGAGGGCCAGAAGACCGCAAGAATAACGTCTAAAGGCGACCATCTTGGATGATGCTCAAGTTGATGGTTTTCTCTGATGAGGATTTGGGAGGGGTTTCTGCTCCCATTTGTACCATATCCATGGCTGGCGCAAAACGACTCGATGGCCCTTTCGCGCGCATGGGACACCGTATTCGGTGATGTTTGCGGTGGTCAAAATGTTTCTTTGATGCATTTGTCGAGTCAAGAAACTCGTGTGCACACCCTTTCATGAAGGCGATGAGGATTGATTGGTCGTCATAATCGAGTCTTCGAGACAGAGCATAAAGGCTGAGTAAAAGGCCTGCATCAACAATCGCTTCTCCACAGATTGTTCCTCGCGCATAAGGATAGATTCTTTGACAAGTCTATCGAAAGTAGCATCTTGCGATGTGGTTGTCAATCAAGCGATGCTACGCTGTTTGACTCATGAATCGCCATCAGCTGCAGGGACTCGACCTGGACTTGGATGTCTTTGTTTATAGTTCCCCTGCCGCAGGCGGGTGCTCCATTGATATCGTCTTACCCTAAGCCCTATGCTCTCAATGCGGCAAAGCTGCACGACTCTGCCGCAACAGGCTCAACGTCACCTGCATCAGACTGTTTCACGTGACGCTCAACGTGCTGACTCATGACAGCTAGCTGCGGCCGATTGGTCTGTGAGTATGGACCAATCAGAGCTTTGAACGGGTCGAAGCGGCTTCAAACCTCGCCCAAACCTCAACTCCAAACTCTCGCTCATCCTGCTTGGAACTCCCCTCCTCCCCAATCCGCTACCAACCCACTCCGCGAACGCGATGTTCCTTCAACGCACCGCCTCCGCCCTTGTGCGGCGCTCGCCCGCTCGTGCCCTCAAGACTGCTCAGCGCCCTTTTTCTTCTTCCATCCTGCGCAGTACGTGATTCTCCGTCCCCCAGTGGCCTGATCCGACCTCGCCCGACCATCGCCGTCTTCCCTCCCGGTTGACTGTCAATTGGGTCACCATACGCCACTTCTTTGTTTTCATACTTTCGGATGCTGAATCAAGGATCAATTGACTAACCTGCTTACGCTTCTCATAGGCGCCGAGAAGAAGTGGGGAGTCGAGAAGGAGGGCAAGATCCTGTCCTTTGACGGTTAGTACCTATACGAACATGCGGCGATCAATTGCTCCGATGCGAACTCGAACCGCATGTGAGAACTCAAATCTTCCATACAACGTCGCCCTGAAGAATGATGGGGCACAGCACCACATCTCACCTTGGTCCGCGGACAAACAATCTATCAGGCGCCTCTTTCGGCTCGGTTCCAGTTCTCATCGGACGTCAATTGATTGCTGATGGTGACGATATGTGTACCATTGATGACTGACCTGTCACTCGTTGGTTGATTACAGAGATCAAGGTCGAGGATGATCTCATCCCCCCTGGTGCCAAGCCTGGTACCATCCCTACCGACTACATCCAGGCTACCGGTCTTGAGCGTCTCGAGCTCATCGGTAAGATGCAGGGCATCGACATCTTCGATATGCGCCCCCTGGATGCTTCTCGCAAGGGTATGTATATAACACCGCTTGAATTCGACGTGAAATCAAGCAAGCAAGCACCGGGTTCTTCTCCGATACGCTGATCATGGGGGAACTCGATTATCCGTCCACTTGAAGATCACTTGCTAATTGAAGCTTTTGCGCGGTGAATAGGAACACTTGAGGACCCCATCATCGTCAATGGTGCCGGTGATGAGCAGTACGCTGGTTGCACTGGCTACCCTGCCGATTCCCACCAGGTCAACTGGCTGACCGTACGTCATCACATGGACTAAACTCCAATCCCCGAGTACGAAATAAAGATCATGGAAAATTAATTCACTTTCTACCACAGGTGTCCCGCGACCGCCCCCTCGAGCGTTGCGGTGAGTGCGGTAACGTCGTCAAGTTGAACTACATCGGCCCTGAGGAGGACGCCCACGCCCACGACCACGGTCACGGTCACCACCCCCCTCACGAGGAGCCCAAGACCTTTGCCGATTTCGTCAAGCCCGAGTACTGGTACCGGTAAATCCGAGGCTAGATCCAAGTGTACTCTATCGTCTTTGAATTACCTCCCTACCTCTTTTTCCCCTGACCCACCCCCTTGTGATACTGATATAGTGTGAATGATGGCTCATTTCTATCGCCCGTGTACCCTCTCCTGCCAAGGTCCTGCTGTCATACAACATTAACACGGTTTCTGTCTACTTCTGTATCTGTTCCCCGTCTTCGCGACCTTTTTGGGATTTGTCGCTCCTCGATCATTGTTGTAGAATATTTCTCTGAGTAGATGACAATGACAAATCTTGTCCTGGTTGTTACGCTTTTGGAGTTCACGCTGTCCATGTTGTACTCCCATATCTACCTGGCACTGGCAGTGCTATCGGACTCAGTAGGCCAAGTCTGATACATGAATGATCTCCCCACGCGAATCGACAGCCTGCGTTTGAGAATTTCCCCGGTATATTCATCTCTTCTAGATTTTATACTATTCTATCGAGGATGTGAACCGCGTTCAACAGTCATTTGCATCACCTTGCTAGAGTATGGGGTGGGAAAAAGAGCGCTCAAGGAACCGAGCCCGCAGAGTTCGAAGATGATCTGGTTGCGTCAAGTAGACACAGCGCGTACCATGGGGCCTCTTCAAATACTGATCGGACATCGACACTCCAATGCCCTTTCCACTGCCATCGAACATATTATATACAGATTATACACAAACTTTTCTCTATGTACCATAGAGTTGTCAACGATATTCACATGCATGTTCATAAGTATGCAGAAACGCCAACGATTGGGCGTTGTGTTGAACAAATAACGCTCGTGGAATAAGAGTAAGCAACGCAACGCGAGTCGAGATAAAGAGGCATATGCTCGGACAAGGTTGACTTGGCCGAGTCAATTTGTACAATGACAGCCAGACACTGTGCAAGCTTCGTCCAGGAGGGCAGGTCTACCGCCCCACAAATCGAAGTTCAAGCAACCGCAGCGGCGGGTAAATGAGCGCAGCCCACGAGAAGCCGACGTAATTGCCCATATCAGCGCCGTTGGCGCCTACCAACTTGGCCAGTGGGCCGATGTACCAGACCTGTGCCATACAAAGAATAGCACCGACCCAGCCGACGACAAAGGCCACGAAGGCGGCTGCACCAATGGGTAGTTTCGAGGGATCGCGCCATGCTGTCCAGTTATACCCGGTGCGCCAGCGGAAGAAGAATTCTTCAATGAGGATGGCGAACCAGATTGCAACCCAGTAGCCCATGAGGGCAAGGAAGTTGGTGAAGATCTCGGACAAGTTGCTTCGACCAGCCAATGCGCAGACTGTGAAGATTATAGCGCCGACGGTGTTCCAGATCACCCGAGGAACTCTTTCAGCATAGCGTCCGAGGATTTGGAAATCGACACCCGCGGAGTAAGTTGGGGGAACCGTATTGGCAATGAGTCCCAGAGCGACGACGACGGAACAGAATTTGCCAAACGCACCGACAGGGGCGAATCCCTCCACGATCAGGGCACCTTGGCCAACGGAGTAAGCAGCTTGCCAATCCGAATTCGAGGCAATTCCTGAGCCAAGTCCAATTCCACAAATGATGGCTGTAGCAAAGGAGAGCACAAGACCGGCAAGGGTCAGAGAGAAGATCGAGAGACGAGACGTGTGCTCGGGGTAATAGACAAAGAAGTCTGCAGCCAGTGGAGAGTACGTGATTGCTGCGCTGAGGCAGATGGAAAAGAACGACAGCCTGCAAGAGAAGAATGTGTCAGCAAGGTAATCATCGACGGAGGTGGGATACACGGCGAAATTCAAACTCACCTGTTACCGGCTACGGTTCGGGCATCTCCCTGAGAGGGCGTAGAGAGATCGAATTTGTTCGCTGAGAGGCCGAACAAGATACAGATCACAATCAATTGGGGGATGAACGCGTATCTATAGAATTCTCATCAGCAAAGGGCGCAGCTTCGTGAGGGAAGAAATGAGAGAACAAACCTTTCATAGTAATGGAAAGCTTGGATTCCAAAGGTGGCCACCACCCAGCTGATGACCGCGATGATGACAATGCCTAGACAATACCAGGAAATGCCAAGTTAGCCATGTCCAACACATGCTCAAACAGCATACTCACCCACGGCAACTGACAATCCTCCCGGTGAAAGAGCAGACAGAATTTGCCCGCCCACCACACTATCAAGAAGGCAATACCCGAGCATCTGAACCAAGTTCAGCAAAACAATGATCTTACTCGGCCACCACCCCATGGAGTAACGACTAAAGGCCATCGTCCTGATCCCGGACAGGGGACCCCAAGTCGCGACCCACGCCGACACCATAGAGCCGCCCGTGACTCCAAAGGCTGCGCACAACGCCGAATCCGTGAAGCTCAGCCCGTACACGGCCGGACCCAGCATACCCATGGCAATATTGTTTGCCGCTAGGTTGATCGAAAACCACAGGATGAAGGTCTGCAGGTATGAAACCCACGTCAATCGCTTCATGCGCTCATGGGGTGCAACTCGCTCAATGCCTCTGGCCTCTAGATTGTATTCCACCAATTGTTGCTCAAATTTCTTCATCATCGATCCGACGCGAGAGCTGGCGGGATTTACAGCTGGGAATATCGAGTCCGCATTTTCATCGGCATTGTTGAATGTTTGCTCATCTGAGCGAGCCTTCTTGTACTCATCGCCGAAGTCGGTAGGCGCCGCCGCCGTAGTGGCGACTGCAGGTTGTGAGACCATCCTGGTAGGTTGTCAGTCAAATGCAGGTGCGTGAAATCTGCATGAATTCAAGGCAATATAGTCTCGCTTCTTGAATGATAGAAATCATTGGTAGAGACCCAGAAGGAGGATTCACTGGGGAACGACCAACCGATTGTAATTTGCTCTTCCAAATGAGTCACTGATATCTCAACGTACGGGCGACTGGACGTATTTCAGAGATCTGCTCCCGCTACTGCAACCACGAGACGTGTGATCGAGTCTGGGGTGCCACGACCAGGTATGATCCCAACACAGATTTGAATAGTATGAAAAGAGTGTCGGCCTGGGCAGTCGCGAATTGATCAAGAGGAGCAAGCGACTGAGAGTGTGGGGCAAAGGAAAAGGTCGCCGCGGGGACTAAAATTCGAGATTATCGGGGATTGACAGCGCTTATCGGCGGATTCGCTGCCCCACTCCACCCACCACAGGTCGATTGTAACTCCATTCGTGATCGAAACTTCCATCTTGATATCCCAACTTGCCACCACTGGGCCCATGATCGATCATGAGAGCGCCGCACTCCATACACATGCATTATACTCGGAGGTTGTGGTTCAGGATCCGGTTCAAGGCTCGTTAAAAAGTGGTATTGGGGTCATGGGAACAGGAACAACTAAACTAGAACTCAAAGGAAAACTGAATCATGTGGGAAGACATTGACCAAAGAACAAAGCCTGTCTGGCGCCAGAAGGAGAAAGACTCAAGCCCTAGAGAAGAACCACGAGTGCAGGAACACCAAAACATAGATTCGGAGCGTTCACCACGGCCGTGAGTAGATTCGATGAGGGGACATGAGATATTGAAGGCGACCAACAAAATCAAGAATTACCTACTCACTTCGCCGGGCACAATCAGTGGCCCCCCCTCACCCGGCTGTGATCAATCATTGCATCGCTATGAATTTTGCAAAGACAGGGGGAAAGCAACTTGAAGCCAAAGTCAAATTCATGAGAGGTATCAAAAGGGAATGGAGATCGATAGGGGGAAAAGATCCCAACGGAAATCGAGAAAAGCTTCAATCGTCACTTCATCAGTGGAGGTTGCCAAATCCTAGAGCTCAAAGATTTTTGAAATGTTCCTTGGCGTATTGCTCACAGGCCTAAACGGAGGTAAAGAAGATCACCGTTAGCATAGTACTGATTACAGGTCTCGGAGCCGTGGGGATCTGGCCTACCTTGGCGGGCTTGCCGACTTTCTGACCGATCACCTTCCACTTGTTCGCATCGTACTCCTTGATCGCGTCACGCAGTTTGACAGACTGTCGCTGTGTGAGTCACTCTGATTTGATCATTAGGGAAGAAGGACGCGAAGGGCGAGCATACCTCATCCTCGGCAAACTCAGCGTAATGCATATCCTACAGGGTACTGATTTAGCACAGTCTTCCGGGAGAAAGTGAACTCATATCGACGAGGGCGTACCTTGTACCAATGCTTCTTCACACTGCCTTCCGTTCGTGTGGGGAAAGTCTAGAGCGCACCACTGCGTTAGTCATCACTCGGGATGGCCGAGTTGCTTGAAGCAAGGGCACGTCACCGACCTTGGCAATTTCGCTCCAGCTACGGCCCGCATCACGCATGGTCTTCAATCGCTGCTCCTCCTCGGCAGTCCATGGAGTGTTGGTGCGACCCTTTTTCTTGGGCGCGGGCTCTGTTGGAGGCGCCGGGGCAGTTGCGTCGGCCTCAGCTGCTCCGCTCGTCGAGGGGGTTGGCGCGGTCATCATTTTCGAGGAACTCGCGTTGGGCGATTGTGGGCGCTTGCGAGATGGAGTCTGCTGTTGCGATTGTTGATGTTGATGATGTTGGGTCTGCTGAGGCTGCTGCTGCTGTTGTTGCTGCTGCTGCTGCTGCTGTTGCTGGTTTGATGCTTGCTGCGCCTGCTGTGCTTGCTGGTGCTGTTGGTGTTGGGGATGTTGTGGATGTTGCGACTGTTGGGCCTGCTGCTGCTGTTGTTGATGCGAAAGAGGGGCGGTCGGAATTGGGATGCCCTCAAAGGCAGGAACTCGATGGAACGGGTGAATCTGCTGCTGAGCAATCAAGTGAGGCGGAGCACTGCTGGTTGCTGAAGTCTTGATTCTCTTCGAAGTTGGAGGAGACCTGAGAGCGCGGAGACGGTTAGATATATGACGAAGGAGAGTGTTTAGCCGGCCGGGCTGACAGTGTCAGTTCCAAAAAAAAATCATCTGAGGGAACGATGTGTATATGATGGAAAGCAGAAGAAGACGATGCAGTGTGAGTAAGAGCGATATCTCCTCTCATCTCCGCGCCGGTGACTGCGGGTCAATGAGAGCGGAATTGGGACGCTCTTGGATCACGTGTCCTCCTTTCTGAACCTCGATCGCCAAAGCTAGAATCGCAGGTGAGAGGCTCCTGGCACTGCGCGCGGTGGACATTGCCACATCGCTGAGTGTATTTGAACACGTATCTATGTCTTCGCGCAATGGAGCTGAGCTGCTACCGGAACACGGTCGGTCGACTGGTAGAGGAGGAGAGGCGTCATGATTGGGAGGTCGACGATCACCCAAGTGAAGCTCAATAGAGTCGGATCTAAGAGGCCAGGGTGTACCCCAGGGCATCACAGAGCAAGGCGGTCTGATCATAGATGGTCCAGTGGAGCGGCGAGCTCAAAACATCCGCCTGCGCGTTGATGGAGCGCAGAAGCTCCCATCTGCGCTTTATGGCACAAAGCAAGCTTGGCCACGAGACAGAGTAGATATACAGAGAAAGATCCCGGTACGATCGAAGGAAAGACACGTGATTCAAGGATGCGACAACGTGAGCAGTAACAGGAGCGCAGATGCGACGGAGTCCATCTCGGTGCGGCAGGCATGCGATGAAAGGAGCGGATCCTTCTCTGACTCCGCAGCTCGGACTGTAGATATACCACAGCGACACTATTCACGATTCTCTTTACTTACAGATCAAAATCCAATGGTCGAAGAGTGGGATCAGTCACCTCAAATTCTTCCGAGTATGGGGAGAACATGAGGCTGGGAACCGAGTTGGTTGTTTGGTTGGGTGAGGGTAAAGAGAGGTGTTGACAGAAGGGAAGCTGACTCTGGGAATCCAAAGGAATCCGAAGACTGAAGACGGTTGTGATTCTTTTTTTTGGGGTGGGGGGTTGGGCGCGATGCGAGAAGGGAGGGGAAGAGGGGGGGGGCGATGGTTGCAGAAAGCAGGAAACGTGAAGGTTTGAGACGATCGCGAGTGAGGAGAGGGGGAAGGGGGGGAGGAGAGAAGAGGAAGCAGAGAGAGGAGAAAGGGAAGAGGCGGCACAGCGGGAGTGACCGTGGCAGAGCAAGACTCGGGCAGAGACAAGAGAGCGGGGGGCAGTTGGCTGTGGTCAAAAAGGCAAATCCCAGCGTTTGCGACCCTGGGATGAACGAGTCACGTAGTCACGTCGTAGACTAACAATGCGATCGATCAAGAATCAAAAAGGTCTATGGAAACCCCACAATGGAAAATCGGTCGACAACCTCGTGGTCATTCTCTACCGCCCATCAGCGAGAACTACAACGTGGGAGCGTGATGCGAGGCCCTCGAGCATTACCCGTCGCGGTTGTCAGATTGTTGTTGACACGCGCGTGGGCCGTGAAGCTCTTCTCCAGCTCAGCTCTCAGCTCCCAGCTCCCAGCTCCCAGCTCTCCGCGCGAGCACCTCAACGGCCGACTGGTGGGACTCGAGTGGCAGCAAAGAAGCGTCTTGCACCTGGAAGTGGACTCGTTCCAGAGTTCTAGACCCCCGGCGATGCCCAGTGCTCAGCGCTCACCAACTGCACTGCACTCGCGATGCGGCGAGGGCACGGGGTATCTCCACCGAATCCACTTCAACTCACTCGACTTCACTTGCGACGTCCGATTCTGGGGCTTAGGACGTACAGTTTACAGGTATTCAATAGCCTCGAGTGGGATTCTAGCAACTAATGAGGGACTAGGTTCATGGCTAGGATGATCTTGGATCGCAAACAAAGACAAAGGACGGAGCATCTATCGTCGCAGAGGGAGATGGAGCCGCAGCCCACTGGCGCGATGACCATCGGTTGCTCGCCAATTGCGGGAGATGATCGACGGGTTAGACGGGCGCCGGTCATTCCAGCCTCCCGTTGAATCAATCCGTGAGCTCCAACCCGCTACAATCCAGTAGGGTCGACTGGATGCTACGCTAGAAATCATATGAATGATGACAACTTCCTCTTGGAAGGTCTGGTATTCCCTCCGCGCAGCGAATCTAGCTGAAGATGCCGATAGAACCCGTATCCCCATCAGGTCGACCACAACATCACTGCATTACAGATGCTCGCCCTTGTGGTCGCATGTCTACCGGGCAATAGTCATGGAAGAGCTTCGACTTCCCCTCCAGCTTATTCCTTTTGCACCACATCCACAGGTTTGTAATGGGTCTGTCAGAAGCACACGACGAAGGGTCGTTCCCATTCGATCGCTCAGGATATATAATAATAGACTCCTGATTTTGCTTGCGTCTGACACCCCCCTGCAAATCGTCAAGCCGAGCGTTCCCCTCCCCTGGCACCACCAGTGCCCGCCAATTCTGAAATCCGGCGACCCGCCGAAGCGTTCCAGTGCGAGGCTAGCAATCACCGGGATGGAGAACCAGTACCGAGAGCAAAAAGCTGATTCCAACAAGCAGCCTGTCCAACATGATCAAGGGTATAACTCGCTCGTGGAACAGCATTGGACTCTCAATCCAATTGAGCGCGTGGAATTTGGGGTTGCATCTCATGTTGTTTCTGGTTGATAGCGTTGGATGATGGATACCATACGGCGCTCATTCATGTACCATATCTCCGAAGGAACCTCTCACGTCTCTCTCGACGGCAATATCCCTGATCAGCAGAGAACCCATGAAGAAGTCGGCTGCTCTCAGGCAGCGGTAATGGATCGACTAGAAGACCAGCGGAGAGCGATCATGTGAGCGAGGAGCTTGGATAGCGCAAGGCTTGTCCAGGTGGACCCCGATCGATGGTACACTACAACTTCTCCCTCGCAAAGCTTGCATCGCATTTGACCCTAGATATCTGACTTTTATGTTCCAACTTTTGGCTAGACAGACAGACACTCGAGTCCCTCTGATGAACACCGGTAGAGTATGGTGCATCGCAGGCACCCCAAAGACACCGGGCAAGCAGGCTCCGCAGAAACAACCACAACCCAATAAGATATACACCACCAGCACAGAGCTCTCCTGCAATCGCACGAGGATAGCACGGGCATCACGTACCATATGTATGCCACGCATCTCGCCGCAGATCAGATCACTTGTAGCGGGCAACTCTTCTGCACCTTCGTTGAGGGGGTCCGTCGTCTGTGTGTTCCCCCGCCTTTGGTCGATTCAGGGCTTCGAGAACGCGATTTACTGAGTGCGGATTTGATGGGATGGGATGGACTGAGTCCCAACCTTAGTAGACTCGTCTCGCGGGAGTATAATGCATGTTTCGATTCGACACCAGGACCGAGATGAACCCTCTTATGGAAGCCCCCCGCCTCTATCTAGTAAACATGACTCCTACAAAATGAACAATGTTTCTATCCAACCAGCAGGGCTGGTTTCTTTGAAGTGACGTTGTGAGACATACCTACCTACAATCTTACCTGACCCATTCCAGCCCACATCCATTCACAGTCTCACTGTTGATCACTCTTCGAGTGAATGATTAGAGCCCCTTAGGTTCCAATAAAGTTCCGTAAGGGTTCAAGGCCGCGTGAGGCCAAATATCCGTACAATTACCGAGTCAGCCCGTCATGGAGGTCGCATCATTGATGTCCTCCTGATATAAACACCTAGCACAAACATGAATAGTATCTCACAGCCACATGCAACAGCTCGGCTTGTCGAAAGCTACCTCCACTCCACTACCTATGACTTCCATTGGCGCAAGAATTTGTAAGGTTGTGGACTATGAGAAATCAGGTAACTTGTTGACTGAAGACACTGGGACTGTCTGTCCTACATGCCTAAATCCAATGGCTGTGCTGAATAGGCTGTGGGATGTACTGAAGGACTAGGGAGTCAGACTGAGCCACACCTCTTAAGGTATTTCTTTCCGCAACCTTGTTGACCTCACGCGTTGGAAGCTGGAGGAGGCCCACACTGAATTTACCCGTCGAGGTTACAGATATATTTGCAAGGACAACAGAGACAATTGCACAATGTAAAAAAAAAAATCACTGGTTCGTTGCTGACAGCACAGAATGATTCAGAGGCACAAAAACCACTCGATATCATCATTGAACATGGGGACGCCAGATTTAAACCGCGTGGCGCCTGGCTGACAGGTTGAATTCCGACTCGATTAAGATGAAAAAGTGGATGACTGCGACTCGCGATCCGCAATTAATCAAGAGATCCGTCTCCACTCACGTGAGGGTGGCCCAAGCTCTGATAGCCGATAAGAGATGTCATCCACAGCTCCCCTTGCGCGGCATCGGAGGCCCCAGTCTTGAGCCAACACTGACTGATACACGCTCGTTGAGGCCACGCAAGCCATCTCTCCCCGCACAGTGGCTAAGTTGGATCGGCCTCTTCCTGGATGAGCTCTCCATGTTGTGACGAGCTCGTGATCAATTGATAATTCATAATCTGCCACTTCCTTATTGAGATACATCGCCTGCGCTTTGTTCTTTCCCCTCACCACTTGACGGCTCAAGGGAGTCATATCAGTCTAGGACAATCCGACCCGAGCTATATCTCTGCACATCCAACATTGGTCTCAGCATGAATCCATTCCGTATCCTGGCTGATGTCTCGCATCTGGCCTCGATCTGCCTGTTGATTTGGGCTATACACAAGAACAAAAGCGCCGAAGGTAAGATGTGCTTCTCCGCACCGGTCGCGTGGTCCCGCCTGAGGTTGGCAAGGACGCAATGAAACATCAACGCTGATTCTTGACCTGCCCTCCTTGATAGGTGTATCTCTGTTGACACAGATTCTATACGCTGCGGTGTTTGTGACCCGATACACTGATCTGTTAAGTCCGAGTGCGTGGTCCGTCGAATCTCATGGGCCCATAGTCATCTGGAATGTCGCCTTCAAACTATTCTTCATCTTCTCTTCGTTCTATACCATTTTCATCATGATGAGAGTCTTCCCCCGCACGAGAGAGCGGGAACGTGCATGGAAACTCGGCATTTACTCTGTGCTTGGTTCCTTGGTGTTTTCCCCCATCCTGTACCTTCTTCTCGAGGGTAAATCGTGGAAGCATTTACACGGGCCTGTGCAGTGGGCGATGGAGGTAAGCAGTCACGAGTCTCTATTCACTCAGCTTATCATGCTAACAGAAGACGCGATCTCTTGGTTAGCTGCTCTGGGCCTTCTCCATCATCCTCGAGTCCGTATGCGTCCTCCCTCAGCTGCTCCTTCTTCGCCAGACCACTGTGCCCACTGTCATCGACTCCTACTATCTCGCCGCTCTCGGCTCATACCGGGCCTTCTATATCCTCAACTGGCTCTGGCGCGGCTTTGGGAAAGACCATTATTGGGACCCGCTCGCCTTTGTCTTCGGGATCGTGCAAACAGCCTTTTACGTTGACTTTGCTTGGGTCTACTACTCACGACAGCGGGTCAAGCTTCGTAACGGTGGTGTGGTGGACTCGGAAGACTACGCTAAAAGCTGGCTGGTCAATCGGGTTGTCAATTTCCGAGCCAGTCGAGCATCGACCGAAGAAGAGCAGCATCTGCGTCATGAGGAGGAAGGTGGTGAGCGCGATTTGAGTCACAACCGATGGGGTGCACGTGGCATCTCAATCGCTGCGGATGATACCTTGGAGAGCCACGGGCGACGGGACGGCCCTGATGACGACGACGACACACACGGCGTGTGGTCAGACGACTATATGGATGACCGGGAGAATTCTTCACGGACTCGTACCATGGGATAAGACCTCTTCATGTATACATTTTGCCGCGAATGTGCTCTATGGCCACCTGGCCCGAGATCGGTCAACGAGACTTGGGTGGAAATATGCCGCCTCTCGCTGTCGCGAATGTACCTTTACCAAGGAGGAAGAGCCATGGCACTGCTCAATAGACTGTTCATGACCCTGCACGATTTGTATAACACGGGCCTCAACAGAGTGACATTCATGGGGCTGACAAATTCTCGTCATGGTTTCGTCCCTCATTTCACTGCAACATATGATTTCCTCAAATATGATAGGTAGGAGTACATGGTGTCTCTTTTAGTCTTGAGCCCTCTGCACGGGCGAGTCGTACTACCTCCATAAAGTCCCATCACGTAGACGTTTATTTAGCATGACGGTGTGGCCTCGAAATTGGGTTGAGTCAAGCAGCAAATTTCTCTGAATGATAGTCTCCAAGGCGGACCGTCACACATAGTGGAATAAGCACGTGATGGAGCTGAGGGACAGGAGACTACTGTGGAACATGCGGACCCGGCAAGACCTTTTGCAGATTATGTGGCCTCCATGGGCACCTGTCTTTTTTTTTTTTTTTTTTTTTTTTTTCTTGAAGACTTTCGCACATCCTAGATCCTCCCAGCCAGCGACACGTTGCTCTTGCCGGTTCTGGACAAGTCATGTTCTGATCGGATATCGGCAAATGATGCATCAAAGAACGATGCACTCGGCTGGTTGTGGAAAAGAAGTGAGCAATCACTACAGCGCAGAGACAGCACTAGAAGGTGCATCACGGAAAAAAGCCTCACATGGCATGGCAGACTATTGAAATCGGTCCAAGCTCTTGCGTCTTGTGTCCTAGCTGTATGATCATTCTCGCCGTAGCCGTTGAGATGCATCCTTGCGTTCGAGAACAGGGCCCACCACGCGGACCCGAAAGTGGAGCTATCCACCATTCAGGACCCTCGGCGCTTAACTACCGGCTGTGAATCCTCCGGGAGGATGGGCCAAGATCGAAGCGCGGTTAGCCTTTCAGCCTCAGCAGAACCCCGGCCGGGCCTTGCAGGTCCGAACTTCAGTACCACAGTGATTCTTTGCCGATTGATCAGGACTCCCCCGGACCAGTCGAGAGCCGCCGCATGCCAATCTGGAAATGTTGCATTTGTTAAGTCGCGACTGCAGATCGAGAATGGCAAAGGTGGTATCTCATCAGAGTTGTCGGTAACTGGTACTTTCAGCCCTCTGTTGGCGAGACGATACATTAGAGGCATTGCAAGGTAAAATCTTCTCACGAGGAAACGTAGTTCAGGAATAGAAGCTGATCTTGATAGTCGTCGACAACGATGAAGACCCCGGATTTCGTACATTGATGATACTCTCGAGGACCCCATCGACCTCAACTGGAACTGTCTGCCCGCAATGTGCAGCCCAGACTGAGCATGATTCCATGAAGGCTTGTCTACGATCCAGCGGCAGATGGTCGGCCTTAGACGAGCCTGCCGTACGCGGGAAACCTGTCACTTTTGCTCCCATGTTTTTTCCTGAGCTTGTTATTCTACCATCTTCGGGTCTAGATCTCTTGCTGGTCTCTCCCGTGCGCTAAGTGAGCTGCATCCCTGCCACAAGGGGCAGGAAGACATGCACTGCCTGCCTTAGCGGGAGTTGAGTCGGGTACTAGTAGCACGCCCTGAGGGCAGACTGCACAATTAACTTCACCCTCCAGCGCTAATCCGAAGCTGTCATTCGGGCGGATTTTGGCCCTCTGCACCTCTCCACGCCAATGACCGCCCATCGAGCTCGATTTTGTGGGCTCACGAGGCTCTAATTGGGCGGACGCTCTCTCCGTCAAGTCTGCACTCCACAACACCATCCTCCTTTCGGTGTAGTGGAGTGCAGCAGAGACACGGGCAGATTGATCGCTGCATCGATTACACCACCCCCCAAAACTGATATGATCTCCAAAATCAAGGATATCCGCCCTTGCTCTGCTCGGTCTGCCTGAGTCCGCCTTGGACAGAGATTGATAGAGGATATGTCCACTATGAAGTTCCCGCCTTATGGCCCCCTCCGGCCTAAACATCAACGGGACGAGGGAGGTAATGGGGAGTGGACATGGTGGGAAGCAGATGGGGGCCAGAAAGACCGTTGTGATATCAAGGCCACAATGCGCACTATTGACTCCGCTGGCGCTTAAATATAGGCCCTCGTCGAGTCTGCACTTCGTCTCCCGAGCGCTCCAATGCAGCGCAGTACTCATCGGCGGTACCTTCTTGCGATTCTGGTGCACTCTGAGCCTATAGTTGAGAAAACGACGCTGCTGGTCCATCCCTGCCTTGCGAGGCATTCCTGCCGTGGGCTGTGATGTCCGTCAATTGAGTCGAGAGAGTTGTTGCGGTGGGCAATGCCTGCAAGATTGCTTTGCTTTTGACCCCTCTCTCTGCCTCGGACGGAATTCATCTATAAGAATCTGGAGGGCTACCGGACAAGTTCTCATGCTTCGTGGTTGACGACCCGAAAAAAAGCCCTTTCAATTTGACCAACTTCGGACTGGATGCCATTATTCTAGAACTTCATCCCGATCAATTTCCCCATCTAGTGAACTTTGAAGGCTTGGTACACACTTGTTCCCTGCCCGAGGATTGTTCTGTCGCTGGTGTTCCTGCACGGGAGTATCTGACCGTGTTTCATCTTCTGCCACCTTTGGCACCCGTGCCAATCACCGATCAGTTAAATCTGTGACTTTCGGAAACCCTCCCCAATTCCTACTGTGCTTGTCTATTTTTATCAACGCATCGAAACCAAAATCATGTCGCGCTGTCCACCCACATCGCAATCGAGCGAGGATTTGCAGAACTACTATGAATCGACTGTCCCTCAATGGACCAACGTTGAAACAGTAAGATCCACACTCACTTGGAAAATAGCATCAACCATATTGTCGGCACATGGGTGTCAGGATGGCATCACATTCATGTTCAGTGGGCTAATTATAGACGCAACTGTTCGTCAATATGTGATAGCCAGCATTTCAAACTCCATATCTTGGACTCCCCCCATCGCCTTATTGCACGGAACCTCTGGTTTCGCATCCAGGCATCCTCACACCAATCTCTCTACCTGATACTTCATTTCGATCCAGCCCGGCTCTCAGTCACCATACTCATCCTCATACCCAGGATTTTGCCGCTCCTCCAGAATACAGATATAACATCAACGATGGTCTCCAACCGCAGGGTCTCGGGATCACGGCCCCATTCCCCAGTGAATATCCACGGACATCAGCGCCAATCTCCAACTATGCGTTTGCTCCAAGTGATCACCAGTATGCCATGGGCTACGGGCCCACTATCTCACCTTCACTGCCACCACCAAAGAGGGTGAAACGATCTGCGTCGGATGCGAGAGGACCCTCTCGGAATCCCAGCACACCTCTCAACATTCTCCCGGACCCAGAAGGCGTGGAGCGTCTGCAACGCGAGCGCAGCTACAGCACGCCAGGTACAGCTCCAATGCCGTCCAAACCCCGGGCGCCCGGCCGAGGTCGTCGAGACCCAAAGGCCGAGGAGGAAGATGCTTTCGTGGAGGAGCTGCGCGACAAGGGCACGGCGTGGAAGAAGGTTCGGGAGAAATTCTACGAGCGATTCAATAACGATGCGAGTGAAGCTCGCCTACAAATGCGACTCCTCCGCCGCCGCAAAGAACGGCTTGCACGTTGGGAAGAGCAAGATGTGAGTACGTTGACCTGCTGTTTCCTTGTTCTCGCCACTTTCCTCCCGTTTATTGCAGAGTTGCAGTGATCTGCCCGCCATTTGGGGGAACAGCGGCACCGGAGATATCATACTTACATCTTTCTTCTCAACCGATAGGTCCGACTCCTCCTATCGGCTTCCGATATGTGGAAGATCGAAAAGTATGACTTCATCGCTAAAAAGGTAATACAGAGCTTTTCACTCGCAACTTAATTTGGATTCAAATTCGGTGACTTTGCCTGACTGTTGTCTTATTCGCAGATGAAAGAATTGGGATCAACAAAAGAGTACACACCGGAGCAATGTCGGGCTCAATTACGCTACATCGAAGTCAAACAGCGAAATGCAAAATCCGGCAGTAACTCCCCTTCCACTACATCAGATGAAGCAGAGTCGCCCTTTGAAGGTCCGTCCGAACCTCGCAAACGCAAATTCTACGAGCTCGAAGGGTGATTTGAAGATTTCGACTGGGCGACTTGCTTTTTTTTGCACGTGTCTTTGTTTTTTTTTTTTTTTGCAATTTCATGTACCTTTGATCTTACTCTCCAGAATAGCTCAGGCGTTGGTTGGATATGGCGTGGACAAGTCTTGTTTTTTTGTGCACATTCTCTTCTACCTGCTTCGCATATCTGCTGTCGAGGCCTACCCAATCTTTTTGGCTAATTGAAGTTGTGATAAACAAAGCCCATTACCCGAACTAGAGCTCCATCTCCAGCGGATCATACTTTCCTGTATTCTCATTCAATCGACCAACGCCCGCAAGAAAAGCCAAAAAAACAATCCTGACTCAGGCCACCAACATTTAAATCTGCGGTTCCTACCAAGGCTCAATATCCACGGCCCCCAATTCTGACCTCAACCCCTCGAGTGCTCCGTCGATACTCCCGTCTCCACAAGGGCATTCCCAAGTCCCAACCCATCGTCCAAAAATAATAAGGTTAGATCCTCGGTCCGATCCATCGGCCGAATTTTGAAATCTACGGAGCCCAGGAATTGTTATTGTTACACAGCCTCACCACGACCGTGTGTATGTGCTATGTTTTTTTTTTTCTTTACTTGACTTTTTACAACCACGAACATAGTAACACGCACTCGTGTGCATGGGTGTGTAAGTTCTGACTTCAGAGATGGAAATGATGGACAAGGTTGACTTTGAAGCAAATCTCCGCTAGTGAGGAGGTGGTCTGCAGTGCTAGAATATCGGGCCATTGTTGGCCCTTGGAAATATACTCTGTGCTCAACTGAAGACCTCCAAAAAGATGCATGGGTCCTGGAGACGGGCCGTGGCTGCATTAAATTAACTCGGTGCGCCTCGTTTCTTCTCTTCGTAGTGTTCGGATGGTGCACTGAAGGACTAGGGGACGCACGGGCTTTGGGGGCTGAGCGGTCTCCCCTGGACTCTTTCAGAGTCCTGAACCTACCGATGCCATGTAGAAAGAGTCTCGAGTGTTGCATCTTGAACGAGTTTGTACTTGGTACTGGTAGTTCTGAATTGAAGACTCCCACTTCTTGGACCATAGTACTATCAAGTCATCTCATCGACAGCTGCTTTTGTTTCGTGCCTATTTGCGCCAGTCCGAAGCAAACCGCGGCCTGGACTGGAATTGGGCTTTCGGCGAGACTGCGCCATGGGGCCAAAACAGGCCGGGTAGATTCTATTTTTGACACAGGGCCAGCTGGGTAAAAGACTGTAAATCTATGTATGTACAACCTTCACCTGCATGCGTCATTTATCATAATTCATCATCATGTATCAATTTTCAGCATCCGAGTCCAGATCCTCATCCACGACGGGAAAGGTGAGAAGCGCGGCAATGCCTCCAAGACCCTCGAGGCGTTTCCCACTCTCGTGATCGGAACTCAGCACTCGCACCTCGCCGCCCTCGACGTCTCGCACTCGATCTACCAAAGAGACCCATCGTTTCCGCTCCGCGACGTCTTGCGACCGGAACAACTTATTCGAGACGAGGAGAACACCACCACCACGACCCACGGCGCCTTGGTCGACTGCCGACTCGACCTCTCGTGGACCGTAGGTGGCTTTGTTTGTCTCCTTACGTAGTTGATCCAGGAAGTCATCCATGAGCTTGGTCTCTCGGGCATACTTGGTATCTGCGAGAAGCGTCTTGACGGCAGGCGACTGGAGAACTTCTGATAGAGAGTTGAGATATCCCGACGCCGAATGCACAACCACAATGCTGGGGAGGAGGCGCTTTAATCCGGGTGTCGTGGTGGCCGCTTCAGATTGAATGTATTTGTGAAAGCCCGCTGCTACAAAGCCGGGGGACGCGAGTAGAACCGGTCGCACGCCGTCGGTATTTGTCCCAGATGTTATGCTTGTATTAAAGTCCATCTGGCGTAGGAGTGTCTCAAGGGTTACACGATAGAATTTGTTCATTCCCTGCGGAACGAGAGACAGATTAGCAAGGTGAATGATAAGGTCGTCCACGAAGAGAGGTCATTGGCATCGATTCTCACCTTATCATGATCGCCACCACCTTGCCTCTTGCGCGGTACCGACATCTCCACTTTTTGCTTCATTATCGTTTGGAATTGTCCGATAAAGCAAATGTGAGCCAGTCCCTCCTGCATCACAACCGCGACAGCCTCGGCCCGTCGCTTGCCTCCCTCGTCGACCGCATCCTTGAGCTGTTCGACCGCGACACTGTCCCACCCGACACCCTCGCCGTCCGCGCCAACCTCCTTCTCGAGAGTGAAGTTGCGATTGAGCTCGAGGTCCAAGGTGTGGAATTGCCCAATCTTGGTATGTGCGGTCTCATTGATAATCTGACCGGAGACGTGCAGCTGAGAGCTTTGTGGGTCGAAATCGAGGTTTTTCACTCTGATGACCAGATTGAGGTGCACACGGGCAGAGGATGTCGAGCCCGTATCTTGCACGGTTGTGACTCGTCGGATTGCGCTGGCGCGGAGAAGATCACCTGGGCGGATCAGGTTGTATGCATGCCACTGCAAAGGTACAAAACGATCAGGTTAGGTGGTGATGAGAGTCCGCCACACTGGACGTGGATGGAGAGATTGGTCGAGTCTCACCATGTCTTCAGGCTCTTCGGGGCAAAGTGTGACTTCACCGGAGCCGCCATGCTCGATTTTGTTCTTGATTAAGCGCATCGTCAAGAGCGTGGGTGTAGAAACGGCGCAGAATGCGTGCCAATTTTACAGACTATTGAGGAGACGCTTCGGACTGAAAAGGAGAGATGATGCAGGAAAGCGCGATGTACGAGGGAGTACTAATCTCGAAACCCGGCGACACAAGATTCCTCGACTCGACAGCGGGGCCGGATAACTTACATCTTGGCCTTTGGGTGACGATGGCGCCCCGCATATACTGCCTGCAGACACCGCTCCTGTTTAAGCTTCAACTAGACACTCAGCTCATCCTGCATGTAACTAACTACCTGAGCCACTATTACTCATGAGTTCATCACTACAAGTTGGGTCCACTTACATGAAACATGTCACTCAGCAGAACAGCGGGTGCCTGATAGTTTATCCTCGACACGGAGATAGAAGAATAGAAGAGTCTCATGTTGGATTTACTGAAGGTGAGCTCCATCACATGGGCCATGTACGAACTGGGTCTCGCACAAGGCTCCAAAATGAGCAAGCAGCCGCTCTGTTCTCCGGATGCTTCCGTATGAATGTCTCGTACTTCTACCACTCGAGTTTTTCTCACTGTTCTCACTGAACCTGGAAAGACTTGGGTAATTTGGTTAGATGGACTTGCTGCTGTGGCTTGAACTGCCTAATTAGGAAATTGGTCGGCTGTCATGGAACCTTCGACTCACGGGTTCACCCGGCAACTACTGATTGACAGAACGGTAGGACTTCGAGATTGAAGATGATCGTACTCTGGGATACGAGCCTGACAACAGACAGCTTTTATGGTTGTGCAGACCCGGGTTGGCTACTGAGTATTAGGATTCGGTAATTGGCCTACCCACTCACCTTTGAAGCTTCAGAGGCTCGGGAGCAGGTGGGCCCGAGCATGGGGTGAAAGTGGTTCTGCACGCCTGGACCTGCCCGGCTTTGAACCCCGTCGCTGACTCCAAAGGTAAACTGAATGAGTGGATTATGGGCTAAGGTTTATGGAGAGCTGACTACATTTCAGTCGGTCAAATTCCTCAATTCGACTTGACTCTTTTTCTTCTTCTTTTTTTTTCAAATTCTCCCATCGAGAGTTGTGCAGTGTTGATAACTTGACACTAAGAGTCTAAGATCTCCAAACATCCACAACAGAGAACCACGCCTCCCAACAATGGCGGGCTTGTCACTTCAGTCTACCTACAAGTTGGTGTCAGGATATGAGATTCCGGCACTCGGCTTCGGTGTAAGTTGCTACATTGACCCATTAAACTAAGTTGACTGTCCCCAGACCGGGACTCCAAGTTTGTCACTGATGCCATGGACCCGACTGACACTGATTCTGTCGATGCAGGTATACCAAACGTGAGTTCATGTGTGTGGCTTTTCTCTGGCAATCATATAGAGTCTGACGTTTAGCGTCTTTAACCCATTAGCCCCTCTGATGTCACCGAAAAAGTTGCCCTTGAGGCTCTGAAAGTGGGATATCGCCACGTAAGTGACGCTCCTCAGACCGAGTCGGTCATGATTTGACGGAGACGAGAGATCCGGGTTAACCTGTCTTTTCTTGGCGCACAGATTGATTGCGCCAAGGTCTACCGGAACGAGGCAGAGAGTGCCGAGGCGATTCGAAAGTCGGGGCTCGATCGCTCGCAGATCTTCTATACAAGCAAGGTCCCTACGTCGTATATGGGTTATGAGCAGGCGAAGCAGGCCATCGAGGAGAGTATCGCAGCTGCCAAGCTGGACTACATTGACCTGTATGCAACCGCCTTTGTCATGCAGCATTTCAAGGAAACATATGTCTGACCGTTTTGTCGCAGAATGCTGATCCACGCCCCTTACGGTGGAAAGGAAGCTCGCCTTGGAGCATGGCAGGCCTTGGTGGAGGCGCAAAAGGCAGGCAAGGTCCGCTCGCTAGGCGTGTCCAACTTTGCAATCCAGCACCTGGAAGAGCTTGAAGAGTACATCAAGAATGGGGCCGGCGGTGAAATTAGTGTCGGCCAGTACGAGATTCATCCGTGGTGCCCGCGTGAGGATATCGCCGAGTGGCTCAAGAAGCGCAACGTTATCGTGGAAGCGTACTCCCCGCTTGTGCAGGCGACCCGAATGGAGGAGCCCGTTCTGAAGAAGCTTGCCGAGAAGCATCAAAAAAGCCCGGCGCAGGTGCTGATCCGATGGAGCTTGCAAAAGGTATGCAACTTGGGTTCCTGCATATTCTGCAAAACCGAATGATTGCGGTACTGACTGGTCTTATGACAATAGGGCTACGTCCCCCTTCCCAAATCGGCCACCGAGTCGAGGATCTTGGATAACGCTCAGGTCTTTGATTTCACGCTCTCGGAAGAGGACATGGCCAGTCTTGCACTCAATGAGTATGCGCCTGTCTGCTGGGATCCGATTCGCGACTGCAAAGAATAAGGCAGTGGGACAGTAGGAAGAGCCCCAGGGTTGAAAAGCCTCATTTAATTCTTAGCCTGGAATATCTTGTCATGAATGTGTACCAGGCTAGAGAACAGAAACATTTCAAACATTCGAGGCGATATATAAATAAATTTGACGGGCCTCCACACAAAGGAACTACGGGCACGCTCCAGTAGACGTCGCCTGAATAGCCAGTGTACGACTGTACGTATTTAGGTCGCATACTGAATAGCCGAGGAGTATGGACCTCATGTGTTGCGAACTTGTGATCCGCGATCCGTGACCGCCTAATCAGGCAATCTGTTGACGGTCGGCTCAACATATTGCCGGGACCGCCGATTTGCGCGCAAAGCGTACGTCAGATGCGACGTTCAAGCCTTCCCTCCACCACAGCCCTCGGTCTTAATGAGGATTTGGGTCAGACCAAATGACACTGATCATTTCTCGTAAACTCATGAGCGTGATTTCCGAAAGGCAGTCGCCGTGACGGCCACGCTTCCAACCATGCCAGACGAGCCACGGCGCATTATCATCGAAAAGTCCAGCACGGTCCGACGCCGGTACCAGCGCAGCAACAAACGATTCAAGTTCTCAGCCTCCCAGCTCCGGCGAATCGAGCGCGAGGAAGAATTGGAACGCCGGGCCCAGGCAATACGAGACAAAGAGGCGAAACGACGAGCCAACAAGAAGAGAAAGGCCGAGAAGGAGGCAAAAGACCGGGAAGAACGGAAAAGACTTGGCCTGCCGGATCCATGTGCGCCCAAAATTCCAGCCAGCCAGCCGCTGCTCTCTGCATTCCTGGGTGCAAAACCTGCGCCTACTGAACAGCGATCCGTGACCGACTCGAGATCTGCTGGGTCAGAGGAGGAGGGGCTGTCCGAAATGGCAAACGGGTTTTCGGGAGGTGATACCGAGGTGGATTCTGATTGCTTTGACGACCTGGACGAGGTGCTGCTTGAGCAGGGGCTAGTCTTACCTGGAGAAGACGAGCAACGAGACCAATGTCCACGAGGCGGCTCTCTCAAGGCTGACACTCTCGGAGATGCATCCCCTAAGACCGTTAGCCCTCAAGTCGGAGGGGAGAGCTTGCTACCGGTCGCACACGAAGATCACGATGGTGACGACCATGCCAAACAGCGGATTGATGATGATGATGATGATGACGGTGATGAATTTTCCGATTGCTCGGTGTTTGATGATGCCGATATAATACAAGAGGCGGATGCTATTGTCGCCGCGCGAATGTCCCAGCTGAAAGCGATCAACTCCCTTCCGGTCCCTTCCACATCTCCTTCTCAAACTGCCGCAAAAGCAATGATGGGGCCCCCTGCACTCATTGAGCAAGCACAGTCACAGGCCCTGACTACTTCCATCCCGTCTATACCTACGAGTGACTCTTTCTGCGACGATACAGCGGACTACTTGGAGGACGTCTTTGCCCGTGGCTGTGGCGACTCCTTTTCCGAATTGGTGCAGCTAGGCTCTGGTGCGTTGTGAAGCGCTTCGCGGGGAAAAGGAGATGAATATGCTTCTCTGTCCTGTCAGGCACATTTTGCACAGTCCGGACCGAGTTATGAGTAAATATCATTGTACAATCATACCCTCAGAGAAAACACGACTCGAGGGCAATTGAACAGCTGCCGCTTGGGTCCGTTGCGGCCCGACAGGCGGCCGCCCGCATCCGCTCGGCGGATGCAGTCTCCACCCCCGGGAGAGTCGGAGTCGGATGAGTACCTGAGCTGCAATGCGCGTGGTTGCAAAGCAGCTTGATTGTGATGCAACGAGATGTTCCGGTGATGAGGGGATCCTGCGGGGTAGATTCAAAAAAGATCGCTGCTCGTTGGCCAACCGCCTTCTTCGAGGCTGCGCTGCACTTTCACGGTGGAAAGAGAACACAGTCCGATGCTGAGAGTATGCATTCTCATTGCGATGTCATTATCACTTAATGGAAGCGTCAGTAGCTCTATCCGCCTTTGATCTACTGCCCCGCTGAGTTCAACTATCAGACGCTCTTCTGTTCGAATCGACACCTTCCCATTCTAGATCTCAGAGCATCCTAACTACCTTTCATTCTCCATTGCTCATCAAGATTCTAACCACCGCTCGCCCATAATGCCCTTCGTACAATCAGGCCGCCATAATCTGCACTACGCCGACTCCCATCCATCCGGCCCACCAACTCCCACGGGCCTCACATTCATCTTCATCCACGGACTGGGCTCTTCACAAAATTACTATTTCCCCGTCATCCACCACCTGACAGCCTCTCATCGTTGCATCACACTCGACACGTATGGCGCCGCTCGTTCACCGTTCACCGGGGACCAGATCTCCATCAACAGCATCGCGGACGACGTCCTGGGCGTGCTGGATGCCCTGCATGTGACCAAGGCGGTACTGGTTGGTCATTCCATGGGCGGGCTCGTTGTGATCGAGCTGGGCGTCAGATATCCTGATCGTGTTGTGGGAATTGTCGCGATTGGACCTACTCATCCATCTGATACGCTCGTGGGGGCGATGAACAGTCGGGTGGGCAAGGTCACAGAAGGTACTTATTCCATGCCGCTGATTATTGATCGACATCCCGGGAGAGCTTCTGAAAAATTGGAGGAAATGTCTTTCCAAGTGCATCTTGTACCAGGTTATTCCAGCACTCACAGCTGACATCCACACTCTGTCCAGCCGGCATGGAACCCATGGCCAATACAATTCCCTCCGCTGCCGTCGGTTCTCGCAGCACGCCACTACAACGGGCCTTTATCCGCGAACTTCTCCTGGGCCAGGATGCCAACGGCTACATCGCTCTGTGTGGAGCGATTTCGAGTGCCCGTGTGCCGGAGTACTCTGCTGTTCATGCGCCGTTTTTGCTGATCGCCGGAGAGGAGGACAAATCTGCGGCGATGGAGGGATGTCAGTATATTCTTGCGCATGTGGGGAGTCAAAGCAAGCGGATGGAGGTTCTATCGGGGGTGGGACATTGGCATTGCATTGAGGCGCCGGAGGAGGTTGGGCGGTTGATTGGGTCTTTTGCGGGGGAATTGTCCTGACGGATGTGAGTTTAGAATCTAGTGAGGTATCACTGTAGGATGAGGAAAGTACATGGCAGTGCTGGCACCGTCTCTTGTGGTCTGCTGCTACGGGGACTTGATGGAATTAATAGTTCTTACGTCGTAGCACGCGCTTCCAATCGGATGCAATCATTACGGAACAGAGCAGATGAGAAACTATCTCGCCAATACAACCTCCGGCCCGAGGAGATTCAACTTTCATGCACCATGCTAGGCAGAGTCAGCAACAAGCTTCACATCGTACTGGAGCTCCAAGCTCGCGTTGGGGTCCTCCTTCCGAGGAACAAAGTCCACGATCAATGACTCTTTGACCGCAAACACCGAGTCATTGTCGAGGTACTTGTCTTGGCGATCGAAAATCTGAGTTGTCAGAGGACGGTAGCCTTCTTTGGTGGCCTATCGAGCAAACATCAGTCTCTTGCGATGCATGGCACAAATCATCGAGGGGCAGGACCAACCAGAATATGAATATGGGCTGGACGGAACGGATGCCGGTCCATCAAGGTAAGCAGCTTGCCACTGGGTCCTATCTCACGATGCGTCGGGGTTAAGTATATCCTGTCAAGGGTGAAGGGGCCTCCTGAGATGACGAGTCCACTGCCATATCAATCTTACCATCGTTTGGAATAGGATACGGGGTCGGCCGTAAACAGTAAAAGTAGTATCGGCCCTCATCATCCGTCTTGAATTTCCCACGCAGATTATGCTCCGCCTGGTCCGGATCCTGCTGCTCATAGAGTCCATTTGTCGAAGCTTGCCAGACTTCGACGTCCGCGCCGGCAAGAGGCTGCTTGGTTTTGAAGTCGATGACGCTACCGTGCATGAAGACCATCTCGCCACCTTCTTTGGGCTTGGTGACAGCAATGTCGGCCCCGTTCTGACGATAGGGAGTATCGGCGCGGAAGAAGGGGCCTAGAATGGCGGTTGCCGTGGGTGCATCTTTGGCTTCGTCGGCAAGAGTGAAGGTGATTTCGTCGACCAAACTAGATTCTCGCATGGTCAGCCTGCTCTTCGGCGTAGTCCATGCAAAGTTCTGCTGATTTTTGTGATCGCAATGGAGTCGCAGGTATTATTATACCTGCACTGCCGGGCTGGGACGCAAGCGATCGAAGTAAATCCCAGAGCTGCAGTTCTCGATACACTTACGACTCCAATCCGAGTACATCGCAGACCAACTGGCCCTCGTTTCGTTTCTCATCACTCATCTGACCCGCCCAATTCAGAAGCTTCACTCCCTCCATCCACTCGTCGACTGTGATTTCATTTTCGCGCGCAAAGTCGTGGACATGGCGGATGAGACTCGCCATCACCTGACGGATGCGTGGTGAGGTATTTGGGCCCATGGCGTTGATGACATTGTCGGTGAATTGCGCGTTGAATCGGTGACTCGCCATGTTGCTTGTTTTCTGGGTCGGGGTTGACTTGAATACAGGGACGAGGATTGCTCATGGAATGGCAAGGGGAAGTGGTTGGTCAATATGGTTTAGGGCATACAAAGAGAGAGAGAGAGAGAGAGAGAGGGGGGCAAGTATATGGTGCAGTAGTTATGCGAGGAGTACAGAGTTCAAGATGAGAAGTGGATCAAGTCCGAAAAGCAGAGGATTGCGTTATCATCCACAGATCATTATTGTCGGTGTTATAGCTAGAAGCCCAGGACTGATCAGATGTGAACAACCAACAAAGGGTTGACTGTAGAAGCGCCTCGAGCGGCTGTGGTCGGGTCGGCGCACATCTCATCGGCTTGATGATCCGCTGCACTTGTGGAGAATGCGCGAGTAGCTTACAACCGCATCGAAGCGTCCAATGCTTCGTGCGGGGCAACCCCGCATGGAGGAGGGTAACTGCGTTATCAACTGCCGAGTGCCGTGACTCCGCAATCTACAGAGCGAAGAGGGTCGCGGGCCGCTGTCAAAGCCTGAAAGCCTGAAAAGGGCGAAGACCGGCAAGGACTGACATGTCACGAGCAGCCGGAGAAATCAATGACTACTACTCCGGAATGTCAGTGTGTCAGGTACTCAGTAGTAGTCAGGTAGGGACTGACAGGTGTCCGGTAGTATGCAAGACTAAGTACTGAGTACTGAGTACTGAGTACTGAGTAGTAGTACTCACCATGAAATTCAGCTTGACTTTCGTCGGTCTAGTCCAGATTGTTGTCATGTGCGCTGCCGACGTCGGTGCAGAAAAAAGTTGAGGATATGCTCCTGGAAGAGCGAAGAAGACCAAGGCGGAATTGATGCTATGAACACCGTGAGAAAGTAAATGAGGGTTGAACCCGGATCCCATTGACTACCGATTCGCTCAAGGTCCATTCTTATTCGCAGCCAGGAACGGACATCGGGAGGTGGCGGAGGTGTTGCTGTCGACCGGACAGGTGCGAAGGTATCAGCGAGATCATTTTGCGAGATCATTTGGTTCGGACACCATTCGAGTGCGCCAAAAAGTTGAAAAGAGATGAAGTCGTGGAACTGCTCGAGCGAGAAGGCTTTCATGATGAAAGAGCTGGAATCTCAAGAGCCCAACGGACAGGAGAGGGAGACGATCTAGTTCTGCAGCGAGGATCCAATGAAATTTCATAGACTATTGCGCGAAGCCTTACAAAGTAGAGTTTATGCAAGTCGTGGACCGAATATGCATTGCACTGCCCGCGTGGTAGTCGGATGTCAGACTGTCGAGTACATCAGGGGATCGGGTCGGCTACCAGCACAGACTTTGCAGGTGTTAGGCTCAGTCCGGGGTAAGAGTAATACGCAGGAGATACCATCTGTGCTTTGATCACTCATTTGTTCGATTTCATGCTTAACGGAACCTGGTCTGGCCATATTCACCGTCGATTCTTGGGGGTGCCCTTCTTCGTCAGGGTTTCAGGAAGCGCCTTGATCACGGCTCCCCGTTCCCAGATCTTACCAAGTCCCGCCTTTCGCTCCACAACCACATCGAAAAACTCACTCGAAACGACCTTCTCTGTATTCCCTTCACCATCGATTTGTGCATTGGAAACGGGGAGGCCCTCACTGAGAATCACCCCATTCTCGCTCCGCCAGAAGGGACAACCCGCGGCAAGTGCCTTTTTGATATCCAGGTAGATCAAGACTTGCGCATCTCGTCGCATTCCCGAAATCACCTGCTTCTCCTGCTTGGTGTCTCCCTTCTCTGTCGTAGACTCCCCCGAGGCCGCTACGACACTTTCGAGAGAAGGCCCCGTCGCAAAGTGGACGTGATGTCGGCCCATCGCCCGCAATCCACCAGATTGTAGAATCATCGGCCATGCACCATGGAAGGTGCCGTGCACTACCGTATCCGGAAGCTTGGAGGTATCTGATAAGGTAAGGGGCTCGAGGAATGATGCCGCATCGACACTTTGAATCGTGTGACCCTGTGTTGCTCGGATCATGTAGTGGGAGGGGTCCTCATCGACCGAGGCTAAAGCCTGCTGTGTCGCATTGGTTTGGTCGTCGTCTGTGGATGGCGCTTCAACCACGGCAGTAGCTGGCTGGTCGCCGCCCGCGGCGAGCTCTCCGTCTGCTGGCTCAGTGGACCCGGGGATGGTGGTCGGCGTTGTTGTAGCCTTGACGGTAGCAGGTCTCGGTTGCGCAGAGGGGATATGGAGGAGGGCGAACCGCTTCTTGTCAGAAGAGTCAACAGCGTGCTTGATCTCGTTAAAGGTAGCCTGAATGGATTTGAGTTTCCGCCATTGAAGCTGCGAACGGAGTTCACCAAGCCACAAATTAGCACGAGATCGTCACTTGCATGTGGTAGAACCACACTCGAGATTCCAGGGCGTTATCGACCAGGAGCGTACCACATCTGCAACATTCGCATAGCCTTGCGCATTCATCTTCACGCCCTCCTTCTCAGCCGCATGTCGCAAAAGTAAGCTCAGCGCCTTCGACACCTGGACGTCACGAGACTGGCCTTGACCGCGGGCCCCGCCGCGTCGACCCTTGGCGGGAGAACTCATGATTTGCAATGCGCGCACGAAACGATGACTTTTGCTGGAGAGTATGGAGGATATCAGGCGCATTGGAGGTCTTGGAGTTCTTGTTGCGTGCGCGCGTGGGCCGAAGTTCTTCAAAGTCGGCCGAGTGGGGCAGTTAAGGTAGTTCCATGCGTCAGAGTCGGAGTCCCATTTGAGGCACTGATAGAAAGGTGCAGGTGCAGTCGTCCAGGATGATTGTGGGGGGGGGGGGGGGGGATAATTAATGTAGGTAGATTAATCTACTTAAGTTTTGACTGCTCTCACTTCATCTCCTTGAATCAAGTGCTGGGTTCAGGGTTGATGTCTGAGCGTGACAGAACATCCATGACAGCACAAATGATCTCACTCGGCCTCGTGCCTCTCTCGTGGCAATCGCGCCCCGCGCGTAAGGGGGAGCCTTATTGACCCGGCTGCTTTGGTAATTGTCGAACTTCAAATTCCTCTTTTGGCGGGGCGTACAGTATTGAAGGTTGACTAGCACTCCACTACAATGAGCTCGATCTAGCTTCCAGACGAAAGGAGTCTCCATATTCTTCGTAAGAGACATGAGTCATCATGATCAAACCAATTCTTCCTCGCGGCTAGCCTGAAAAACCGATGGGGGGGGGGGGGGGGGGGGGGGGTATTGTGAAGAAAAAGCAGAGAACAACAAAATCAAAAACAAAGCACAGATCAGAAATATCCAAAAGAACATGAGCCAGCTTTCATCATCATCCCCGACATGTGCAAATCGAAATGGGAGATCTCCAGAAAAGTGATCTAGGGTGCAGGTGACTTCCGAAGGCACATACACGTACAATCAGGTACAGGACAGAGCCGATGCCTCGAGAACCACTCATCTGCGTGGTGCGCATGGAATCCATGGTTGCAATTCGTGCAAAAGGCCATGAATCGTTTCATGATGTTTGACACCCTACTTTGCTCATCTTCGGCTTCACTCGCGGCCCCGCCCTTGGACATGGGATCGGTGGTGCCGAGCCACTGATTACACACGCCACAACGAGGCAAATGTCGACCGCATCGTGGGCATACAGTCCCGGACATGGTGGCAGTTCCGAGCGGATGGCCGGCCGTGGGGTGGACCGTTTCCGCCGTGGTCGACGGAGAGATTTGAGATGAGGCATCATGCTGGGTGACGGGCCGGGTACAGTAGTTGCAAACCAGGCTGATCTGCTGGGGCGGAGGTGTGAGGAGCTTACGCCCATCGGCAGTAACGGCGAGTTGTCGTGAGGCAACGTCAAATCGTGCCCGCTCGAATTGCATTTTCCAGGAATTCATCTGGTAGCGATATCCTTCACGCCACGATTCAAACTGCGCAACCAAAGGGGCGCTGTTGACAAATCGAGGGACGGTGTAGCTCATGGCGAGGACGGGAGTTTGCACTTCGCTGAATTTCTCAATGTAGGATTGGAAGAGGCCCATGGCGAGATGTCCCAGCCCCGTCAACATCACTCCCTCGACATCGCCTTCGCGAATGGCTTCGGCAGTAGCCTCGCTCAAGTATGCAGTCAACTCTTCGTCCGGGAGCCATCTGAGCGCTACCTCAACACGGTATCTCAATGGCAGTGTGGTTTCCTTGAGGACAGAATGCCAGTCACCCTTGCTCACGAGTGCCAATACTGCCCGTGCGTACGGGTCTGTCAGTTGTTGGGAGATGTCAGCACAGGTGTCCTCCCAATCGGTGCTGGTGTCGCCTTTAGCAGCACCAGCAATGGCCATGGCGAGCAGCTTGTGCGCCTGTAACGGGTCATTGTTTCGAAGAGCAACGTAAGCCAGTTTGGCTTCGTCTTGAAAGACTGCGAGAGCGGCAGCTTTGGAATGCTGACTATCAGCGGAGAGAGCTTTGACTTCCTTCTCTAGTTGTTTGTAGGTTGGTATAGCTCCGCATATGTAAAGACAGAGACCTCTCAGTTCAGGGTAGCTCGTGTCGCATCGTTTGGTATCCGCCAAGTGTAACCGCGCAGCGAGCTGAACAATTGCGTCGGTGACAGCGGCTGGGCCGTCGAATTTGCCCTCGAGGTTCCGTTGTTTGAAGTCGTGGTCTGGTCAAGACTTGTTAGCGTCCGTTCATCGAAGATAAGTCTCCATAAGTCACACACCAAGATCGCCCGTCCACACTTCGTTGATACCGACAAAGCTCAGATCAAAACCATTGACAAGCATATTTGAGCCAGACGACTGGGTTTTCGCGCCTAATGTTCCCTATTAGCCTCGATTGAGAAATGCAGGCTATTCACAAATCCGCATGACTTACGTTCAATCCAATCCCACAAATCCTGAAGAGCAGGGTCATCCGAGACGATTGACCGATTCAAAGCCTCGTTGAACATGTATCCTTCTCTGCATCGAGCTTGTGCAACAGTGGACAAAGTCAATGCCTCCTGGGCCGTGAGCAAGGCAGTTGGATCCACGAGTAAAAGCTCTTGCTCTCGTGTGTCTCGACTTGATAGTGGTTGGGTCTTGGCAACACGAGGTTCACTGTTCTTGCCCGAGTCTGTGGGGGTTTCGAGTGGACTTCCATCCACGCGTGCTCGAATGTCACTCACTACCTCTGAGATTGCGATTTCTTCATCCTCTGATAGCGGGTGAATGGCCTTGAAGCCTCTGTCGCCGGTAGGCAGACCGTAGACCAAGACTCCCCGGCTAGATATGCTCACCGGAGCGGAGGGTGGCCGAGCAGTCACAATCTGTGGCCTGCCATGGCCGTCTAATGCGATAGCACTGGGCTGATTCGACAGACTCATATTCAAGAAATCAAAAGCTACCATGCGATCTTTCTCCCCGCAACCGCGAGTTGGGTGATTGTACGGGTAGCGCACATCTTGCTGACGCCTCAAGAACACCGGCTCTGCATAGTTTTTGAAGGAGCCCTCCCCAAAGGTTTCATCAATAGACGCGCGGTACTCTTCGCTCTGATGATCTTTGGCAATGGCAAACCCCCTAAAGTGGCCAGTGCTCGAGAGCGCTCCGAGGTAGCCTCGGTTGGTGTTTGAAAAGCGCAGGCTCCAAGTGGAAGCCTGAGCATCAAAGACATTGTGAATCTGTAAGGCGGCGACAGATTGGCCGGATTCGGCATTATTCGACGTAGAACCGACCGAAGGCGATGCAAGTCGCGCTCCCACACGCCGATCCCACACGCAAATGGTACTTTCGTTATAAGGCTGACAGGAAGCAATATAATTCTCATCAAGCCAGTCGATGGCCAGATTGTGAACGCATCGCGTTTGAAATTGTAACGATGGACTACCCGAACCCTCTGCAGCCCAAGCCCAGCAGTTAGCAAGGGGTTGTAGGTTGTCATATGAAGGGGACAAAAAACAAATGGAACCTCACCCCTCAGATCGTAGATACGAAGAAATTGGCCCTTGACTCCAGCGACTAGTGTATCTGGTTGATCCCTGAAGAACTTAATACTTGTGATCGGCTCCGAGCTGGCCAGCTTTCTCAATGGTTCGGGGAATCCTTTACTACCACCTGCCGGGCTGAGTCGCTGATTGACGTCCCAGATGTTCAAGCAAAAGTCATTCCTGATCCGATCCAGACCCGACGCAACAAGCCCGTGTGTACTCAATGCCACAGCATTGCAATATCGCTGGTTTCGAACCGGGAATGAGATCGATTCTTTGGCGCTGGCGTCGAGTCGCAGGATGGTGGCTCCACCAGACGATTGACCTACTGCGATCAGATTCTCGTTGGATGCAGACCAGTCGAAGGCGCGAAATACGGGGATATCATTGAGCGTCGATATAATCTCGTGTTGAATTGGTGTATTGGACGCGATGTTTCCTTTCACTTTGCACAGGCGAAACGCCCTACCAGTGACATCCACAGAAAGAAAGCGCTGCTCGAGGTCGGTGGAGTGTGGAGACCAGCGAATTGCAGATTCCATGGCGTTGAATTGATGCTCATAGAGCTTCAAAAGCGGCGATTGAGGCCAAAGCCTCGTGAAAAAGAGGTAATGTAACCAATTCTTGAATTAAGCTGTGAAGCTCGGTGGACGATAATATTTGAGCAATCGCGACACTGTCAACGTTGTCGGCTGGCCGCCTATTGGTCGTGCTGATCCGGGGTCGGCCCGATGATGCCCCGACCATGTCTCTTCTTTTATCTTTTTTTTTCTTTTAATTACAGAGCCCAGCCCGAGGAACATCGAATCTTCGAAAGCCAAGCTTAACCCCCAGCTATGTCGGACGCTCACCCTGGTCACAGCTCCAAGCGAAAGAGCCGAGATGGTGCAGATGACATTCATCCACGGAAAAAGCACCAGCGACACACTGACAGCCGTGCAAAGGCTCGCTTGTCTGAAGACTCGGGTAGCGATGTCGATCAGGGTGTGTCCAGACCGGGCAAGAGCTCCAAAGGCGACTCTGCGCCTAGAAACGAGAACGAATACCCTTCAGTCAATGAGTTGAAGAGTCGCATTCGAGGTGTAAAGCGTTTACTCAACAAAAATTTGCCTGCAGATGCGCGCATTGTGCAGGAACGTGCGTTGGCGGGTTACGAGCAGGATCTTGCAGACGAGCTGGCGCGACGGGAACGATCCAATATGATCAAGAAATATCACTTTGTCAGGTTTCTGGGTATGTGCAGATAGCGACGACCGGACCAAGATTCTGGTGTGTACAGATACAGGACGCTGACCCCAAACCTTTCAATAGATCGCAAGACGGCGACCAAGCAACTCAAGCGCCTCGAACGCCGTCTCAAGGAAAAAGACCTCGACGCCGACCAAAAAAAAGCATTGGAGCAAAAGATTCATGTCGCCCGCGTCAACTTTAACTATACGATCTACTATCCCCTCACCGAGAAATACCTATCGCTCTACCCTAAATCACAACCTGAGACCTTCGCCGAGGGCGACCAGAAACCGGACTCGGACGCCGAATCCAAACACCAAGATAAGCTTCCCGAAGGCCAGCGACCGCCCATGTGGGCAGTCGTCGAGAAATGCATGGCAGATGGCAAACTCGACGATCTTCGGGAAGGCAAATTAAACATTGGCCCCGACGGCCAGCAAAACTCCACATCTGCGAAAAAGGTCGTCGTCCAGAAATATGAAAAGAAAGCCAAGGGCCAGAAGCCCACCAAGGAGCCCAAGATGCAGGACAAATACCAACCCCCATCGGCTGACCTGGAAAATCTCAACCGGAGACAGCGCCGAAAGGAATTGCAAAAGGCCCGCGAGTTGGCTGCTCAAAAGGTCGCGGAAGCAGATGGCGATGACGGATTCTTCGAAATCTAAAATGCAATACAGTAGCATGGGGACAATTGGTGTTTGGTGTCTGCCGCATTTCTTCTTCATTTTTGTGCTTGATATCCCTCTGTTGAATTCAGAAGAGCTCATGTTCGCCACACTGGCGAACTGTCAATTATCAAAAATCATTGACCGGGACGTAACCCCTTTGACACTCGCATATGGCGTATCTCTCTACGGAAAGCAATGTCGCCGTCTCACGTATGATTTGAATATGATGAATAAAGACTCTGTGGCCCGTGTTAGACGACGTATGATCGAGATGGATGCAAATTCGCTTCACGCCTGTCGATTGTAACGGGTGGTGGTAAGTCGGGTATCCATTCTTCAACCACACGAGGTCGTCACAAATTGAGCGTTGGGCGTGCTCGGCACCATTAGCAGATCCTTTGGGCAGCCTCGGCTGGGGTTGAGAAGAATCTTGGCGTTGTTGATTTAGACTGGCGCATGAGCATTGGAACACGGCTGACTTTGATGGTCGACTATTGGAAAGGAGTGAGGTGTTTGGCCAGACGAGGTTGATAATGCGCAATTAATGGTGTACACTTTACACTATAAAAAACAGTGAACATCGGGCATGGAATTACATAAGTAAGCTTGGAGACTACTTCATGATGGAGAATGCGCCCTAATCTCTGGCTGTACTCATACCGATGAGATTCCTACTGGGAGTAGAATCGAGGTATGTTGGAGAAATGGTAGATATCAATGTGTTCACTGGGAAGCCGAGGAACAAACAACTTCGTCATAAAGAATAACAAACTATGTACTGAACAAAACACACAACAAAATGCGGGACTCCATTTCTGAAGATAACCAAGCTAAAGCGAAAAAAAAATGTATCCAGAAATGAGCGGGCTAAGAAGGTTTAGACTCAAAAACCCAGCAGCTTCTAATCCGATAAAGAAGAACCACACGTGAAGTCCAACGTGAACGCCAGGGAAGTAAGAGGTGAAGGGTCAGAGACAGACTGTCTCAAAGTTGAACCCATGCAAAGTGGGAATGGCATCAGCCAATTTTGACGCCAGATAATATGCAGTGAAAGTAAAAGGTCGGATTCGTGTGCAAGGACTAAGCTTGACAGCATAGGATGAGGAAGGATGATTTTGGGACTGTGGCCATTCTGCACAACAGTGCAGTCACGGCGTGTGACTTGAGAAGTCGAGAAAGGCAGGAACCTCGTTCGCAGATGAGGCAGTTTGTGTGTGAAGACAGAAAGAGGGAGGAGTGTTGACCACGGTAATTGAAAGCCAGGTCCCACTCAACGCCCTAGCAGCGGTCCGGCGCTATAAGAAAAATTTTCTCCGTCTGGGGAAAAAAGCAAGAATGAACTGGAAAGGTGAGCAACTGGGGAATTGCTCCAAGAGGCCAAGGCCTTCTCTGAGAGCATCTTGAGCCTTTACATCACGGTACATCCACCGCTTTGGGCACGACGACGTCGACCACCGATGGCAGTGACTCCACCCACGCCGTAACTATCCTCATCGTCTCCGTCGGCGTTGTAAAGTCGCTCCGCCTCACGGGCACGTCGACGTCGGCGACGGGCACCAGCACCAGTGGCGCCAGCTTCCTCGGTGGCCATCATATAGTCTGCCCATTTACGGTCAAGGCGACTTGCCGCATTGAGATCGCCACGGAGGACGCGTTTGGTGTGCTCTTCAACCGTGGGTTGCCAGCCGTAGAAGCTCTTCAAGTAGATGATCTCGGAGGGATACACGGATGCAGGCGATGGCGTTGCAGAAGTCGGGGTCATGCATGGAGTGGTGGCGACAGATTCGGTGTCTGACCCGGCGGGCGCGACAGTCACGACTGGCTTGAACGCGGCCTTTCGTGCACGGGGAATATAGGCATTGCTCGACAGGACTTCTTTGACCCCTGCCCAGGTGACGTTGGTACAGTCAAAGATCACCAACCGCAACCCTATTTCGGGCAGTTTCTCGCCGTAACCTCGCTTCCGAACTCGGAAACTGGCTTCCATGAGGGTCAGGTCGGACACGCGAGTGTTGTCCATCTCGACCGAGCGCAGTCTTGGGCAGTGTTTCATCACTTGCAGCATGCCCGGATCGCCAAGATTCTCGCAGTAGCTGATATTCAGATGCTCCAGGCACTCCGCGGCCGGGGACTTGGCCAACTCCACCAACGCGTTGTTGGTGAGACTTTCCAAATCTTCCAGCTCCAAATGAGAGAGACGTGGAGTGGTTCGTACAACATCGATGACCGAGGCGTCCGTCAATTCCGGGCATTGTGAGATTTGAAGGCTCTCCAGATCAGGGACGTTAAAGGCCAGACTCTTCAACCCGCGGTCTGTGATTTCGGCGCAGCGATGCAGGTCCAGATGCTTCAGTCGTCGGGGCGGCACAATCGGTCGGTCAGTGAGAACGTCGATTGTGGGTTCCGCGCCATGCATCAGCACCTTGAGCGTCTCGTCCGTCAAGTCAGTGCGACTCATAATAAGGCGTTCAAGGGCATTTTGTTCAAAGAGCGCCCGCGCAACGCTATCGTCATCGAAACCGCGAATGCCGCTCGCTCGAAGATCGCCGAGCTGGTTACAGGACTTGGCCACACAAACCAGCCCATGAGCGGTCACATTGATGCACCAGGACACATCCAGACAACTCAATTGTGGACACGATTGGGAGATACTTTTCATGGCCGAGTTGGTCACACTCTTGAGACCTGAGATATTGAGGTACTCCAAGCGAGGGTTACGCGTCAGAAAATGATGCACAGATGGCTTGTCGATCACAGAGTCATTGAGCGATAGATTGACCAAGTTACGACACGCGTCCGACATTCGCTCGCCGTGCGTGGACCATTTGTTGCTCAGCTGAATACAGCCTCGCAGATTGAGATCTCGCATGAACGGTCCGCCTGAAATGACGAGCTTGATCAACACGTCGCTGGGGATCTTTGAGTAATATTCAGACGCGTCCAATCTGCTCCACAGCTGGCCGTCAAAACACATTTCATGCCACCGTTTCGACACCACTGAGCATCGCACCACTTGACGAGGTGTCAGATACCGCAGGATCTGCACCTGCAGTTCGCGCGGCATGTCCCCCCAAAAGTCAATTTTGCGGGACGGGTTGTGGTCCGGTAGGATGGGCTGGATCTCCGATGTTGCTGCCGACGCTGTTGCATCTTCTTCGGCGATCTCCTCGACCGGAGTCCCAGTTCCGGGAGAGTTGGGCCTGAACTCCAGAGGCACCGGAACGCTCCGTGACACATTAGACGACTCGGTCTCCACAAGGCGAATACGTGCATTGTTATCGTCGACTTCCTCCAGTGGTCCGATCGACCCTGGAGTCGGGGGTCCCGGATGCAGTCCACCATAGAGTTGAGAAGCACTGCCGTTGCCCAAGCAGGGCGAGTACGCGGCACTCGATAACGAGACGCACGATAAGGACGCTTTGTGGTCCCGTCGATAACCCGTCGACGCCGATCGGCCGCGGCGGGTTAGCGTGGGACTAGACGACATGCGTTGGAGATTCTGCAACAACCTCTGGCGACCCTTGAGTTTGGGAGGTTGTTCAAGGGGTATCTGCCCATCGGCGGAGGCCGGACTGGCCGGCGAGGCTGTAGTCGCAGGAAGGATCTCATCGGGCATTGAGGAGGTCATGATGGCGGGGGAGAATCGTGCACTGCGCGCTGAGAGTGGTGGTGATGGTCGTTTGGAGGTGGTGGGAGGGAAGATAGTTGAATTGCTTGTTAGTTGTTATGCACCTCAATATGAACTCCAGCCGATTCCGGATGAAAATGAGAAGAATGGCAGCCAATGCAAGGGAAATGCCCGCGAAGTCGAACCTGCGCACTTCAAAGGGGGCATTCAGAACATTTTTTTTTGGGTAGCTTTGGTGGAGAGTACTTGGAGATTCAAGGATAAGAGGGCGTGTCAGACGGCAGGAGGCTCGAGTAATGAGATCCGAGACCAAGGCCGTTCTTTTTCCCTCTCTGTCCAGTGTAGACTGTATAGTATATGCTCCAGTGCAGATGCAATGGAAGAAAGAAACCTCGCGGATCAGAGGGTAGCAGACCACCGACCACCCAAAGAAAAAAAAAAGAAAAGAAAAGAATCCAAGTCCGGACTCGTCTGGGGAAAAAAAAGGCAGATGTGGGTTGTGAGGGGTCGCAGGATAGTCTGTTCAACCCCGTTGGTGCAGCACACACCGTTGGGAGCGAGACTCGTTTACACTTCGGGACGCGGCGGCCAGGAAACCATGGGACTTGCCGAGTCAGACCGGTGGGACCTCAGCCGAGCGATGTACAATAACCGTCCGAACGTGCCGACGAGGATGAGGATGGCGTGGTTTGAGATGGGGAGAGGGATCTCTCGAAGGGATTGTGGGAGGATGGAAGAAGGACTGGAATGATCGTTTGGCAGTCGACGTGAACGAGTTCAACACCGCCGAGGGAAAAGAGAAGGAAGAAAATCAGCTGATGGCGGAGGGTCACAGGTCAGGTTCATTCACACTGCACAATAGAATAATACGGTAGAGTAGTGGCAGTGCCACTGCCTGGGTGTACTCCTGTAGTCGTGTAGTGAGGGGGAGGCGAGTCCGGTACGGACAATGTGAGACGGCCTGAGGGCGAAGAGTGAAGACGAGTGACTTTCGGTGACCAGTGCGAGACTTCCGGAGCGGAGACGAGACTGGGGCTCAGTCCTGCCAGAGAGACCCTGCCCGATCGATAACAAGCATGCGTTCAAAGTATCGAGGGGCATGTGGCAAAATGGGGCTGGGACTGTAGTGGGTATAGTCAGACGCGGATGTATCAGACAAGTACCTCTGACATTGGCAAGCCCGCCGCCTGACCCTTTACAATACGATTTCATTTGCATGCCACTCGAAAAAATTGAACCATTAATGTACATACGGTCCTTCGACGGATAGTGGACCATTCGAGCCCTCATAATCGAGCAACTGATCTCAATCATGAGGCTGCGCCATACCCTGCCACCCACACCGTTTGCGATTAGCATACTGTCGGACGCGCGGTCTGTGCTCCATCACCAGGAATAAGAATACCACTCACTCCAGTCGTAGAGTGGATCATGTACTTAAGTTGTCCATGATCTGGCTTTGCTGACTACTCGTAGTAACTAACTGACCTACTGATTCGAATCAGTCAGTGTATCAGATCAGGTGAGCAATCATACAGCTGCCCCCATTCTGTCATAGGCCAAATCGCCATACCTTGACACATCACCACCTCCTATCTCATCTCCTCCATCACCGGGTCAGCAGTATCACCGTATCGACGCTACTGGATAGTGATACATCTGACTTGCATTTGGCGGGCGCATTGTATAATGTATGCTGATTCGTTCTGACTGTAACCTTACGGGACCCGGACCCACTGTCTAGTGTCCCCACTCTGCAGTCTCCACTCCACCATCCAGAGACCCCACTTCCTATCTGGGCGGACCCCACCAGCTCCCCACCGACTGGTCAGTTACACCCACACAAGAGTGTCTCTCTCTTTCTCCCCCGAGTCCTTACTCCCTACTCCGAGTACTGTAGTAGATTGATAACAGTAACTTAGTATTTCCCTACTTAGTAGTGCTACACCATACTATAGTACTAGGGAGGGAGCTCCCTTTCTTTGAAGAAAATCACACAGACACAACCAGTCAAGTCCATACGAGCGCTAACTGGGGAGCACTATGCTATACCTGACAGGCTGAGACATCTATACAGTGACACTACTGACAATCCTCTCAACGAACCTCCCCTTATCGGCCCTGTTGGAATCCGGTCTACGTCCACGCGACCACCCATGGAGTACCTAGTATAAAATGCCATAAACTAGAGAGAGTAAGTAACTAAGTACACTCTAGGACTGTAGTTATGTAGTATGTAAAGTTCCCTTATCGGCTGACAAAGGGTGTCCGAGCGCAGGGCAATGAACTCAAGCCTCGGGCCCATCACATCTCCAGTAGTACAGTAGTGCCCGAGGTTCATCGACAGGGGAACAAGAACGGGAATCCGGAACGAGCGAGCGAGAGAGAGAGAGAGAGAGAGAGAGAGAGAGAGAGAGAGAGGGCGGGGTACCCAAGTGGTGAAGTAGTGCGGGATGACCATTGGACCTGGATTCATGAATCCGTGCCCTGGACAAATAGGGCCCGGACATGGCAATTGGGGGAGGGGGGAATTTTTTACAGAAGAATTGATAGGATTAGACCGACTGGTGAGTGAGACTAGACTGGAGGTGGACCGTCTGTGCACACGAAGAATAGTCCGCGGGGATCGACTCCCTTCTAGATGCTCCGTGGGGTGGTGATCGCTGGTGCGTGATGCCAGGAACGGGGATGAACAGGTATCTAAGGTAGTGGAGCGATCCGATTCAGGGGAGTGTTGACTTACGATAGCAGGGTAGACTGTAGAGAGTGTAGACTTTAGACCAAACTTGATGTCACTACTTATTACCTAACATACTACTACAGTACTACGAGTAGTCACTCCATACCTCACCTCAACTGACCACAGTTCACACCCCCTTTGGAATCAGACTCGGTCTGTAGTCAGTCCATTCCACCTTCAAACTTCCTACGTCCTAGACGGTGTAAAGCCGCAAAGTCAAGGGTGAGACCCTCGACACATCCATCTCACTGTGCGTGGGGTAAAACCACAGACCCACTATTGCCTCGACACCTGGACACCAAGTCCACCTATGAGTGTCTGCTTCACGACACGCACACACATACATCCACCCAAAAAGGCAAATTCTGTGCAATGGATCAATCACAACAGTCGTAATCAAGCAGAAGCCACCGCTCTCGTCGAGTCGCTGTCAAGGTCGGAGCAGAAAGGAAAGCGTGGACTCTGGGGCGCTGGGCGGGGCTTCGGAGTGGGGGAGGAAGGCGAGCAATCACAATACAGAAGACAGGCACCTGGGCTGGTGGGCACGTGGGTACGTGGGCCCTGGGCCCATTTCCAAAGAGGAGAGTCCGGCAGGTAACGTGACTGTCCCGTGACTGTCCCCGAGAGACAGACATGGAGACAGAAAGAGGAATCGAGCGAGAAGTTGAGAAGAGGTGCGTTTTAATTCCACTATTGTTGGTATACAAATTGCGCAGTCTTTCATCTTTTCGAGGCGACACTCTCTCCATTCTTCGGCCGCCGCAATGCTTCCGGGACGTGTCCGACAACGGCGTGTACACTGTACACTACACACGACTATACATGTGACACCAGTATATAAATAGTTAGTACATACTACATTCTCATAGCACAACCTACACACTACATACTACAGACTTACACAGTACACACTACGCAGTACGCAGTCCACACTGAGCTTCCTCCCTTGACGGTCCAGATCTGGAACATGCTGAACCTCCGCCGCTAGACTCCCTTGGCCAAGGACCGGAACGGGGAAGGGAAAGCCCGCACTAGCCATCAACGCGTGTCCATGTGTCCCACCATTGGCTCAATCCAGATTCCGGGGCTCAGGCATGGGGCTCGGGGCATCCGGAGCGACAGCCACACCCCCCACCCCACCCCGGGTTGAGAAGTTCAGAATCGCGTATCGGCCTGGACGGTCGTACCTGGAACGATCCGTCTATCCAAGTAGAGTGATTCGTTGAGAGAGTGTGTTTGGTGCCATTTGCGCGGGCTCGTTCTTCAAGACGGGGGTCGCATCTCGTCTGTTGATGGCAGATGCCACGGATGTATGCAGGCAATCGACACCTTGGGCTATGTAGGTTGATATGGCTTGGTCTGCGTGGCTGATGGGAACGGTAGGACTAGGAGGAGGGTCATCTCTCAAACTCAATCGCAGCACCCTCCAACTCTTATCCCGAGAAATAAAGATACCACAGCCCCCGGCTCCAGCGCACGTGGAACGCTCCGGCACGAACGAGCCCCCGTCAATGGCCGTAATTAACCATCTACACCTCATCACAGTGGAAAATGATACGAGGATTACTCAGGGGAACTCAAGGGAATCTGAATCAAGACGCTTGTCATTTCCGAATCCTGAGACCACGTCGGAGAGAGGGGGAAAACACCACCAGAACTGCATCGCCTGGTAGGAAGGCGAGCAGGGAAATGACAGACCCAAAAATGCATCCCAGGCTCCCTTCCCCAATGCATCTGCCGCTCATATCACTCGTCACGCAAAGCCTTTGAAAACATTATGGGTGGGGGGTATCGTATTTTTCTTTTTCGGGTCATGAGACAACGGGACAGGGAGAAAAGAAAAGGAGGAGCGAACTGGAGGAAAGGGAAATTCGGGGGGCGTTGGGAGTGACGTGGATGACAAGAGTATGTATCAGACAGACAGAGAAGAAAAAAAGAGATGTCATGATATGGAAGACCCAACCCGGAAGAGCAAAAAGAACCAAAAAAAAAAAAAGAGACAAAGAGACCGCCTCCTTACGCATGCACTCAACTCATCCTGCAAAGTCCTCCGTCGTCAGCCACGGGTGCTCGAGCACCTCCGTGACGGTCAGTCGATTATCCACGTCACGGTCAAGCATCTTGCGGATCAAGTCGATGCATGCTTCGGAGAAAGGGAGGAAAGGAATGCGGAGAGGGTGATCCAAGATCTCATCGACATTGTAAAACGGGTTCTCCTTGTAGACAACCGTGTACAGCAAGATACCCAGGGCCCAGATATCCTGTTCCTTGCCACGATAGGATTTACCTTGAAGCACTTCCGGCGCAGCATAGTCTGAGAAGGACAATGAAAGATGACTGATTAGTCTCAACGCGATCCAGGTTCACTCACATCGGAGGAAAAGACTCACCGATAGTGCCTACAAAGACATCGAAGGGCCCGTTCTTGATGTAGGCCGCGCTGCCAAAGTCGATCAACTTGATCCGACCCTCACCGTCCAGAACCACATTCTCATCCTTGATATCCCGATGAACCACCAACGCTTTCGTGTGCAGATGGTGGATCGCACTGGAGACCTGCTTGAAGATGTTGCGACACTCATCCTCGTCCATGTGGTTCTTGAGCTCGATGTAGTCGAAGAGGTCCATGCCAGGCAGTCCATGGGGCAGCATTTCGATGTAATAATTGACATCGTCTTCGAAGAAGCCCTGCATCTCCACAATATTCGGGTGTCGGTATCCGTCTCGTCGGAGAAAATCAAGGACGTGGATCTCCAGAGGTACGGTGCCGAGTCGCCGATCGCGGGTCCAGGTGTCCACGAGAATGCGTTTCTTCGTGACGTACTTCAGAACCATCTTCTGGGCAGGCTGCTTCTTGAGACGAGCGAGCTTCACTTGGCCATAGGCACCTTGTCCCATCTCCTCCAGGATCACATAGTCATTGATCGTCCGCTTCTGGGGAATCTCTTTCTTGGCGTTATGTGCCTGGACCTCGGTTAGAGGCTGCACAGGACGATCGGTCAGCGGCTCAGAAGCCGCCTCGCTCAGCTGTTGGCTAAGGCTCGAGCTCGGTGACTGAACTTCCACGCCAGGCTTTGTGCTTTCAACGGTGGATGTCCCGTTGGCGGCTATGGAAGATTCCACGGTAGAGAGATGAGCTTCGGTCGTGGGGGACGGGCGGTCGGCTGTGGTATTCAGCGTCGGAAGCATCGAGGGCGACAGGTTGGCGGCCGGGTCCGCAGCGTGAATCTGACGCGAGTACGTGATCCACAAAGCATAGACCAGCTCGGTCACGGCGATGGTGTCGTCGCTGTCCTCCGAATCGCTCGAGCGTTCCTCGAGTTTTTCGACTTGCTCCTTGGAGAAGAAAGTGCTGCTCTTGACCACGCGCAGCTGAACATCAACAACAATTGTGGATCCATCGCGATGCTTCGCCAGCAAGCCGCTGGGCTCGGTGAACACAGACGCAGCGTTGGCCTTGCCTTCGCGAAGTATTGACAACGTGCGCGCTCTGCGGAAGCTGTGCTCGGGAACTACGATCCCATCCACCAACGGAACATCGTCTTCCTCAGTAAGAACATCCAATATCTCATCGAAACCGGGTACCAACTCCGTGATGTGACGGCCTTCGGGGCGATCCTGACCGAACAAAGCCGCCGAGAAAACCGAGTTGGAGCTGATGACCTTGAGCGTAGAAGACGATAGCACCATCATGCCTGCAACATGAGGAAAGCTTGATACCTGCAACGTCCGACCCCCCTCTAGTCGCCCTATCGTCACGGGAATGCATACTCCAGCGGCGGTGCGAGCTGCGAAATGCTTCAGGGCAGTAATTCGATCGAGGCCCCTCTCCGGGGAGCTTTTGAGTGAATCGGCCGGCAAGCGAGGAAGGAGCTCGGTCACCAGCTGACCCTTCTTCACAACTTGAGGACCCCAGATTTTATCCGTGTCGCCCTTGGCCTCGACGACTTTCCACTGTTCATCCAGGCAAATCGACGCCGTGTTTTCGGTGATCTCTTCCAACACCCAGATGAGCCCCCCGCGCTTTTCCATGACCCAAACGCTAGCGGATCCCTTGGTCCCGTTACGCTTCAGTATCGGTACCACATCGCCACACAGCAGTACCCCACGAGACTTGTGAGTCGTGTGGTTGTTACTGCGGTTATTGCGGGTGCTGGAGCCGTACCCGTCGTCGGTTTGAGCTCGTCGAGACTTTTCGCGGGATGAGGGCTTACTGAGCAACTGGGCTGTCACGCCGTTTCCGAGGCCTCGGAATTTAGGATTCACCGCCCGGATATTAGGCCGCTCGGGTTGAAGCGGCGTTCGAGCGGCAGCATCCGTGCTGGGATCGCGAAGCTTAGCCTCCAGCCACTGTCGATGTTCGTGCTGTACAACTTCTAGGATACTGAGTCGGCGGAGCTCGGACTGAGTGACGCCAAATATCAAGCAGGAGAGGTCATTGGCCGCGAGTATGGTCCAGGGTGCTTTGGCTTCTGTCCGGAAGACAGCCTGGGATACAGGCGTCCACTTGCTGCTATGGGTATGTAGGGCCGAGGGCATCGGAATTCCTAATCCAGTTGTTGAGGAGGCTAAAGATTGAGCGGCGTCCGTGGAGGCATAGGGTTGTGCTAGGGTGTCCATCAGCTTGTTTTTGAGTGAGGCGACATTGAGATCCGTATATGTACGTTTTAAGCTTACGCGTCTGGAAGACGGCGCGGAGTAGAGATCCTTCCGAGAGTGTGGCAGCCGGTCACTTGGGACTGCACTCAGGTGGTGGTGAGAGTCGGGTGTTGCCTGGCGTTCGGGCAGATGCGAGAGATCGTGAGTGCCGCCGCCCCGGGAGTTTGACGTGGCAGAGGCCCGATCCACAAATGCCTTTTCGAAGATGTTGTCGCCATACACATCGGCCGGTCCAGTTGGCGGGCCACGAGCGATTGCTGCATTCTCCTCTTCTAGAACGTGAGCGCGCGTCAACAGATCCATCATGCCCTGAATGTCCGCATCGCCACTCATGTTGGCCTGAGCATTCGCGATCGCAGGATTGCTGGCCGCCCAGCCCATCCGGTCCCGCATAAAGTCAATCGATCGCTTCAGGATGTTCTGCCGGCTGTGCAAGAGCTCCTCCGAGTGTTGGGCAAAGGAGAATGAGTGCAGCGATTCCAGGGGAAACCGATGCAAGTCCTCGAGGTCTCCGTAGGTCTGACCCATTGTCATATGGCCGGTGTGTGTACGAGATGACGAACCCGAGCGAGATAAGGGGTTCGGCCGGGCTGTTGAGGCCGCCATCGGCGAGAGGGACGAGGTTGACAGGTTGGGAAGGGTCAGAACGCGCGACGGTTGCTGTCGGATGCGATCCAAACCTGATGGTCCGAGTCCATGCTCACTCTCGAAGAGTGGAGACCTGTCGAGTTGAAACACGTTCGTTAGATTCCAGGCGTTCTCAAGCTCGATTGGCAGTGGGGACAGAAAGTTGACTGCAGACCTGGGCAGGGTTTCATAGCCGGAAGACAAGCTGTCTACCGACCCTCTAAAAGGCCGATCACTCTGCAAGGAAAGCTTGTGGAGACCCGACTCAGACTCGGGCGACTCAGAGAGGGGTCCCAAGGGAGACGACAGCGGACTCGGATCACCTGGAGGGAAGGGAAAATCACATTAGCACTCGCCTCGGCGGATCTCGGTGAACCATTATTTCATGCGCTCCGTTATCTAGGTCAGGCAGTGGATGCGGTCGTCTCCAGTGACAAGGCGAGCATGCCAGTGACAGAATGATAGCTATTCTCAGGTCATCCGCTTGCCCGCCCGGGAGGAGGACATGAAGTGAGTGATCTTGCGACTTCATCCCTCACTCCGCAGAGCTATGTAGATATCATGTGTAGCGCCGTGTTCCGAGTGCCAATGGAAGTCATTCTCAGTCGCTCCGACCTTCTGTGACCTAAGAGGTGTCCGACCTTGCGGTTGTCTCTTTGACTTGTCTTGCTTCATGGGTTCACGGACGAGTCCGCTACTTGGGGGAGGGGGGAAGGACTCCGGATGACGGCGGCCGTGACATGTGAATCCCCAAGCACGGACGGGACGGGTATGGACGCAAGGCATGTGGCCGTGGCCGACTTACCATCTGGGTTGAAAGCTGGACCCATCCTTCTGAGTGTGAAGGAAAGTGGGCGGTTGCACTTCGCACAGTCCTGTTTAGTTCTTTGCGACTAGTGACCAGGATCAGGGTGGGTAGCACCACGAAGGAGATTGAAATCGGACGTGTCGAACTTGGAGTGCGACATGGAACGGAGAGGAAAAAGCGGAACGATCATTCGCTCGAGTCAGCGGGCAGCGACCGGGAGGTTAATGAGGGCAGCTGCCTCGTAACGCGCCCGGCATAAGTGGCGTCACGGGCAAGGCACACGCGCAGGGGGTTTGGGAGGCTGACTCGGCGTTGGTGAACAAGAACGAGAAGAAAAAGCTGGGGGAGAAGATCGAGGAAAAAGTACAGAGCAAATGAGACCGGCGGGGGGGGTTCTCAAGGTGGGGAGAACAATGGAGGCCTCTGGAAAAAGGGAGAGGGCCGACAGACTCGACGGAGGGGAGCACCTCCAAAGAGACTACGAACGCGGTAGTGATGTAATGGAGACTTGGAATAACCTCGGGGATATGCCTTGGATGTGTGTTCTCTAATTTGACATGGGTGGTAGGGCGTGCAGAATGAGGAGACTCCCAGGGTTGGAGGGGGAGGCCATAGAGCCGGAAAGACTGTTGGAGAGTTGGGGGTTCGTAGTCGTACTGTGAAGAAGTGGATTTGTTGCTGTGGTGCATGGACTCGTCTTTTTTTTTCGGTGGAGCTTCTGGATGGGCCGGATGTACATGGCCAGTACCAAGTTCCCACGATAGTAGTAATTTATGTTAGTTGCTACTCACTACTAGGTAGGTAGTCTAGTACCTCTTAACTACTAAGTTACTAACAAGGTTGTTAACCAGTAAGTGAGTACTCTACTACCTAGTACTTTCCTACTTATCACTTTACCAACGTACCTTATGTGGAACAGAATAGAGAAAGGTATGCACTCTTACAATCTAACTTGACTCCCGATAGTCACCGATAGGTATACCCTTGAATTTCATAAATTTACAGTTGACTGGGTCGCGTCCAAAATCTTCTATTTTTGGCCTCGTCGAGGCTCTTCGAGGGCCTACTACTACAGTGGTAGGCTGCTATATCTACCTGATAGGCACGAGGTACATGGCAATCACCATCTAGCATCTACTTTTTACTACAACTATTATCCAGTACCTGGAATACACCTCTTTTGCCCCGGAAAGAATCCCCCAAGGCTCCGACAACTTGAGAGTCTGTACCCCGGAGGTACTAACAATCCTACTAGTCTAGGTAGGTATTATGCGCTAAGCAACTTTATCTGGCTTGGAAGCTGGATGTTGAGAATGATGAAAAGAAACCCCAGATCGATCCGCAAAGCCTAGTATACTACTTCCGACTCTTGAAAGATCATCAACCGGTGAAATGCACCACCCTAGTACAATGTCAACAGTGTACATCTGCAGGGCCGTGCTCCGCATCAATTCCGCGCCCGTGGAGACCGAGCCGAAGCCAAAGACTGTGTTCCGAGTCCCTACAACCTGAACATGGAACATGGGCCCGATATCGCTCCCATGGATGACCCCTTCAGTCAAACAAGAATTGTATCGACGGGCGGTTGCTTTGATGCAAAATCAGTGTACCGGCAATGGGTCACTTGCCAACTTTCTGAAATCAACGGTGTACATTGGAAGTAACTTATACACTCAAGTTTCAACAGTCTGCTCGAGGTGATATCGGGCAGCTTCGCAGGAGGTTTTGCCTTCGCGAAGCACTTCTAGCTGCATGACCATCCATGATCGTGGGTAATGTTGCGGTCCATACCGGTGCCAGTTTCGTACTGAAACGAGACTGCCAGGTTCGGGACGGGCACTGAAAGGACTAAGGCTGCCTATGTAGGGAAGGGAATATGTAGGGAAGGGAATGGAATTCGTCACCAAGTGCCGAGGTTGAAGACGGTGAATTAATTCGACTATTGCATACCTAAGTAGGTACAATTGAGGTTCGGAGCGATCAGTCCATCCTCGAATTGAGCGAGTCCAAGGATACTCGACACGTTACCGGGCTCGCTTGCTAGCCAATTCAGCTGTGCACTATCGCCCAGTCCCCATTGAGGTCAGTGCGCAGGGGATTTACGACGAGCGCAAAAAAGACAGAAAGCAAGAGTCGTGGAAATTCACCGTCAGGGAACTCTGTAAAATATACGTTGGGATATGTGTTCGGCGTGGTCACATCTATATTCGCATCATCCTCCCCAATGACGCCTTCACAGAGGACCTCGAGAGCCGGACAAATTGTGCAAAGCCAGCTCATCCTGCTCGGCTTCGGCACTGTGAAAAGCTTCGTCTGCATGGTTCTTGGAATTGGGTCCATTCTTGCTGCGAGGCTGATCATGGTGCCGTGTCTGCTCCGGAGGCACCGACGCAGGGCTGACAAAGGTGGAGAGGGTCCGATTACCTCCTAACATCCAGGAGAAACCAGAGTCCGCCAGCGATGGCCGGACCAAAGACCGCGGCCTCTCACGGCTTGTGTTCGTGAATTCGTCACTTGAAGCATTGGGCTTCTTGGCGTCTCGACTTTTGCTCAGGTTTGGCACATTCATGACAGGTGGAGATGGAGGTGACTCTACACTGGCAGCCGGGGAAGCTGGAGATGGAGACTTCACCTGTTCCGAAGAAGAGACAGCCGGCTGAATTGAATGAGCATGGACGGTCTCTGGACGCGTTGCATTGTCACTTGTTCTCGGTGCTAATGGCACAGTAGACTCTTCGAGACAAATCTGGACCGACTGGACACGGTCAAGGGTGTCCTTGATTGACTCGCTTTGCAAGGCCCCTGAATCCTTGCTACTTGCCAGTTGCTCACGCAAGTCCTTCAGCGCTTCACCCAGGGTGCTTGCGAGCTCTCGATTTCTCTGTTCCAGATGATTGAGTTGATTTTGCAACTTGAGCTCAGTGGATGCTGACTCTTGTGACTGTGTGCCACCAGCTACGCCTGATAGTGGCCCCGAACGAGAAGTACCAAATCGAGGAGCTGCTTCGTAGTTCATGGTTTGCATGTTTCTTCGCGCCTCAGTCACAGCCCCCCGTACTGCTTTGGCCACTCCCCAGGCCTCTGTCCGCCTCTGAATGCCCAGAGAGACATCTTGCAGAAGTGACTCAAGACTCTTTGGGCTATTTCGAGCCGAAGGCGACGTAGGGGAAGCGCTGTCACTTCGACGTTTGAACTCCTCCCAAATTTTAGAGGTCATGGCAGGCCGAACATTGGAGCGGCTTCGGATTTGAGAAGACTCGGGAGGCCTCCCGGAGTACTTTGAGATCAGGAAAACACCACGTTCGGCCGTGGGGTTCTGTTCCAGGTACAGTGCATCCCGCACAAAGGTTTGGGGTGAGTGCGGCTCTGGAGATGGATAGCGTAAAAGAATGGACAGCGCGCCAGAGTAATCAGCCTCGAGTACTGAATTCGTATAGTCAGCGCGCGGTCGTTCAATCAGCGCCGGGGAGTTGACGCTGCACTTCGAAAATACATACACTGCCAGCGGATCCGGAGTAGCATAGCAATACATGTGAAGTCCACAAGGTCGGACCGAAGACCATGTGCGAACAGCAAGTCCCACATTTCAAGAACTTCTTCAAACGAGAACTCTCTTCCGAAAAGTAGTCTCATCCATCGGCTAGAAGGCCATCAGTGAGAAGGGATCTCAGTATTCAGTCATCGGGTTTGACTCACGTCAAGAAAATTTGTGGGAGTACATCAACGGCGCGTAGATGCTCTGCTAACTCGTTATCGATGATTGAGAGCGCCTCCTGGTGAAGATATTGACACCTGTTGACGATCGGTATTACATCCACCTGGCCATTTGCTGATTTGGTTTCCCCGTGCTCGTAAAACACCCGAGCAGTCTGCATCACACAAAGAAAAAGCGTGAATGAATCATGCTCGATGTATTGAGAATCAAGAACATCCTGCATGAGAACATCTTCGCCGTTTTCAGACGACCTCTCGAGCGAATCTCGATCAATAACCCACACGATAGGAGCTAGCAGCTCATGCATGCCTTGCCTGTAGCCCACATCCGGGTTCAATTTCGAGTAAACGAATAGGATTTCAGTTAGTATCCGTTTCGTAGATGGTTCCTGAAAGAAGAAATTTTCCTGCAGGCAGCGATCGACATCTTGTACGATCTCAGCTCGCAATTTCTCGTCGTTTCGCAGCGTCTGCCAAGGGGACTAGGAATTGTGCAACGAACAATGTCAGAACTGAGTCGAGTGAACTATCGCTTTTTCCGATCTTGATCAATTCCCCATGCGAGCACAGGCGTACCTCATCATCGTCTGCCAACGGATCAACCGTGGACTCGAGATCATCCGGGTGTTCGATGTATTTGAGAAAGTGGGCGCGCAGCGCAACATACGCATCTCGTGATTCAGCGAGCTTGCGGGACCAGTCTGCGCGCTCGACATTGTCGAACAGGAGAAATGTCTACAAATGCCATGAACAGTCTGAACTAGGTAAATCATTTCCTCAGAGTCAGCTGACCTTCCAGCAGACAGACCTTAGTCCATCGGTGCAAAGCCTCTCTCCCTGCTCAGCATCCAACGCTGCTCGCAAGTCAGAGGAGGTAGCATGGTCAGGAAACAGAACGTCCCATCTCTTTCTGCGAGGGTAGCGATAGAGTCAGCGGGGTGTCTTTCTGATGCTAAGCATGTTTATATCGAAATAATGCGCCCCCGTGGAATTCGTCATGCCTACCTAGTCTCAACGAGTGTCCTCATTTCATGAACGAGGCGGTGAGAATACCAGACAAGGAAGAATGATGTAGTTCCAACTTCCCAGTGTGATGAGGGGCGCCGCGGCAAGTCGCGATCAGGTAATCCCGCACCGATAAGTTTAAATAGCGGCTCGTGAGTGCTACCGAACAACAAGCTCTTATCTGTCCCAGCTATCGTGTGCGCTTCCTGGAATCACACATGTTCATAACCTTATCGCGAATCGGAATCAGGTAGACTTGTCAATAAGAAAGGAAGAAGGCCGATCAGACCCCACCAGATGTCTATTTGGTCAGGCTGATCATCTCCAGGCGCAAATGTCCGCAGATCTGTTGGCGGAGTTCGGCCAGGCTCCAAGCGCTGCGCAAAGCTCCAGCGGTCCGACTCAGACAGCACAGCCATCGTCAAGCTTCCTAATAGACAATACGGATCAATCAGACGACATATTCTTCGGCAACTCATCAAAAGCTCCCATTCAGTCTGCAATACATTCTCAGCAGCACGGATGGAAGGCATCTGGGCCAGGTTCACAGCCTTCCGAGGCCCTCCGTCAGGCTGCTCATCGGCCTCAATCTACTTCATTCGATCTTCCTCGAAATCGTGACAGTGATGTACTGTTTGATGCTACTGAGGATTCACCTGCCGGTAGCTCTGACGAGGATGACTGGGGTGATTTTGAAGGCCCAGCGACCAATGCCACTCAACCTCCAAAGCAGGCCAATTCTCAGATTGACCCAAGGATACCTGCAACTCAAGCGACGAGGACCCAGATTCGCCAAGCCCAGGGTAGTTCTTCTGTTGTTGATCTACTTGGGGAACTGTCTGTATCAGAATCTGAGGTTCGATTTCAAGAGCCAGTACCCACTCCATCCTTTTCCCGGCCGGGGCCGAATGACGACTCTTTTGAGGATTGGGGTGACTTTACGAAGGCTCAAGCTGTAAAGCCTCCGCCGCCCGAACATCTCCCCGAGGAGCAGGACTCATTCTCGGAGTGGGATGATTTCACGGACGGTGCACCTACTCAAGCAGTTCCATCTGCGCCGGATCAAAGCCAGTCTTCACGCACAGCCAGCGCTTCGAGCCCGTTTTCATCGGTCAAGAGCACGCCGGCTGCCATGTCCATGGGGAAATCAAGCTCACAGATGCCCAAAAAGTCAACGTCTCCAGCACAAGATTGGGACGAAGACTCATTCGAGGACTGGGCGGACTTTAACGATGATCCAGAAACGCAACCTCCTCAAGTCTATTCCACGTCAACGCCGAAACCGCCACAGCCACCATCTCTAGCTACGTCGGCTTCAACGTCGACAATAAAGACGTCTCATCCAGGGCCGACAACCTCGACCCCAATTGTCCGGCCCACAAACATCCCACCGCCCTCTATCCTCCTCGAACACCTCCTTTCACTCATGCGCACAGTGATCAACGAAGCACAAACGGCTCAAGCCCGCCCAGGCCGCCAAAGGGAACAACTCGCCCCACGAATCCAAAACATCCTCTATACAGCAGCCCGTATCATCGCAGGCCGCACCTACCGCTGGAAACGCGACACCATCCTAGCACAAAGCATGCGCATCGGACCTGCTCGCGCCGGAAAAGCCGGCGGCATGAAGCTCAGCGCCGTCAATAAGCACGAAAACGTCAAGGAGGAACAAGATGCCGTAGATCTGCTGACCATATGGCGTGAACGTGCGTCACTGTTGAATGCCGTGGTTCAATCCGCGGGGTTGAAACCGGTTCCTGCTCTGCCAAGCCCAGCGGCCTTGAAGGTTTTTACGGCTAGGGCTGAGCAGGGCGCTATCAAGGCGGGTCATGCTTGTGCACTTTGTGCTTTGAAAAGAGATGAGCGACTCTTGAAGATCGACGACGATCAGGTGCAGGATAGCTTTGGCGAGTGGTGGACTGATCATTGGGGCCATACCGGGTGTCGGGTCTTTTGGGAGGAGAACAGGGGACTGCTAATGCAGCGATGAAAAGGAATGCTCCAGCTATGCTTCAGACGGGAATTACAGGCTGGACGGGGCAGTATTCAATGTATCATTGGCGTGGTTCTGGAATCTGGAAACTCGCAGGTGGCAATGGCTGACAGCGGACGTGAGGCTCCTTCCCGCTCAATGTTCGACTACGTGGAGGAAATACGAACGAACTAGTTGGTCCCTCGACTCGCAGCGGGTGAGATCTTATAAAGACACCTGGTGAGCTTGGTCTATCTCATTGGAAATTACTGTACAGAAGTATTTTAGCATCAAGGCGATGCAACCAATGATTGGGGCTAAATTGCCAAGAACTGAAAGTGAACCCCAAACCCCTGGCCAAAAACCACCCGAGTGCAAAAGGAGCTAAGCAAGTGAAAGGAGAGATATGATGATGTACACGATTGCGTCCAACTTCACGTAGAAGAAGAAAAGAGGAATGAGGCGCAACGTCAGCAAGGCTGCGGGGCCGCATATAGCTGCTATGTCTGCCACTGATCAAGATGGCTTGAGGTGAGGGTCCTGCCACGACTGGTCGAACAGTCCCTGTGCGGGGACAATCACTCGTAGCCCAAATCTTCCGTCCAAGAAGAGAGTTTTGACACGCCATCGCATTTGATGCTCCGTGGCGTAGATCAATGTTTGAGCCTCTCTTTCCATAGCAGAATCCACATTCTTTCCTCTTTCGCATTACCAGTGGAGGTATGGGCGGCTATGACAGACTGACTGGGTGGCGAATGCGAGCAGGCGCTCAAGAACAGAAGCTCCCGGGTCTGACCTTTCTTCAGCGAGTACGCTAAGAAGCGGTGGCTGCCGACAGGCGGATGATGAGCATCGAAGTTCGATGGCTAGTGAGTCAAGTAAGAATAACCTGCGCCAAAGGCGATAACAAGCATAAGGTCAAAATTGATAAGCGAGACCCGCGATCGTCTTTTGCAATTTAGAAGCTCTGCGCGGACGGTAGGGCGGGCTGAGAGAGAGAGAGAGAGAGAGAGCAGAATTTGTCAGTTATAGGATGTACGACCAGGGCCGACAGGGCTGTGTTCCACGAAGAAATTGTTGAATGGACTGGATGACCAGTCTCGTGGGCACCATGAAAGGAGGAACTGGGGAAGTGGAGCAACTTACAGGGCTGTTGAGCACGCTGTTACGCTTGTTGCGACCCTTCTTGATATGGTTCTTAAGGGCGGTCGAATCCAGTGGTTTCAAGAGTTCGAAGCTGCAGAGGAGTTCACTCGAAACGGACATGATGGCTCCCCAGTTATCGAACTCACCACAGTACTGCGACATGACATCGGTCGGTTAGCGATTTTGATACGCCTGTAGAATGAATCAACCCCGCAATCCAGCGACTTACGTTGGGCGCGGAGAAAACCGTTACCAGGATCCGATCCTGATAGAACTCGTAACCATCCTCGACTACCATGTGGGCTCGACACACCAGATCAAAGTCATGGCGCTGCAAGAAGTTCATGATGACTTTCTTGCCAAAACAATAGCTGACACCTCGCTCGTTTGGCTCCCAGTCTTCTTCCATATCAGCGGGGTCACTCCACAACAGATCATTCAGTAGACCGTAGTCAGGAACGTCGGTGGGCCGGGCAATGCCACGAATGTCATCCATGTGGGATAAGCTAGGCGATAGACCACCATGCACACAGAAGATCTTGCCCGCCACGATCGCGGCAATAGGGAGACAGTTGAAGGTATCAATGAAACCCTTCCAGATCTTGATATTGCAACGGCGTTTGCATTCATCGTAGAATCCATAAACACGCGTGACGTTGGCACACTCGTGGTTACCACGAAGCAGGAAGAAGTTCTCCGGATATCTTAGCTTATAGCAGAAGAGCAGAAGGATCGTCTCGAGGCTCTGCTTGCCACGGTCGACATAGTCACCGAGGAAAAGATAGTTTGATGCTGGGGGGAAACCGCACATTTCGAAGAGGCGGATCAAATCAGTATATTGACCATGAACGTCGCCCACAATCTTGACGGGGGCAGAAAGCTCCAGCAATGCTGGCTGCGAAAGTAGAAGTTCCCGAGTGGCTGAGCAGATAGCCGTGATCTCGGCGTTCTTCAAGCAGACGGTTTTCGTGACTTTGGTTGAGTAACCTGCATCCAAGAGTCGACTGATCATGTCATCCAGATCGATGGACTTCAGCGCACCCATGCCCATGCCCGGTGACCCGGCATGCTCCTGTGGAGGATTGAGAATGAAATCCAGGATGGGGTTCAGCTGGTTTTCGCGCTTGACGAGAATGGACTCCCCAACGTTCGCCACTGTTCCGCTTGGGGGACCTCCTGTAGGAGGGTTGTCAGAGACATTATCCACCTCGCCGCTTTGTTGCATTGCGTTCACATCCTTGTGGCCACGCTTGAGGCTGGTAGACAACGAGGGGGATGGTGGTGGCTCTGGCGAGCCTGTACGGGAGACATTCTCGGATCCGGGAGACGAGAGACCAGAGGCAGATCCTGGGCGGCTGGAGGTTGATTTGACCGATCCTACATCGGACTTGTCGCCTTGACTTTCGGTCCGAGACAGAGCGGTTGATGAAGCACGGGGACTATCGCGAGCGCCGGGGATTTTCGAGCGAATGGAACCACGGAACGATCGAAGGGACTCCTTCGTGTCAGATTTGGAAAAGGATGGGTATGACTGCAAGGCATCGCCTGAGCCGTTGCTCCCCTTGGAATGCGATTGACCCATCGCGACAAGGACAGAGCACTGCCAAGAATCAATTAGGGGGGGAAGAGTTAAATGCAAGGTCTGTCTTGTGTGTCGTGGTCTTGCAGTGATTCCAGGGTCTCAGAACCGGTATTTGGAATGTCTTGGCTCACGAGCTCAGGGCGGGCGCAGTCCAGACACGATTCTAAGCTTTCAACTGCACACAATGCGGATGAGGCGGACGCCGAATGCTAGAAATTACTGCAACCTTTCACAATTTGCGACAGTAAGCGACGGAGTTTGCTCACCCGGAGCGGGCGATGTGACGTGGGTTTGAGGGTATGGGCGACGTGAGCGCAAGGTATAAGAAGCGACAGGCGACCGAGCGGTTTCTGGAAGGCACAGGACCGGTGGTTCCTCGGCCGAGGCAAGGGAAAGATAACAAATGGCTTTGAACGGAAGCCTTTGGTGATGAAGCTCAACGAGTCTGAGTGTGGCCGTTTTGGAAACACGACAACGAGACCAGGATAATCCGACCTGAGGCTGCGCGAACAGGGAGCTGCTGCACCCGTAATTAGTCTATGCCCAATGAGAGTGGACCAGTCAGGCACCAAAGGAAGAGCAATCGACAAGGCCAGACTCCACAAGAGCTAAGCCTTCAATGATATGTGTGAAGGGCTGGATACTGTGACAGCAAAGGCAAGGGAGAACAGAAACTGCGGGAAGTTGGGAATGATGTGGGTGGTGGAGGGTGAACGGAAAGAGCAAGATGCGTCATTCCGTCTGGGGATGGCGAGGCATGTACATCCATCCCGCTTGACGTGGAGAGGACGACCAGGCGATCTCAACGGTACAGGAGGCGGCGAAGGGCAGGTTGCGAAAGCACTCACACTTCACAGAGAGAAGGTTGTCTCCAGGAGGCGGAAAGTTGTGATGTCTGAGTAGCGGCCGTGAATGATTTTTTTTCAAGGTCCTGATGGAGGAGAGGAAGAAAAGGGAAAGAGGGGAAGATAAGTGGTGAGGTGTATGGATGAGGTACTCCGCCACGGCTGAGCTGTGGGAAGATACTTTACAGTACCGAGGACGGTCGACCGGGCTAGGACCTTTGGCTACTGCGATTAGTGTACCGTTAACGTGCTGGCGATGGAGGTTGCATGTGCTTGGAGGCCTTGAATGGACGATGGGCTCCACTCGCTGGCTGAACTGGGCTGAGCAAGACGCCTCGGATCATTGATGGACCGGAGGCAGAAGGGGAATCTACTCAGTCTAGGCCTGCGAACACCCTATCAATAGCTCCAGTCATCGACTGTATTCGTGGTCGGTGTTGGCCTCGACTGTTTTACGTTCCATTTTCATGATTCAAAGGAGAGTCAGAAATGCCATGACTCGGCGGCTTAGAAAGTATCCCGGATACTAGCGGGCTTTCGTGTTTATCGAATTGGGAAAATCCCTCTAGGCTTTATTACCTATTTTGCTTAGGCGCCTTTGGGTGTGTTACTCGCAGCCTGGAGGAAAAACATGGGAGGCTCACAGCATCTCATTTTGGATGACAAGAAACAAATTCAACTCTACACCCATATGTGACACACGGTCGAGGTCGAACTGGGCCCTATATTCTTCGACAGGGCGAGCAAAGGGAGAAATTGAAGCTTCCAAAGCGACCGGCCGATTCCCGGCGTCCAGGGAGCAATGATGCGCATAGACTTCAGGCCTCGGCTCCAAGGGCAAGTAGAAATCAGGAATCTGCTTTTTAAAGTACAATAATGCTCAGCCAAAGAGGGTCATGTGTCGATCAGGAAAGCTACATCTCTTCACGTGGCGGGTGAGAGATGCATAAGGCGTGCAGATTCAAATCCTCGCACAGAGTTCGGCGTCAAGACAGAATGCTGATAACAGCCTCTCCGCCTGCAAGTCAAGTGATCAAGCAGCAAGTCGGAAGGAGCTGGGTAGTCGAGTGTTGAACGAGCGGCGTAACCGACACATACATTTGCGCAGATGCCAAGGCTGCAGACCGATGTTGTTGGCGGGGACACCGCCATTTGCATGTCTGTGCTGGGTCCACCTGTCGTGCAGGATCTGTCGTGACGCTCAGATGAGGTAAATGAGGTAACGTTTGAACTTGCTACGCCGAGAAATACATATGGCGGACTGCGAGGACGGAGTTTGGCACCCACACACGGTGACCTACGTCTTCTGCCAGCCCCGCAGCTGTTCTTGGTGTGCCTTGAGTCCGTAGACCATATGAGTTAAATGCTGATGGTGCCAAGCGATAGAGGACGCATGGTTCCATCAGCATGACCTCTTCCTTTCTGCAAACAACGGCTCGAGCTCCTGAGGGCAGCTTCCCCGAGAGCATGTTCATTTCCCCTGAGTGGGAGATACCAGATACCGGAGACTGATTTGCTCGCCAATGCGTTCATGGCTGTGTGTCGATGAACCGCACGGCAGTCTTATTCCAGCTCAATCTTCGTAATGTGGTGGCCAGGAACGACGATCAGACCAATCAATCGGCTGCTCATATTGACCTTGACCCGTGTAGCTTTCACTTGGGTTTCGTCCCATGACTCTGTTTCTTTCGCGGCGGCTTCTTGGACGGCAGAGGCGCTAGGCATACGGTATTCAAAGGAATTGGCCAGGATGATATTTCGATCCTATGATTTGTAAATGAAGAGATCAGTGAAAGTCCTTCTACTCAATTGGTAATTTGGAGAGCAGGTGTGATGGAATGCTTACGGCGTCAGTGCATTTAAAGAGACCAACAAACATGCGACCGTCACTTGCGTGAATACGCAGAGTTCGGCCGAGGAGGCCACTCAGATAGGAAACTGCTTTTTCCGTGTCCATGATACCGAGAAGATTATGCAAGATGGCAGAAGAGTGTTGGCCTAGATGTCGCCAGTGGAGAAATGTCCAGGGGTCGCGTGTCTGCGGCTCAAGCTGGAAAGCTTGGGCAAGGAGTTGCGCGACTGTCGCTCTGGTTGATTGACAATCCTGATATTTCAAATGTGAGGCTGAACGGGACTGTCACAATATGACCGATGTTGACGGGCATGTGTTTCGCCAATTGGGGGCACCGTCGACGTTTATGAGTTGGTTGGGTTCAATTTGGAGACTGGAGTAGGTCTGCAATCGTGGTGACGGCTTGGCCGACGGGCTCGTGCCCCACATACTCGGTGGTCACCGCCGAGGCTCTAATTGAACTCAACGGGTGGGTAGTTGTGTACTACTGTACTGTGTACGATACGCCCAGTGACTTATCTTACCTCTTCATCATATCTCTGAGCCATAAGGTCACATATACGACAAGAGACCAGCGCTTACAATGACTCACAGCTCGACTCGAAAAGAAAGTCATGCAGGTGGTCCTTGAAATATCTGGGTTCGTGTTCAGATCGTTTATATGCTGTCCGCACTCTGCACTAACCGTCCTTCCCAGTAGTCATACAACCTGAAAATGCTAATCCCAACAGAAATTTCCGTAAAACGCCGGCAGATGTTCAGTAGACACCTTGTGTCACCACCGGAACATGCCAATTACCAAAAGAGCCAGAAATTGGACGACTCTCTCCAGGCGACCTGCGCTTGGTTATGAGTCGAGCATTGGTAGCCGCCCAAGTCGCGTCAAACACCTCCGTTCCAGAATGCCCATTTAGAGACTGGGTTGGAGCTATCATTGCTTTGTTCTCCGTCTACCTCCATTTCCATCTCCATGTCCGTGTCGGTGTTGAAAACCCCTGGGCTCATAGTCTCACTGCCACTCGTGCTCTCGCTTGCATGTAGTTGCGAAAAGGCCTGGTGCCGAAGCAGGTCGTCGCGGTGGACCGCGGTTTCATTGGCACGGGCAGCCAGAGCTTCTGGTGATGGTCGGAAAGATGACGATTGCTCCGATCGAGGTTGGAAGAATCGCAAAAGTGACTGCTGGCGTGGATCAACGGCTTCGGAGGTAGTGCCTTGCTCTGCGTCGGTCATTGCATCGTCCGCGATGTCCATGGGGGTGGTAAGTGGCTGCTGCTGTTGTGCGGAGTAGATCCAGCGAAGAGTTTTCTCTTGTGCTTGTTAGCGACGAATGACATTTTGAAGCAACTTGGTAGAGACGAGGGCTCTCTCTTGTCGCGCGGTCCCCGGGTTCAAACCCTGTGCAGGCACCATGCAGGGGTCTTCAGGGTCTTCAGGGTCTTCTCACACAACACACACGGAGGACGTACCGTATACCACATCATCATCAGGTCGTCCGTTGCGAAAACGCTTTCGCGTTCGGCTGGGAAGCTCCGCAGAGCCATTGGACGGACCCCAGCTACTGGGAGTAGACCATGCCGTACCGGGCGCCGGGCCAGACAATGAAGCTTTACGCTTGACAGACATTGTGATAAGTCTTGAAGAGAAGGGGAGAAGATGAGGAATGGGCGTGACCACGGTAGCGCTCGTCGAGTCGACCTCTGAGCCTGTGGAAATGGTAGAATGGCAGCTCACACGACTGAAGCGAAGGATGCGAGAGACTGTCGCATGCCGAGTGAGACGAAAAGGCTGGACTGCATTCATGGCTGCTGATTGGCTGATCGCGTCTTGGGGTTGGCACATTCGCGTTGACCGGGACACGCTATTCCGGAATGGGCAACATTACTCTGGGAATCCGATCCTCTTCTTGTTGCTTTCCTAGCCAGAAGTATCTGGAGACGGTATAAAGCGGCCTCGGGGTTATCAGTCAGAGAGAAACCCCACTGGATGCTTCATTCTAGCGGACAGAATCTCAAACATTGTCTACTTGGGTCGGACAGCCTGTTTGATGGGGAGAAGGCCCCATCGGAGTGAGCGGAAATCCTTCCGAGGGAACGCGAGCCGGAGATTCTGCCACTGTAGAACACCAGAAGGTCAGTAACTTACCACCAACTGTAGGGGTTTCCACAGGGCAACTTAAGTCAGTCGCACTATATCTTTAGTTGTATTATTGAGGTCGACGAGTAGAGACACGAGTTTGTTATGAGAACACACGGAGCGAAAAAGTGTGGCTCAACTTTCTCTCCTCTACAGGTGCGTCTGCAATTACGACGTCATAGTTGTGATTGGGTGATCAGGATTCATGCAGGATCGTCGCGAGGCTCCGATCATTCAGGTAAGTGATTCTTTGCCTGGACAAAGTTTGACGACGACTGTGCTCAAAACGATGCGTACCAGTTGATGGGAGCTTTGACACGAGGCTCAGGCGGAGACGAGGTTCTAGCACGTGTATGGACCCCGACTGACACCTCACTCCTCCAAGTTCATCGGCAGTTCGCATAGGTAACTTAGTAGTAGTAGTATACTTCAGGTGCTCCACCCATAGATTAGGTCGTGGCTGTATCTCCCCGCTCCTCGCACTTGAACCTCCCATCCATTACGGTACCGTCTTCGGCCTGTGACCATCGGAGCGACGAAACCTCTTCAAGCTTTGAAAATCACCGTACCTTGATCAAGCGTGTGATTGACAGCCGTGGCCATGTCTGTCAGACGAGCTTCTCATGCTGGATCCTGGTATTCGGATAGTGCCCGAACGCTTTCCCGCCAGCTGGATGACTGGCTGGATCAAGTGCCCGATGCTTTAGATCAAGTCGGATCCATTCCAGTACCCGGAGGTCGAGTGATCATCGCACCGTATGTATTGCTTGACTTGCGTGAAACAGCTTGCCCCATCGGTACGAAAGTGTTTGGATTAAGATAATAACCATGTTCAACAACACACAGGCACGCAGGCTATGCGTATTCTGGACCCTGCGCAGCCTTTGCCTACAAGGCTCTTGATCTTTCCAAGGCGTGAGTTGGTCCATGAGGAATCTCGATTCATTCTTGACACTCTCCTCAAGTCTCTGACCTCGAGACTCGTACGACAGAAAGCGCATCTTCATCTTGGGCCCATCCCATCATTATCCATTGTCCACGCTGGCTCTACCCCAGGTCACCTCGTACGAGACCCCGCTCTCCGATGAGCCTCTGCCGCTCGACACCGATCTGATCAGCGAGCTTCTCACCAAAGCGGCGACCAAGCCAAATGGCACTACGCTCCGGTTCACCACCATGAGCCGGTCGGTGGATGAGGATGAGCACAGCATTGAAATGCAGCTGCCATATCTCCATCGCCTCTTGCAGGTGCAGCTCCCCAACACACCAACGGCGCAGTACCCACCACTCGTTCCAATCATGGTCGGGAGTACTTCGGCTGCGACAGAGCAAGCCTTTGGCACCTTACTCGCTCCGTATCTGGCAGATGAGGAGAATGCCTTTGTAATCAGTTCAGACTTTTGCCACTGGGGACTTCGTTTCCGCTACACCTACTATGTGCCCCAGGCTCCTTCGCCCGGGCCAAGCCTCCCACTTTCAAGCTCCGACCTGCCTCAGCCAGGAGCCGACCTAGATGATGCCGCTGAACACATCGATTCTGTCTGCACGGGACATCACCTGCAACGACGGGATCGGATTCCAGGGTCTGGTCCTGCCATTCATGAGAGTATCTCTGCTTTCGACCTTGCAACCATGACGGCCATCTCCACGGGGTCGACTGAGACCTTTCTCGATGCCATCGAGCGTACGGGGAACACCGTGTGTGGTCGTCATCCCATCGGCGTGATTATGGCAGCGTTCGAGTCAGTGACTAAGAGCTCGTCAGGAAGCAAGAATGGACTCTTCCATTTCCTACGATATGAGCGTAGCTCTGATGCGGTCGATGTTGCGGATAGCTCGGTCAGCTATGTTGCGGCGGTAGCAGCTCTATGATTTGCCGGTGTTTTATGATGCTCATAACCCGACATCTTTTTTGGCAGTAGCCTGCTCGGTCTCTCATGGGCGCTGAGGGGCCGGGTTTAGCTTTTAACTTGCGTTAAAAACAACAGGACGCAGTCATAAACCAAGCTTGTTTCTAGTTCAACCCGATCAACAAGATTTACGTCAATAAAACAAGACTTTGTAGCATGCAGATTGTGCAATGATATTAGGATCAAGGAAGATCTCAAGAAGCGGTTGGCCATGCGGAGGAAATGTGTATAGTCAATAGTGTATACTGTTATAAGTTAGTACCTACTACCATGTAGTACTGTACCTACTAAGATAGCCCATACCAACGGCAAGACAGTCTGTTCCACTCTCTGGTCCAACAGTCTACCTTTATCAACTCGGCCGCTCAAATCAGAGCGCGCTCGATACGATTTGTTCCTGACATATCTACTGTATACCTTGGTATGACACTCCCGGCCTACTGTGCTTGTTTGGAGAGTAGTCTCCGGTCCCACGCCCTCTTGTGACTTGACTTGCTGTCCGATTCTCAACCCCATCTTAGAGTAATCGTATGGACTGTGGCCCAGGCCAGTCTGTAGAAGACTGGGCGACAGCCCCACGTGGCGCGGGACCTGGAAACTTCGGCGTCGGCAGTATGAGGCGAATTCTCGCTTACTTGCTGTATTCAAGATGGTACTGGTGTAGTAAGCAGTTCCTGGGTGGCACTGAGAATTGGGTACTCGAATCTTAGCTTTTGCCGAAGGGGCTGATGACTGTTTCTGACCCGATTCATGGGGGAAAGCCCATGTCACTTGAATGGTACACATTCTATCGGTGGTAAATAAGAACGCCCTTTGTGTTGTGGTAGTTGTGTATTTGATTCTTTAATCTGTCAGTCACTCAAGCAGCCCTACAGCGGGACGGAAGCTCCTTAATATCGGAAACCCGCCTATTGGCGCCACTTTTCATATTAAGCATTGGGCACAGTGTGACCCTGTGCGATGTGTCGACCCGCCAAGCTTTGTAGAAAATTAATGTGATCGAAATCAATCAAGCAATCGGACCAGGAGAGGTGTCGTGATCGAAAGACGAATCGAGCAAGATCGGTCCGAGAAACGGAATGAGCGTCTTGAAGCCTCAGATGGATGCACGCATCCCTCGGTCCATGCCCAAATGGAACGGAGGGACTGTACGCTAAGGACTAGGCTTTCTCTTTCCTCTTCGGTTCAGGGATCCAGTCTATGGCGCTCCGCGGTCGATCAGGACTCGTTGGACAGCATTGACCTGGTGGCACTGAGATTGATCACTGCGATCATCTCCCCCTTCAGCGGTGGGAAGTCTTTCGTCTTTCTCTGTTCTGGTCAAGTCCGATCTTACTCATCAATTGTCTCATCCCATGCGTCGTGATGGCAAAAGAGAGACACCCCGGGGAGACTGAAGACTGGAGATGAGTCGTGCGAGAGGGATATGATCAAAAAAAAACCCCATGCCAGATCAGGCTCTCCGGACAGAGGCTCGAGCGCGGTGGAGACAGTAGCCCCTTCAACATCTGTAACAGGCACCGCCGGTCTGGAAACCGCCATCGCAAATTGATCAATCGAATCGACCATGGCCATCGGCCCTACTGAACAGTCTGATTCGCGCCCGTCGACCTACCGTGGAGCCCGAGATCATCCAGGAGGAGGCGACCACCCATTCGGGTCAAGACCATCGTCGACTGTTTAGCAGCCCCTCGTACAGTAGTTGATCCGCCTATCAGCCGGGCAGGCGGTGCGCGTGTCAACTGTCAACTGCTCAGCTCACTCTTCACGCATGGCAGAAGCTCAAGCTCGTCATTGGCACTCTCTGGCAAGTGGGGACTCGGAAGAGCCGTGTTGATTCTGCGGTGTACCGTCGGGACCTGAATCTTGGGTGTGAACGGCCCCGGTCGGTTCCTGGCAGCTTGCCGCACGGTTCATCCCACAATCACAGTCGGGAGAGGAAGCACGGTCGTCAGCTTGCTCTGCATCAGGCCCCAGCTTGTTCCTTGCAGTTCTGTATAATGGCAATTGTTCAGCTTGATCTGTTCGACTCTATAGCGTACGGGCAGACAAAGATTTCCCTTTGACTCAAGGCCGTCCTTGTGTCCGGGTCCACACCCTGTATGCCCCTCCGCTACAGAGATTCGCTCGGATCATCCACGCGCTGGTGGCGTCCATCGTGGGCGCGCGCGCTAAAAGTCACTCGTGGGGCGGATGGACCTTCGACGGTCGTTCTAACCTCTTTCTGCTTTGTCTCCTGCGTTTCAGATCCGACAAACGCTCGTGTGTATTTGACTGCCGTCGCACTGAGGGAAAAGAATCCCGACCATTTTCAAGACCCATCGGTGATCGCGCCCACTTTCACCCCTAACCGCTCGGTCCTCATTCGTCCCTGCAGATACTGATTATCAAGTCGTTGGAGGACGGATCTCGTATGTTCTCAGTCATTGGCTCACTGCAATCTCGACAGAGAAGATTGCCATCGCGGGGGTTTGCTTCCAAGGCTGACGGACAGATTTTGGGTGATGAGGGGTTGAGCCAGCGGCGCCACCAACATTCGGAATCTCTTCAGGGAGAGAGGAAAAGGCAAAAGCGCAAAGGCTCACGGTCCCGTGTCGGGTCGATATAAGTAAGACTGCCCCTCCAGTAGGTACACCTCTTCTTTCTCTCTTTGCTGGATGTAGACGTTCCCTCCTTTTCGTCCCTTCACCTTCCTTTCCCTTGCCCTCGAGGTTGTTACCAGTGCTGGTTGCTGGTAACTTGCCTTTGGTTGACTGATCTTCTCAAGTATCACGATCTTATCTGATTGCTCCTCTGTTGAGTTGAAGCATCACCTACACTCCTTGATTTTTACTTGAATTTCCACTCCTTTCTTGAGAAATCAGTCAACTCTGTACGTTCCTTGTTTTCTTCATCTTGACCGTCCTTTTTTTTTTTTTCCTCTGGTGCAACCTCTCCACGCAACAATGTTTCGCCAGCTTCTTATTTTGGCCCTAGTCGGCTTCATCATGCCGTTCTCCTGGGCATGGCCCATCTCCAGCTGTGGAGGCTCGAGAAGCTCTTCCGCATCTGCATCGACCCCTACGCCTTCTCCTCCGGGCTCAAGTCTGGGCCCGGCTCCCACTCCGGTGGCCGGACATACTGACCGGTTGGTGTTTGCTCATTTCATGGTAAGAAAGCGCTCACGATCTGTTGCCTCTTCACACAGCCTCCCTCCCAAGCTAACATGACTCTTCTTTCCCCGTAGATGGGCATCACCAGCAACCGCCAGAACGCAAGCGACTACGACGGTGATATGCAACGCGCCAAAGCCGCAGGCATTGACGCCTTTGCGCTGAACATTGGCATGGACTCTTTCACCGACACCCAGTTGGACCTGGCCTACGAATCTGCCGCGCACAATGATATGAAAGTGTTCATCTCATTCGATTTCAACTGGTGGAGTACCAGCGACGCCGCCGGCGTCGGAGCCAAGACCAAGCAGTTTGCGGATCATCCTGCTCAACTCAAAGTCGACGGCAAGGTCTTTGTCTCGTCCTTTGCGGGTGATGGTCTGAATGTTGCTGCCCTCCGCGCGGCCGTTGGGCAAGAGATCTTCTTTGCTCCCAATTTCCAGCCCAGCAAGAGCAACTTTGACGACCTCGACGCTGCGTTGAACTGGATGGCGTGGCCCAGCAACGGCGAGAACAAGGCCCCCACCGTCAACCGTCATGTCTCGGTGGTGCAGGGCGATGAAGCGTACACTGATGCGTTGAAGGGCAAACCCTACATTGCGCGTAAGTGGTTCACCCTACCCCAGGAAAAGAAGTTGGCATGCCAATGACGGGAAAGAAAGCTAATGAAAGGTGATGTTTTGATGTTTCTAGCCATCTCGCCCTGGTTCTCCACCCACTTTGGCGCCGAGGTTTCCTACAGCAAGAACTGGGTCTTCCCCTCCGATCTACTGTGGTACAACCGCTGGCAGGAGATCCTGGCCAAGGGTCCTCGGTTTGTCGAAATTATCACCTGGAATGACTACGGCGAGTCACACTATGTCGGCCCGCTGTCCTCGCCGCATACTGACGACGGAGCATCCAAGTGGGTGATGGATATGTAAGTTTTTTTTTTTTTTTTTTGTTTCTTTTTTGTTTCTTTTTTGTTTTGCATTACGCGATGTCCCAGCTTAGAGAGAAAGGGCTGACCATCTCTGTCCCCAGGCCTCACGGTGGTTGGCTTGACATGGCCAAGCCCTTTATCGCGGCTTACAAGGCTGGTGCCACCCACGCCGAGCCGTACGTCGAGGAGGAGAGACTGGTGTACTGGTACCGCCCAACCAAGGAGGGTGTCAACTGCGACGCCACCGACAACACCATGGAGGGCACCCCCAACAACAGCAGCGGGAACTTTTTCGCAGGTCGCCCGAACGGCTTCCACACGATGACGGATGAAGTGTTTGTGGTTGCCATGTTGAAATCCCCCGCCCAGGTGATGGTCAACTCGGGCGGTCAGACCACGACTTATGATGCGCCCGCCGGCATCACGGCATACAAAGCGCCCATGGGAACCGGTCAGCAGCAATTTGCCGTGGCTCGCAACGGGCAGAATTTCCTGTCTGGGACCAGTGCGCGGGACATTGGGGATACCTGCAATTGCGGGATCTACAACTTCAACGCGTATGTGGGGACCCTTCCAGCGCCCGCCGTGATGGACCAGCTCCAGCCGACGGGGCAAGCGATGTTGACCAAGGGCTTGAGGATGGTGTGTCCGACCACATCGCAAACGCACATCGTCACTCCATCGCCCACTGCGGCGTGAGCGTTTGAAAAAGATGGAAAAAAACAATTGATCTTGGGATTCAGAAGGGAAAGCGAAAAAAAAAAGAGACAAAAGAACACGAGAAAAAGGAATCAAGGGGTTTTAGTGGCAGAAGGGTTGAGAGAAACATGGACACGACGAAACGAATGTGCCATGAGGAGAGATCACGAACAGCAGCGCTGGACTCTTCCCCGTAACGCATCTCACTTCATCTGATGCTGGTCGTTGGTGAAGTTGCAGACATGGCGAGATTTGATACCCCTTAGACATGAGACAGTCTATACCATTCTTCCAATTTTGTTCATATCTTGCCTCTGGTATTTGCATCGTACAACTACAGCAAGTGTCAGTCCTTGTACAATACGAGATTAGTAAATTGTATGTCCTTGACCATCTGAGTATCTACCATCCCTCCTCCAACTGACGAGCCAGATCACCAACTGTCCCGCAAGTTACAGTGCCAAGTCCACCGACGCTTACTTACTACGGTGAGCCTAGTAAAAGGCTTCAAGTTCTGTATCTCCAGTTCTCTATAGATGGGATCGGATCTCCCTGTCGACTTGACTAAACAAGGGATGCTCGTCCTTCCCTATCGCGGACCGCCCGATGATCGCTCACCGACTCTTTTCCTCATCAGGAGCTGTGATCCTCCCAGCACTGATGCGACATGAAAGGTTACAGGCACTGGCACCGTTGAGGGCTAGACCGTACACTCCCTTAATGAGTACCAGTGTCCAACTGTAGATTGAGATTGTACCAGCCAGGATAGACTTTCCAACTCCTTCCTGCATCTCGTAGACGCACCTTTGATCCCAAGTGGTGGGGGATTGCTTTGACTAGAAGTAACCGCCATTTGACTGCCTGCATCGTGACTTGCTCACCCGGTGAAGAATACCCTGGAACGAGAACTCCATTTGGTCCAAGGGGAGATTCCAGGAATCGCGGCGTCGAGATGCATCTCAAAGGGTGTAATACGCACCGGACTTGTTCTAGATTGTCAGACTCGGTTGTAGTTTTTCTTTTCTTCTTTTTTTTTCCCTCCTTATTCTTAGGTTTCTGGTTTCGAGATGTGAATTGCATAGTGAGGTATCCTTCTTCATCAATTCCTTCGCCTCGCTAAGCCCCTACGTCTTTCGCAATCAGTCTTCATGGCGCGTGGTTTATACTGGTTGTTTTTCGTGAAAGGATTTATTGGCACAACGAGACCAAAGTACTTGTAGGACTGTTCCAGAGGACTACCCAGACTCAGACATGACCCAGTTTCATGATCAGAGCAATTTCCTTCTCTTTTTGAACCCGTTTCCATCTCTCAGTTGTTAATGATCCCCTGGCGAATAACCCAACAGACAACAAACCACCCCCTCTTTACCAAAGCTCTCTCCATCCATCATCCCGCGCAGCAGACCAAACTTTCTCACAGTCACAATCCCCCCCCCCCCCCCCACCCTCTTGACACCTCTCTCGCTCAAACTCCGGCTCATGATCTGGGAACTTGGCCTCGGAGGTCACCGACTTCATATCCTCCAATATATCAACCAACGACTCGGACACATCATCTGTCCGCTTGGCGAAGAGGGCCATGCTCATCCCCTCAAGGACTCTTGAGGGACTCCGCATCCCGGCCGCAGTCGGGTGCTCGAGATCGAATTCGGGCACTCAAGTGCGGCGATGCAAGTGCGGGTTCGTCCTACTGTGATGTATGCCATGCCATGGTCCCGGGGTGATGCAGCTTGTAAAGAAGAGTGGAGGGTCTGCGAGATCGAAGGGAAGGGTTCGATCTGTTGATGCTGGCCAAGAGGGTGGTGTTGATGTGGGCATGAGTGGTGCCGTGAACAATGGACGGAGTTTGCGTCAGAGTGGATTGCTAGGTTTGGGGTTGACTTGTCGACAAATGTATGCAAGTCAAGCCCGTAACGAGTCGCATGAGAGGAGAGAAGGTTCCGCCCTCATCTCTCGTGTGATGACCGTCCCCTAATGCTTCCTTGCTTCCCTCACTCCTGCTCATCTCACTTGGATACATCTCCCCCGTGTGTCCAAATGCTCTTCCCAAAAACTAACTCCCACGCACATGTTCCAGCTTCGACGAATCAATCCACCTCCTCTACTTGTCAAATACCTGTGAATTCAGCAATCCCTGGTCATTGCTCTATCTGCAACCTACCATTCGCCCAGACCATTGGCCCAGTATACGAAGAGTCGTCTTACGCTGGTCCTTTTCCGGCCACTGGCTACCGACCAAGGACTCCGTTCGCGCCATCTATGTCGCTGCAGGCCAGGGGCCATGGCGAGAAACCTATCGCAATGTTCAAAGCTTTATCAGCTCTTCGATCCTTTTGTCTCATCCTGGACAGCAGTTGGTTCTGCGAGGAAGCCGAGAAAGTACCGGTCTTTTCGGAGCCTCTGGCTGGACTGGAGATTGATCATCGTCGACGTGATCGAACAAGTCAACAGCAAGGGGAAGACATGGGTCTCTCCTCATCTTCGCCCTATCCGTCAGTTGCAATGGCCGCGGAGATCGTTCCATCAGCGTCGAGACCCATGACGAGTCAAATGGCAATGAATCACCGCGTCGATGCAGGACTTGGGCTCTGACGAATGCCGCGGCAGTCTCGAGTCATGTTCGACAATCTCCCGTTCGTCATTCTCATCGCTTTCCTCGTCGTCAGATGGTAATAGAGAAGCACACCATTCCGTTGGCTCCTGGCCCTCGGAAATGATGCCCAGAAATTAAACATGTCTCCAGCCCATGTCTCGGATGACTTCCAAGATGCACTTCCCTCCCCATCTCACCACAGTAGATTGGGAACTCCAGCTGCAGAGCCAGCCATATTAACCCGAGGAGATCGAACGAATCAAGGCAGAGCTGAAACGTAGACACATCAATTGCTGGATATCGACGCTTGAACCTGAGGCGGGCAAGCATGTACCTGGACGTATATACAAAGTCCTGGCCCCTGACCCTGGACAATCAATTGAAGGGGGTATCCACGTGGAGCAAGACCAGGATCTCGCAGACTTGATCCTATCTCGGAAGAAACAGCCGCAACCCAGCGCGTGTGGTTTTCAGAGGCCGCGTGTGTGGAAATAAGGTTTTCACAATACTCTGAGAGGTGCTCTCGCGGCTTTCCAGTTCACCAGAGCAAGGTGCGGGGGCCGTTGTCGATCACAAAGGTAGAAAGGCGCGCATTACAATTACAGGAGATCCGCGCTGGAGAATGCGGACAAGAAAGCGGACTTGGCGACCGTCTGGATTCCTTCGGATGTTCGAGTTGTTTTAGGGTTCAAAGGAAGTGAGTGATCGGCCTGAGGTACTGAGCACGAATGGATGTCTACGATGTTGATCATGGTCAGGTGTACATGATTAGAGAGATGCAATGTAGAATCATGTTAAGAATATATCTCGGCCTAGGGCCTTCAATATTGCCGGCGGTGTAAAGTCGGCAGCGATATTAGAAAATAGAGATGATGGAGGGTATCGACGAGTTACATGATGACAGCTGCCTTGAATGGGCCCCGCAAACACGACAAATCCTAGCAAGACAGACAACAAAGAAAAAATGCGCTCGCCAAGTGCCGTCAAATGGTGTAATTAGGTCCAGAAACACAGACGGCTGTGACTGGACGAATGGTTAATGAAAATTGAGATGAATGGTTTCGACAGTCAGTTTCAAGCCTGTATTGTTGAAGGCAAGGGAAATGAGAAGATGGACAAGATGTGGGTGGAGAAAGGAAAAGAGAGATGGATAAGGAAGGCAAAGACTCCAAATTGGAGGTCGATATGATATATCAGGCATCTTTTGTTTCATGCGACCCAGCAGAGCGTGATGAAACCTCATGTCTGAAGGAATCATCCAGGAGAGATTCTGACTGGGTTGGCGAAGTCGGGTGTTGCACTTGCTGTGCTTAAAGGCGTCAAGCTTTCTTTTCGTCTGCCTGCCCAGTAGTCACGTATGTAACTCCGGCCCTGTGGTAGATTTCATCGATTCTAGCAAGCGTGACTGGGCGATGCCGTTGATCATGACTGTTCGCTGATTCGAAAAAGCGAACGAGGCCTGTTGATTTCGATGTCCAGCGCAGCGTGATGCCGTGCGAGTGATTGTAGGCTGCCTTGACAGCGTGACAATCCGATCAGGCTGGTGTCAACGCTAAGCAGAAAAAAGCGCGTCGATGCGCGAAGACACTCAATGCCAGCCGATAAACTCTCGGAGGGTGGACAGAGACTTCCATAAAAAATCGTCGATGTGAACAAAGATGGGAAGCTGCCGAGCCGATGTTAAACTCTTGTTGTATGAATTTGGTGATGAGCAAAAGAGGGCTGCTCATTTGGAGTGACAGTCAATGATTTTCAAGGTCCTCCGTTCGAGCGATCGGGGCCAGAATGACCGTGACCGCGAGCACTGAGCCACTCTGTAGCGGCTTCTTGTCGAGCGTCGGCGTGCTTTTGCTCACCAGGCCGTCCCGATAGACTGCGAGGAAGAATATTCTGAATCTCAGCGGCGAGGGCAGATACGGTATAAGCCCGAAGCTCCCGCTCTTCCCGCTCATCCTCTTTCATCAACCGACGTTGATCGGTCTTGGCAAGGTTCTCTCGACGTTGTCGGCGGATCTCGCGAATCGACCACAGGACAACTTCCTCGGGCGCACGGGTGCGAGGGCTACCGTGCTTGGAGAAATTGCGAACGTAGCGGCGTGTGACGTCGGTCGCCCCGTCAATGGAAAACGCGATGCAATAGGACAACTTGCGGCGCCAGCCCTCGGTATAAAGGCGAGGTTGGTCCCAAGCCTCCTCACAGGCATCGACGTGAATCCAGCGGCGTTGGTGTTCGGAATACACTTCTGTCCAAACGTAGTCTTCCGAGTTCCACACCCAGCGCACGCGCGCACCCATGGCACGACAAAGCATACTGAAGCAGTTAGCCCACTCCCCGACACGGCCTCTCCTTGTTTGCAGCAATTGCCAGACATCAGAGTAGCGAGGAAAACGTTCGTAGGTGCCACAGGTGGAGCCCGAGCACCGATACAGCTCGACTCGCGTGGCGCCGCGGGCGGTCTCGTCGGGGCTGGGTGGGGTCATTCCCTGGGCAATCGTGGGCATGTAGCATCGTGAGCAGGGAGGGTTGTTGACGAATTGGAAAAAGGACCGCTTAAACCATCTGGCGGACGGAGGAATGTCAGTGTGAATACCACCAGAGAAAGGGGCAGGGTGGAAGGGCCAAATGGGCCCTGCCACACCTTGGCAGGTCTTTTTGAAGGCTGGAACACATACTTGAGCAATGCCCGGATCACACAATCTTGATATCCCCATTCTGGCTTGCCGCCCACACTGGCGGCTTGAGCATTCAGAATCTGTGATTCCTCCTCGGCTTCGGAGTACAGGCGATCGAGCGGCAAGGTGCAGAGCGCCTCGTCCAAAAGTCCAGGATTTTCGTATTTCGTGGGCGTCACCGACAGGACTTTGAGCAGATTAAAGAATTTCATTGAGCTTGCGTCTTGAGGAGGGGATGGCATGATTGGGAGACTTCGAAGGGCTGGATTTGGCCGCGATGGTTGCGACTGTGAGGCCGGGCGCGCTTCGGCGCCAAGGGAAGGAGGAGGTGGCGGCGCTCGTGAAGGCGGCGGAATCGAGAAACTGGAGGGTGACGGAGCTGGTGATTGAGATCGAGCCCGCGACCGAGCCGACTCGTGCAGTTGATTGAATCGTTTCGTCCGCATCAATTGTTCGAACTGCTGGCTCAAGGAAGAGGCGTCGTACCCGGGGTTGGTGCCATTCGTATTTGGGGCAGGCTGGGCGGCCCGCTGGGGTTTGCCGTCCGCCATGGTTGGAACGAGGTAGTGGTCACCGGCGGGCGACACTGACAAGCTTACTCCAGGGTTGTAGACGATCAGTATTTCGAGAGAGGGTGAGATGAAGGAACGGCGCTAGGAAAGGGAGGCTGAGGCGAGTAAATTCGAACACCCCGGAGAGTCAACGGGACCAGGGGGGGGGGGGGGGGGGGGATTTGGCGGAGGATCGAAGAGAGGGAAAAGGGAGCTTTGAGTGAGTTGTAAGGAAAAGAAGGAAAGAGAGTATGTCAAGCGTACGAAGGGCCCTGGGGAAGTGGACGGTGGGCCAGGCCCAGTCACGACGAGAGCTGCTGGCCTACAACGTTGACTGAGCGGGTAACGACTAAACTAGTCGTGTAACTTTCGGTATTGGCTCTGTGTGGTATTGCCTCTTTCCCGTTTGTAAGCATCGGGTTTGGTAGCAATGTGATGCCCATCGCCGGGTAGATGTCCGCTCTTGGCGTTGCACCGTCATGTCATCTGGGTGTAATTACAGAACAGTTCTGGGTAGCAGGCGTCGTCAGCCTCTTGGCCCCAGTCACGGGCCCGTCGCCCAAAGCCGCGTCAACACCCCCGACGGGCGGACCATTGAATGATTGAAGAAGCATAGACTCGTTCATTTTGGGTTTAATCGTATTTGATGCTATCAGTCGATCCGCTCTCTCGACCTTCAGTGTTCTCCTCGTCCACGTAAGCACGTCGCTTAATTTGACAGGAATCAAATACCTTGTGGCTTCCCACTGGAGGTTCACCACCGCTCAGGATTTCCTCCCAGCTAAGTTAGTCCGAGATGACGAATAACAAAATGGAGACCAGCGACAGAACGAGAAGAGGATGGACTCTCCTGATACGTGATTCTTGCCCCACGAACTTCATTAGTTGAGATAATCGTCGTATGGCCATTGCGTTGCACCTGCAACTGCTATGATGCTGCTGTGCACCCTGCGTATCCATCCACAGCAGTCAGGACTTCGGAGCACTCGTAGAATGACGGTGATTATGTTCTCCAGTCTTGGCATGCGCTGGGTCCCATGACCAGAAAAGGCTTATTCAAGACTCAAGGCGACCTACGTACTCTTATCCCAGAGCTTCCCTGGACGCTTGATCATGATGAAATTGACCTACATTATAATTGTTAATTGCGGCGGAGAGAGTAGTATTCGGAAAGTCATGAACGGTTATGCTTGCCCATCTGGGGAAATCATGCATGACTAGGAGGCTTCTGCAGTAGGAGCAGGACGATCCCCATCGACCTCTCCCCCCCCAAACGTCTACGTCGCGCCTCAACCTTTGCCATGACTGTAATTAGATTCCATACAAAGTGAACGACTCCAGATAGGCAGATCTACCTGTTAATTCAAAGGCCGTCCTGGTCAGCCACCGGTATACAAGTCTGCTCTACTACTCTAGAAGTCTAGAGTCTAGTGTCTAGTATGACTACTAGACTCGCACTGTACTCCTACTGAGCCCACGCGTTCCATGACTGTCTAATTTCCTGGAGGGCAGGGTTTCGAGCGACCATGAAAGGGCCCCGACTGGCCCAGGGGAAGCCTTGGAGGCGGAGACGCGCAAGCGTCCGTCTTGGCAGCGAGTGCGATCGGTCCAGAGCCTCGTCGAGGCTCCACCCGGTGGGGCTACGTCAATCTGCTTTCGTAACCTCTCCGTTGGCTCGCTAAGCCCATTTGGGTTACTCCCCATCCCCAGCATCACCGATGATGGACAGTCTTCACGACAGTGGTGTGGCGTGTACTACGAGTCTACGACAATGAGTTACCCCAGCAAATGTCCATGTACATAGCTGTCCTTCCATTGCGATATTTCACTGATGTGCAACTCCCTTGCGGGGCACTTTGTTGTGTGGCGTCAAGTCCATCACTCCCGGTTGCTACTAGCTTGTCCACCCCCACTGACTAACCCGTCGATATCGTTCACTCGTCAAATGCTGACGCATACCCGCGTGCGATCCTTCGGCTTTGCGACGCATGGGAGATTGTGGCACCACAATAGTTCTCCCCTCGCTCGGCTTCGAGACTGCAGATTGCAGAAGGCCCTTGAAAACCCAGGCCCGAGAGGCCCAGAACTGCTCAAGTCTGGTAATACACCCGTGACTCCTGTCCCAAAAGGCGACCACGAGAGTGAGGGCGCTTATGAAATGTCATTACCACTGCCCGGACTCCATGTCCACGCTTGCCCATGCCCTTGCCTTGCGAGGTCGATTGTCCACCCACCACGACCGGCCAAGGAAACAGTAGAAACTCGAACGATCCAAAATCAGGACCCCTCGGAGGCGGATGAGGCAAATCTCGCGCTGATCGGGTTCACAATTCGGTCGACCCGCCCACTGAGGCTCGCGGGTTCGATTCGTCGTAGCTTTATCCCGACAGTCAGACCCGCCGTGACCTTCTCCTTCAAACCGCCTCAACTGCCCACTGACTCAGGGTAGATCTCGGGCCGTAGGTGAGGATTCGTGTCAGAACTTCCATCTTCTCGGATATACATTCTGCATACTGCACACTTGCACAGTGCACACTTACACAGCGCTATGACCTTCGACCTCGTAATGTCCCACCCGGATAAACTTACAGGAAGCAGGCTGTGTTGTACAGTTTCTTCCTTGCAAATTTGTTTCGTATGTAGTCATGTACTGAGTACAAACTGTAACGACATATGTAGGTACACTTGTACACTTGTACAGTACTACTCCAATCAAATTGTCATGATCCAAGTTGAGTAGTGAGATCTTGATTCGCTGCACCTGGATGATCTACGGATCCACCAGACACCGCGGTGTCAATCGGAGAGCGGACAAGATCCGAGGCCCGTGGATCAACGACCAACCTTGAATAGTCTTCGGCTGTATTCGATCGCATCTTCTCGACAATAGCAAAGAAAACCACCCGTCGTAGATAATATCAAGGGTGCATCGCCACGCGCTTTCGTGAAACAGGAACATGTAGGGAACTAGATCCATGCTGGTAGGAATCGGCAGTATGTCTGAGCGGTGAATTGCCGCGGACTGTGCGAAACTGCGGATATATGTTAGCCTTGTTAGGTAGTTCCAACCACCACGTCCCAAAAGCAACCCCATCCCACCATGTTTCACGCTTAATCCGCCATTGTATGGAGTCGGGACGACGATGGGTTCTCCAGGGGTCTCATATGACTCGTTTTATTCTCCACATACAGTACTCTCGCGTACTAATTATACTTACCTTCATATTGCACAGAGACACTCGGACCACAGGGTTAGGTTTCGTTCCACAGTGGCACAGACAAACCTACTGTAGTAGGGTTCATCATAATTATTACGCGACGTGCCAACTAGCGGTAGAGTGTAGACCAGATTCACCACATATACCTTCAAGGGTCCACTTGAAGGGTTCGCGAACGGAATCAGATGAAATGGACCTTGTCATTGGATATGAACTTGGGATAGATATACCGAGGATTAATGTGCTGTTGTGTCCATGACTAGATGAAGTGCTCGACACAACCCTCATCAAATTCGATTTACCATGTCCATCTTTTCAATTCGCATAACTAACCGCAAGCGTTGAGCATGGAGCTGAACCTAATCAGTGCACTCGATCCACCTCAGATCGACGATCTCAACCCCCCCCCCCAAAAAAAGGCCCGAAAAGACACCGACCGATCAGGGTGGTCTCCACACATGTTACAATGGTGAAGAAATTACCCTCTTGACTTCGATTTTGGGAAGCGTGGCTGCGGAGAAATCATGATGTGATCGAGGCGCTGAATCAAGAAGGACCGGGGTGATTTAATCCACGAACGTCGGACCCAGGTAAGCACTTGGAACATCGCCTGATCTACTGCACAACGAAGCAGGCGTGGTCCACTACGTGGAGAAGAATCTGTCTGTATTCGGTGCTGACCGACACGAGCTGCCCTCAGGCAGGCTCTTCCACTGCATCCTAGGTTATAGTGGGAGACGTTGACCTGAACCACTAGGTAGGTAGCTAAGTAGGTTGGGTCAATCTGAATATATACTAATCATCTTGTGATTATAATTGAGCTCGGTCAAAGATCAGATTTTTGACATACAATCTCCAGAAGAATTTGCGTGAACTTCACTTATGAGCATATATGGTTCATGTCAGCAAATTTCTTGCCTACAAGCTGCTCGCGCTATGAACCTCTAGAAAGGGGTAAGAGTCATGCCAAAGCCAGTCTGACTCGCGCTATAAATGCATATACCAGCATGATGATTCGAAGAGTCCAAGATTCTGCTCCTCGTGTACCAATGCATCCCGAGAACATCAAGTCCAGCCGAGTATGCCTCTTGTGCACCTCCTACTCGACTACAAGACGAGGCGGACGTGGGTCGGGACTGTGAATCTTGGCAAGGTGATACCTACTTACAGAATTGATATTGACCGGCCGAGATCCTCGTCGACTCGGTGTAACATCGGGGCAAATCTCTAAGAGGTTGATGGTGGACATGAAGTATGCATATTACATTGCAATGCTGTGATTGAGAACCCGGCCCAATCTTGAAATGCGAGTTCCTCAGCTTGCATTTCCAAAACGTGGGAGGTCGTCGATAACAATTTCCTTCCAACGTTTTCCAATGCATACAGACCACGACAATGTCTGTCCTGAATTGCGACTACTGTTGAGGATTATCTGCCTCTTTGAAGATTTGAAATCATGAGAGTGAGGGTCAATTATGAATAAACTGAAAACACCAGTGATTCTTTTGACGACGCCATTAGAAAGTTTCTGCCTTGGAAAACCCAGACTCACACTGTATGCGTTTCTTGGCAACCACCTAGGTAACGCTCATTGACCAGCATAAACCATGGAGCGTGAGCACCCGTGGAGTTTTGCCGAAGTGAGCGGAGTAGTTCGACGAGGGTCAGTTTGAAGCTCCTCGAATCTCTTGTGAGAATGCGCGGATAACGCTCGGGGATGACTGAAAATGTGCATGGCGCGTTGGAATTTGATTGATGTCAGCCTTGGAAGGGTTCAAGTATAGAACCACCTCCGGACTTGTGATTTCCCAAGTCTCTCGGCAGGCGACTTCACCTTGTTCGGATGAACCAAATTCAGATCTGGATCATTTCAGCCAAGCCCAAGGAATTGCTGCTGGACAGGATAATTGCTCTCATCCGAACGAAGCTGTGCTTAAGTTATTGTTTTTTTTGTAGATGCGTTGCCCCGGCTTTTGGTCCCACTTCTATATGATGTCATAGGCGATCCGAGAGCTTAACTTCGAACCGCGAACGTGACACGCACTTCGGTTTGCGAGTTAGTCTTGGCGGAGTGTTACAGACTCATCTTTACCTGGCGTCTTTTTCATGTTGAATACCTGAGGTCAGCACGCGACGACCTGAGATTTGTCGCACTCGAAGACTTTGGGACTAACGACATGCAATTGCACCTCGAGTGAAAGATCCCCGCCCCCTGCAATATTCAAGAGTCTTTTCCGAACTCCAGTGGAGAGAAAGGTACAACGCAAGCTATCCGAACAATTTGGGAAACAGTCTCCAAAACAAGCTGCTCGTTTGGGGCACGTGAATTGGCGCACAGATGGTTGTACAGACTGGTTACACAGGGTAAGAGACGAAGGAGCAAGGCAAAAAGGGCCTGAGAAGTTCATCAACGTGAGGCTTACATCGTCTTCCCTTGCATGTAACTTGCCCCTCACGTCAACCATCCCTTGGACACACTGCATCGGTCTTTACCTTGTCCGCTTAGCCGGTCAATGTGAGCTTGAGGACTGTTCGGTCATTGTGGAGTGCAGCAGTGCCAGCTCCACGCCATGACCGTCTTCATCGCGTCTTTGTGAGTGTTCTCGATCTTCGCTCATTGATGGCCAAAACTCCCGCCCGTTCTGACAGTCACTGGGGTTAGATTTCTTCCGTATACGATTGATTTCAAGCCCGCGGGCTCACGTGGGTGTCGCCAGCGATCATCCGTCGTCGAAGGAGCCGTCGATGGCTCTAATTCCGGTCCCATTGTCGGCCGCCTGCCTCGCGAACGTTCCGGCAGTATTGCCCTGACGCCTGGTGCGACCACGGTCGACGAGAAGATCTTCAAGGCATACGCATCAAGTCTAGCAGATGAGATCTCCATTACCGATGATCCCAAAGGTCCTTATCCCAGTGAGCCCCGCGCCGTACTATGGGGTCACAGCCACAAGTTCACCCAGCCGCGCTCGAAGGCGACAGACCATCCAGAGCCGTCGCTTCTGCACCATCGTCAACCGTCAAAGGATCGAGACTATGGCCCACTGGGTGGCATGGAGAAGATGTCCATACCGGGAACACTAGAGCCAGAGAGCTTTCGATACGGGTTTTCCGCAGTGGACTGGGCCGTCAAAGCTGCAGAACAAGGTCATGGCGGTCTTCAAAACGCCGTTCATGCTGCAGAAGAAGCCGGCATACTGCAAGATAAAACGTGGGTGGGAACACTGGGCATGCCGACGGACTCCTTGCCGGACGTGATCCGTAATGTCATTAACGAAACTCTTCGGGATGATTTTGAATCTCTCAGTGTGTTTGTGAGCGACAATGCATTCGAAGGTCATTATGCTCACTTTTGTCGCTCGGTACTTTGGCCGGCATTTCATTACCAAATGCAAGAGAGCCCGCGTCATAATGAATACGATGATTACTCGTGGAAGCAGTATCTCAAAGTCAATGAAGCCTTCGCCGATGCGATCGCTGATCAGTGGAAACCCGGAGACTGCATTTGGATACACGATTATCACCTTCTCTGCTTGCCTGGACTGCTGAGGTCAAGATTACCGGATGCTGAAATTGGGTTCTTCCTTCACACGCCGTTTCCTTCGTCCGAGATTTTTCGATGTCTCAGCTCACGGGAAGCTTTGCTCGATGGCCTGCTGGGCGCCGACCTGATCGGATTTCAGACCGACGAGTATTGCAGCCACTTTCTGCACACTTGCAGTCGGATTCGACGACTTGACGCCTTGGCGGATGGCATCCAGGTCCGCGATCGATTTGTCCGTGTCAAAAGCTGGCCTTTAGGTATTGACTACAAGTCACTGAATCTGTTGCGCCAATCTGTTGAAGTCAAAGACTGGATCACAAACATCACCTATCGATACAAAGGGAAACGTTTGATTGTGGCACGGGACCGATTAGACGCTCCCGGTGGGATCAAGCAAAGATTGCAGGCTTATGAGCTTTTTCTAAAGTCTTACCCCAAGTGGCGGGAAAATGTACGTGTCGGGCTCATTGGGACCAAAATATACGCTGATATGGGATGTTGTCTCACTAACATGGTTATAGGTCGTCCTCGTGCAAGTTGCATCCTCAGCCTCAGAGGTCCCTGAACTTGAAGCTCAGGTGTCCAAACTCGCGATGCACATCAATGCCGTATATTCCACCCTCACCCATCAGCCTCTTGTCTTCCTGCAACAAGATATCAGCTATTCGCAATTTCTGGCGCTGTTGAGTGTCGCCGACATATTTATGGCCACAAACCTACGCGAAGGCATGAACCTGACCAGTCATGATTTCGTCCATTGCCAAGATGGCCAGCTCGTCTCCCAAAGACACGGTTCTCTCGTTCTGAGTGAATTCATTGGCAGCGCATCAATCTTTCATGGGCACGAACTTCTTGTTAATCCCTGGGACTACAAACAATGTGCGAAAACACTTAACAAGGCACTTGAGATGTCACCACAAGACAAAGAGCGCAACTGGAGGTATTTGATCGACTGCAAAAGACCCTACACGGCGCTCTCTTGGTATTCCAATCTTCAATCTGCTCTCAGGGAGTCCCACATGATGCGCGAGTACCGGCAAACTACCAATCTCCCTCCGCTAAAAACCAAGGCACTGTCAACGTCCTATAACTCTGCGCATTCTCGTCTCATTTTCCTAGAGGATAGCTCGCTCTCCCTCCTGGACAATCAGGCGTCAACGCAAGCAATCAATGATGTACTTCGAAGGCTGGTCGCCGACCCAAGAAACACGATTTACTTGACCAGTGATTTGAGCCCTGACCAGCTCGCACCCAATGAATCATGTCGGCCGAGCGAAATGGGGATCATCGCGAGAAACGGACTTTATGCTAGGCTTGGTAATGATAATGTGTGGATCAACTTATCAGACAACGATCGCATCCGCGGCTGGCATGCCAGTGTCAAAAAAGTGATGGAGTACTTTCGTGAGCGCACCGAAGGTAGCACCATCGAAGAGGACGATTACTCCGTGATATTTCACTACGAAAATGCGACCGACCAAGAAGCCGCAGCCCGCCAGGCATCTGAACTCGCCGATCTAGTCTACGGGGTCCGCGGCAGCGAGTCGATTCGCATCGTCCGCAGCCAAGGCGCCGTAAGCGTGAAGATCATCGAGGGCATGGCCGCAGCCGCCTCGTTTGTGTGGGAACAAATCTCACCCGAACAGCTGCCTGAACTGATTCTGGTCGCTGGGGGCAAGAAGAACTATGAAGAGTTGTTCCGCTGGGCGAATCGTCTGCCACTTCTTTCTCCTAGTTCCTCTCAGCCACCTCACATCACGGTCGTTCCTTTGGCGACTGGGAAACTGACTGACGGGGCGAGGGCGGTCTTGCCTGTCGGGTGGAGTTTGTTAGATGTTCTTCAAGCATTAGCACCCTTGGACACTTAGATACCAATTTATCGTTAGAGGGTGACTTGTTGCATCCTAATTCAATATGAGGCTTTTGGATTTCCTAACTTCCCAGCGGCGGATGCCCTTCGAATCTACATTGCATAGACTGACTTGTAGCCGTGCGGTGTGGCTCTTCGCGCCATACGACCGCACAGATGAGCTGGGATACGAGATTGCGATTCACACACACTGTCGATTAAGATGGTTTGGAAGCGATGCACACATGGGGGCAGCTGCGTTGGCGGCTTATGCAGCATTTCAAGAATCCTACATCTACAGAATGGACAGGATAACGAAAGAAATGTCATAGAATGCGGGATTACTGGGTATGATTATCACAACAAAAGGCCTGAGCAGGCTCAAACAGTAAGAGAATAGGTCCAAGCAAGTATGATGACGATGGTGGTGATGATGATGATGATGATGATGATGATGATGATGATGCTCCGAGGATCGCAAGGCCCATTTGTAGCCAACGCGAGGCCTCGAATATGAAAGATCAGAGCATGAACCCTTCGCACTGGAGTAAAGTGATAACAGGGTAGTACATTGTCTAATATGTAGCCAAGTGCAAGTAGAACGCCACGAGAGATAAGGAAACGTGCGAATCGAGGGGAGCGTGAATCGTGACGAATAAGGAATAACCAACCGACTGCAAATTTGGCTGAAACGGTCAAATCAAAGCCTCGTGTTAATTTGTCGAACACAGTCCCACGTTTGGCTGATGGCAAATATGAGATATTGGGAATGAAGACGTCGAGTTAGCTCTTTATTATGCCGAGTATGGCAGTACTAGGAAGTTCCGGGGTCTTTTGGTTGCGTGGAATCAGTGCCAGCTGAGACAAGCGTTGGCGCGATTCGGCGCTTCTTCGGGGCCTGTACTGCCTCTGCGTCCTCAGAAACTTTGGCATCTCCCTTTTCTGAGTCGGTGATTGCAGGTGTATCACGTTTGCCCAAGACACTTCCAGAAAAAGAGGTTGTCGCGCTGGGTAAGGGCGTCTGCGGTGGCGTGGTGAGTGGGAGGGCAGATGGCGGCGCAGAATTCGTCGCAGTGACTGACGGGACAGACCCAAGGGTAGGGGTGGGATTATTGATGACTGCCGCCGGCTGTGATGCGGATATCTGGTTTGGTATTGAGCTAGCGGAAATTGATCGTGCAGGGCTGGCCGGAGGCATCTGACCGCTGTTCGACGCGGCAGATCCTACAATACCCGGTTGTCCATGATTCACCTTTACGGGTGATTGGGCAGCGGGCACTGGTGTCGACAGGGGCGTACTGCTTGCCACTGGGGTGTTTGCGTGGGCAGGGTTGGAGCCCGTCGATAATGGCCCCGTGTAGACTTGACCTAGCTCCCCCGGCGCAAAGGACAGACAAGAGCAGAAACCGTCCGACGAGCTCATAATCAAGGTCAGTCCGTCGTTAGACCTGTACGTCATACGTCAGATTCCCAGCAGTGTAACACGAATACCATTCACTGATCCATCAACTTACCAGCTCAAATCGGTAAATGTCGCAAAATGAAGATTGCTCACGACACACAGCGGTGTTTGTTGTTGCGTGTCATACACCAGCACGGCATCTTGAGTGGCGATAGCGTAAACAATACGGTACGGAAGGGCAAATACAGGTGCAACGCCTGCATCAGCGCTCTGCGTTTCTGCGGTCTTCGGTGAAGGCTGAGTCTTTGATGGCTCAACGGAGCCGGATGTAGATGATGGAGGCTCCATAGATGGCTTACTAGAAGACGTGGTATTGGGTGCCACAACAGAGTCCGGTAAAGGGGGGAACATTGCTTCCCCCCGGCCGATGTGTCGACCGTCATGTTCTTCACCAGCTGCGTACCCTGCTTCAAAGCGTAGAAGATAGGCGAGCACTTGACAGCCACAGAGGGCTTCTTGTGACCGGGCAAGTGAGAGATAGGCGGCTTGTTGAAGCCAGCACGCGTGTAGATGTAGACCGTGTTGATAATCTCGTCAGTTGTCTTTGAAGGGTCCGTGGCTGACACGTGGGAGGTTTTGTACTGGCCAGCCGGCGTCAACAAAAGGCTTCCATCGGGAGTGAATGTGAGTCGGCGGAAGAAGGAGGTAAATGTCTCATTGGCGTAGATACTAGAGTTTTTCACCCCAAGACTGCCAAGAAGACTGGGGGAGGAAATCTCAAGCGGCTTGACCGCAGGCAGTGGTAGAGATGGCGCAGGCGACGCAGAGCGCCGGATCGATGGTGATGAGCCAAATGATGAACGTCGGCTGTGGGAGACTGGTGGGGGGTCCATGGGTAGATTTGAAGTCATGGGAGTTCCCGGTGTCGACGGAGCCGGGGATGCAATAGCAATCGAAGTGTTCGCGCTCTGCGATGGCCTATGGCTCAACTCCGGGGCAGGGCTGCTAGAGGAGATGCGCTTGGCTGGCAAGTCCATTTTCAGAACCTTACCGTGCGGGGTCAGTGTGAATTGACCGTCTTTAGTCTTCAAACTGTAGATGTGGACGGAGCGGTCGGAGGACTGTGTTGCGACAAATTCATTCAAAGGATCCCAGGCGACACCTTGTACATAGTGGGAGTGCTCCGCAATTTGTCGAACCATCTGGCCTGAAAACATTGAGATATGAGTTTTTGAAGTGTCTTCTGTGAGCCACAGCGTGTGGCGAGGTAAACATACCGTTCTGGGCGTTATAAATACGGGCAATGTTGTCCATGCTGCCGGTGATGATAAAGACCCCATCCGGAGACCAAGCCAAGTCATAGATTTCGGCACCAGAGGAACGGCACATGTGTTTGACGCGCCAGGTCTCCTTGTCATCAAGTCGATCTTCTCCTAACCCTGGCTGAGTTTGAAGTTCTGAGGGCACCCACAGCAGGACGTTACCATCATCGCCAGCGGAGGCCAACATTTCGCCTAATGTTGCTGTTAGAATTGTGGCCGAGGCACAGTGTAAGAATGGTTGTGAACACCGGGTCTCGTGTTAAGTGAAACTGAGCATACCCTTGGGACAGAATCGGACCACGTTCACTGCTTGTGTGTGTTTCACCAATGTGCTCAAGTACGAGACTTTTCGTTCCTCTCCGGTACATTCCACTCGCCAGAGCTGGAAGGGTATTTTGTGAGACGCAGACTCGGCAAAGATGTAGGAGAGGAGAACAACGGGAAGGGGATCGCGAACGACGTACTCGAACGTTATTATCACTGCCATCCATTGTTAGCTCTAATTACCCAAGAGTCTCACGGAGCTGAGCACTTACTTTCCAGCCGTTGCTAGTCGGCCCTTGCCGTTAGGATCGAAGTGAACAGAGTAGATGGGGGCATTGTCGTTGTGCCACGAGATGAGCAATGGAGAGGCCTTCATGATGTCGAGCTTAGCTCATAGAGCTCGAAGACAACCGAGACAGTATTTGGTGGGTTCGGAAGGCCGGATGGACTGAAAGATGAACGATGTCTCCCCAAGGCCGGTAGAGTAGGAGAAGTTGAAGGCCTGGGGAAGGGTCAAGAAGGTTGGGCCACGCTGATGCTTTGAGAGGAATTGAATGTTTCAAGTTGTTCAGATACACCCAAGGGGTGATAACGACTAAGAGGAAGAAGCCGAGAGAAGAATGGAAGGAAGATGGTCAGGTCAGCCTTGGGTTGTAGAAGTGGTGAGCAATGATGCCTCGAGTGGGATTAACGCGGGAACGCGACCGGCGATTGCAGCGGTTCCAGCCTCTGGCGATTAGATACGGCCACTTGCTCGTCTCACTTGACTTTCAGGCGGGTATGAGCCGTGAGGCCGGAATATCCAGCACTCTGCCTGTCTCTAATCCTAGGTTGAATATTGCTCATTTTTACAAAGGAAGGGGTCTGACGAACGCGACATCAATTCTTCATTCATTAATGTGGACCGTAGATTGGTCGCACGTGGGCTACAACACGAGAGCGACCAAACCTGTATGATCGAGTGTATACCTCGTGAAAATCTGCTCGGAAAGCAAGCCATGGTCATACACACACCTGGTGGTCAATTCATCTAGATAACAGCTGCAACGACCGGAACTGCATTCAAACCGATACCTAAGTGTCAGGCTCTTGGGCGGTACGACTCGAAGACCTCAGCTGCAAGGCCCGTTCGAACCATGTCTCAATGAACCAAGCTAACGAGCTACGTCTTCTCGACCACAATATTCAAGGTCAACAGCAGGCATACTACATACGTAGTGAAGTGCATATGTAAACTCGGAAATCGGCTAAAAATACAAGACTCACATCATTCAGTTTGGGTATTTTCTTCACCAGAACAGCCTACCAATGGTCTCCCCAAACCAGCCAACAGCCTTTTCCTCTCTCTTCGCTCGAGAACTCGTGTGCTTTTTCAAATAGGCGGTGACCTCTTCGCTGAATTGTTTCTTTTGCTCTATCCGCGCGTTATGAGACCGTATCTCCAGCTCTCGCTCATGCGGAGTTAGCTTAAGCAGGGGCTTCGTAGGCTTGAGGTCGGCCGGGACTTCCTCGCCGCCAGGAATCTCCATAGGCGCCCCCGCGAAGCTTTCAACCCGTGAAGATTGATCAGGATTGAAGAGAGACCGAAGCGGAGGAGGCTGGCTGCCGGTGGCTCTCGCCTCCTCCACTTCCTTTTCGTAGTCCAGCATTTGGTGGAACAACTTGTCGGCGTGCACTTGGATCCGTTCTTCGACGTCAGGTTTATGCTCGAGGGATGCAGCGTAGCCCAACGCCATCAAGAATTTCTAATTGATGATCAGCTTAAGCTTGCGCACACCACATGTCATTCGTCGCTTAATTCGACGTCACGTACAGTTTGCATGTCAAAACATCTGTTGAAAGTGTGTCGCTGAGCTGCGCAAGCCGTGACTCGGGACTTCACTTTCTCCTGCCAGTCTCCTGTCTTCGCACAAGACAGGAAAGCCTGTTGTTCAAACGCACAGTTCTCTAGGGCCGCGTTTTTCACCGTATTTGCGCGTCCCTTGTACCTTTCAACTACTTCACTGTCCGAGGCAGGACCGGAGTCGACGCGAGCTGGTGCTTTATAGGTCTTCCAAAGGTCTGCATATCTGCCGTCTTGGAACAACGACGCGGCGGGGACTCGTCGATCGTCGTCGGGATAGCCAAATGACTGCACAGGTTCAGTCTCGGGCTCATGCGCAGGTGGTGTATTGAACGAGTCCGTATCACGTGCAGTCGCATATTTGTCGGGCGTCTCCTTTTCCAAGAACTCGCGAAGGCCTGGGTCGAGCTGCTGGACAGGGTCTTTTCGTTTCTCATTGTCGTACCAACCCATGTCGGATAAACTGCGTGATCAAGTGGAAGGGCGATGAAGATTGACGTAACGGCGATGCTGCGGGAGCGAAGCGTTGCGGAGAAGGTCGGACAAATTTGGATCGGTATCACTGTCGAGTCTATTGACGCCCACTTATCAGTAGATTTGACGGCCGCGGCTTATCTTGGCATCTCCAACTGTCACACTCGACGCGTCGACCACAACGCCGTTCCTCCAGAATGGCTTCCAGTAGGTGTATAATAAGCGGTGATCTTTGAAAAATTCACGCTGACATTGATTCATAGCGCGAGAGGAGCGGTTGCAAATGCGCCAGCGCGGCGCTGGGTACGCGCCTCTACCCCGCGAAATCACAACACAAGAAGAGACAAAACTAATGCGCAGAGTAGAACGCATAAGACGAAAGCAATTGATTTCGGCTTTTCATTCGGTGGAGGAGCCATCGACGCATCAGCTCCAGTAATACGACCTCAGTCATTGGTACCAGATCAATCAGCGCAAGTTGAGGTTGCGCCGACGGTCGCAACCTCCCCGAGCTTGCATGCGAATGCCAACATTCAGCGCACCCCTGAAAGTGCGCGAACTAGCTTACCAGCGCGCCCGTCACCCTACGACATACCCATCGAAGACGAGCCGGATCAACCGCGCAGCAACAAAAGGAGAAAACTCAGTGCGTATGTTACCAAATCACACGCAATGTCACCTGCTAACTGCATCGTGTCAGATCCGTCCCCTCGAAACTCAATTACTCCTTTGCGCGCATCGACTGCAATTGTCGAGAAAGAGACCTTGACGACGACTGAAACGTCTGTATCCCTCGCCGGGACCTTCAGCAATGGCCAAACATCTCTTTCCACTACACCGCGGGCTACTCAGGTCATCACAAGTGGTCCGTTACAGACGGAGCACGAACAATCACAGTTGGGAGAGCCCAATAAAGAATCAAACGATCAGGTGTTACCCTCCGAGTCGCCGCAAAATGAACCCACGAGCCCAGGAATCACCCACCCTAGTCCACCGAAGGTGCCGCAGCAAGAACAGCGGCCGCAGACTCGTTCCAAGAGTCAATCACCTCAGCAAAAGACAGGTCCTTCAGCGGAGAAGACAGTCCGAGCTGCCAACACAAGGACGCGGAAATCTACTTCGCCAGCTGTTGTGACAACCCCCGAAGGAACAGACATCGCACCGACCGAGTCGACCCCCGGTGGACAGATTCTCCCCTCGCCGCAACAAGGAAACCATAACAAAGACCGCTCGTTGCGGGTCTCTACGCGTAGGCGGTCTTCGGATGCACAGGATGAAGATATCCAGGCTACCATTGATGCCGGCACTCGTGCAGTGCCTGGACGCGAGGCAGACCCCGCTGGGATCAACAAATCGAGGAAATCACGCAGCAACAAGAAATCTCCTAATCCTCGGCCATTAGAGGAGCTAAATCCAGAGGAGACAAGTGCGGTAAACAACATATCTCTTGCAGAAATCGCACAGCCCCCGTCTCGCACACATAAAAAGCGCGGCCGAGGTATGGTGTCACCGGGCGCCAGCAAAGGTCAACCAGCAGCTCCGCAAGGCCGCTCACAGAGTCCCGTCGAAACACAAGTGCCCGTCGCCACGTCAGCGAGCGCTCGTACTCGGCGGGGCAGGAAGAAGAAAAGTGCGGGCGCAGCGTCCGGAGGCCAAGCCGAGGATACTGCCAACCGTACGCGAGAGGTGCCCGAGACGGACGCTGACGGGGACACGGAGATCAAAGCCGGTCCTCCTGAGCGGCAGCCCGTGCTGTCGGCAAGGGCCAAGGGCAAACGCGCAGCTAAGGCATCAACGACCAATCCAGAAGAGCAACCCGATTCGGAGGTCACGGAAGAGCCAAAACGAAAGCCACGAGCACCTCGAGGCGACACCGTGCCGGTCACGGTTCACCGTCTGGTGAATGTAGGTGCACTAAATGCGCTTGACGCTGACGCCGAGGGATCTCCCGAAGATGGTCTCTCTAGTGCGAAAGCCAAGTTGCCTACTCGAGGTGGTGTCAATGCAGCCGATGTCTTGGGACAAATCTGTCGAGAAACGCTGGAAAAGACTCTCGAAAAACTCAAGGCGGGTATTGAAAACGAGACTAACGCCCATAAACGTGCGGAGTGGTCACGCAAGCGAAAGGCTGTCGAGGAATTCGGCTCAGAGCTGGACAGCCGCCTAATGGACATTAGCGAAGTCCTTGAGAGCAACTTTGTTCTGGGCATGCAGTTGAAAAAGACCAAACGTGACGTGATGGATCTACGGAATTATCTTTATCAAGTGCGCAAAGAGCGTGAGTCAATAGCGATACAGATGGATGCCGTGCGAGCGAAGCATATGGACGAGGAAAAAGCACAATCGGTAGGTTCCCCTTCACTTTCCAAGAACTTGAGAAAATGCCTTGTTCGATCATCGTCGCTAATTTTCATACGAGGCCCGCAACACCATCAACAACTCGCTCCATAGTCTTGAAATGGCTCTGGATCGCTCACAGACTCGAGCTGAATCAGGTAGTGGAATGTCACCATCTGACCTTGAATTTATGCTGCGTACTGTGGCCGACAATGTAAGCTCTCGGGCGCCCGGCGTGCAAGGGGCTTGCTGAGCCAAATCCGAGCCTTTAATCACCAACTAGAGGCCACAGCACGTCGCCTGGAGCGGTCCTGACCGCAATACCTTTGCTCAGGAAGGGGATACAGACAAATCGGTCGATGTTACCGGTGTTTGTCACTTATTTTGACTATGATGTCGTTTGGGCTATATCCGTTTGGGATTCATGTGGATGCGGTCGGACTGAAGCGATTTGCGATTGTGGTCGCACGTGGACTTAGCAAGGCGTTCCGGAGTTTTGTTTTTCGGGGGCCCGATCTACTCATGAGGCAGGAATTGTGCATGAGTTCGAACATGCGAGGAATCGCACGAGAGGACACAGCTGCGTAGCTTTCCTCTGTGTCAATTGATTGTTGAAACCCCTTTCCATTGCTCTCCCAGGGCCAAGTCAAATGTGTCTTGAAATTTACGCTCGAGTCAACAGACCGCGTATATAAAATTTCTTCAGGTAGGGATTTGCGCCTCGTGCCAAAATTTGGCGTGCAAACGCTCGACGCTTATCCTCCACGCAGGTGCTGCTGCAAGATCATCGCTCGACACGTGTCGAGTGGAGCACTCTTTCTGTTTCGTAGTCTGTAGTTAGTCTGTACATGCGTACCTTTGTACAAAGTCAGGGTTGTTTCCCGACATATTCACCATGTTCCCTGGCTACCTAGATCATTTGCCTTTAGTCAGATTGAAAAAGAACGAAACAAAGAAGGAGGCTTTTCAGGTTTCCCATCTATCTTGTCGAATATACTATGTACATTTATACAGTACATGCACTACGTACGAGAATACTAATTTCCAATCCATCACATTGTAGGTAGGCAATGCGTACCTGAGTGGGAATCGGGAGCTGGAGGTCGGTTTTGCCAATTAGTCATCAGGAGTAATCCGCCCGGGACCCAAACCGAAACCTCAACAACTGGTCAGTAGTGGTGATCGAATGTCATGGAAGTTGAAACGCTCGACGATCGAAACCGGTACCAAACATGCCGACTCGGAGACTTTTCCCATCTGGTACTCGACTCGCTTAGGATGCCGCTCTCCGTCGAGCCCAGTTCTTGCGTGATTCAAGAGGCTTCTTCAGTCGTGCAGAGATTACGGGTATCGTTGGATCCCGATCGATGGATCTCCATTAGAAATCAAAAACCTGACGTAAGTGCCGGCCGAGAGCCGAGAGATGGTTCTGGTCCCTTTTTAATCACGTGGGCGCCATGGCGTGGGCAAAGAGTATATGATGATGATCAAGTCCGCCGGTATTTTAGTCTTATTCCATCATAAATTCAACTCCGATATCAACGTGCTCTTGTTGTATATATAGCGTCCTTTGACACGTTTATCTCACTGTTGAAATTTACTCCGTTCCATATACGACAGACGGACACCGTCGACTTCAATTTTCCATCAATACCTACCCATTTCCGTCTATACACAATGACCAAGCTTTTCACTCCCCTGCGTGTCGGGCGCATGGACCTCGCCCACCGCATCACCATGGCGCCCATGACTCGCTTCCGCGTGGACGACAACCACGTTCCCTTGCCTCTCGTCAAGGAATATTATGCACAGCGCGCTTCCACACCCGGTACCCTCGTTATCACCGAAGCCACTCTGATCTCCCCGCGTGCTGGTCTCTACTCCAACGTTCCCGGCATTTGGAATGATGCGCAAATTGTCGCCTGGAAGGAAGTCACCGAGGCTGTCCACGCCAAGGGCTCATACATCTATCTCCAACTGTGGGCTCTCGGCCGCGTCGGCAGCCCCGATCTTCTCAAGGCTGCGGGATATGACCTGGTCTCTGCCAGTGATGTCCCTGCCTCCAACGATGGTCCCAAGCCCCGTGCCATGACGGAAAATGAAATCCAAGGATTCATCCAGGACTATGCCCAGGCGGCGCGCAATGCCATCGCAGCAGGCTTTGACGGTGTTGAGATCCACGGTGCCAACGGCTACCTAATCGACCAATTCATCCAGGATGTCTCCAACAAGCGATCCGACCGCTGGGGCGGCAGCGTGGAGAACCGCGGCCGCTTCGCACTCGAAGTGACCCGCGCCGTTGCCGATGCCATTGGCGCCGACCGAACTGGTATTCGTTTCAGTCCCTGGAGCACTTTCCAGGGCATGAAGATGGCGGACCCGCGTCCGCAATTCTCGTACTTGGCCCGTGAGCTGGTTCCCCTCAAGCTGGCGTACACTCACCTGGTCGAGGCTCGCATTGCTGGCAATGCGGACTGCGACAGTGATGAGGACCTGGACTTCTTCCTGGATGCTTACCGTGGGGCCGGTCCCATTGTGATCGCTGGCGGATACAAGCCTGAGACCGCAAAGGAGGCTGTGGATGGGAGGTACAAGGACCACGAGGTTGTCATTGGCTTTGGTCGTCCTTATACCTCGAACCCAGACCTGCCCTTCCGCGTTCAGCACAACGTGCCTCTGGTGCCCCATGACCGCGACACTTTGTACAATGCCAAGGAGGCCAGAGGTTACAATGATTGGGAATTCAGTGCTGAGTTCAAGAAGGCCCAGGAGGCCTCTGCTTAGACTGGTCTTACTTGAGTGCCAGCCGAGCACGAGTCCTCTCTTCTTGTGATTTATGATATGATGACAACGACTTAGACCGCTGTATATAGACATAGAAATCGATCTCCCCGTGTTTCACTGTCAAATGGCTGAATTTCTTCGTTTCGCGTCCGTATACGCTTTGAGTGCATCGTTCATGGTGGCGGACCTGGTCTCTCCGTCAGTGCTTCTCAAACACCTGATATGGTAAGTTTGTCTTTCGGTGAAATTGAAAGGGTACCACTTCTGCAAGGTATTTCTTGTATCTTTTGGAAACGTTCCAAGAGAACCCAAGACCCCGGTAGTTGAATAAGTCCTCTTGTTCGAACTTCTTGGGAGAATCCTTAATTTCGTACGCCTGCTGGGCAGTTGGGCTTCTACTCCAACATTCAATAACCCAATTGACCCCATTCCTGCTAGTGATTGCGGGCTTATCGCAACTAGATATATGGGACATTGGAGCCTTGATCCATAATTGCACACAGGACCCAGCACAGTCACACACTACGTAATTTACCTTCTCCAGTGATCGTGAACTCAGTATATTCAAAAGGGGAAACTATCATCATTCATTGATCCTATCCCCCTCGTCCATACGGGCCTTATATTTCCAAGTTCTCACCATCAACGTCTTCATGCGGGGTCACACAGCTTCTGATAAGATGTGTTCACGACCTTCCCCATTAGGACTAAAATCTAGCCGACGCGGCCAGCTAAGATGCCCTTCGGGTGGTGATTCTTGATCATCTATCTTGTCTTCCCCGCTGACTGCACGGAGAAGGAGCCAACTACGAAGCTGCCCGATCTGCTGATCATTTGGAGTATCATCGTGCTACGCATCACACGCGATATCGCTTGGTTTGACATCGTTAACGGACACAGCGTCTTTGCCGTGTAACCGCTCCCCTTACTGAGCAGGTGCAGATGGTCTTATCGTTTCATGCCCTCAGACATGGCCTACCAAGGGTCGATACTAAGGGACAGGAACAAGCTCGGCTTCCTGTTATCTCGATGTCTTGAGATACGACTCGAGATTATGGAGGTGATTAGATATGGCTCGAATCCATGTGGTCTTGGAGGGGGAAGTACTGGAGCCTGGATCAGCGCGAATTTGTGTAGCACGAAGCCATCATCACGTTGCTCAATAGATAAGGAAACTTTCCCTTGAGCGCATTGCCTCAAGATTGACTGCCTCAACTCATCACCACGGGCCCTCTGGTGCACGCATCGAACCTTCGAAATGGAGACCAAAGACGAGCTGCTGTCGCATGGTAAAGCCGACGCGGCTCTCGAGTTCCTTCGTGACGAAGGCTGTGGAATTGCCGTGGAGATCAATGAGAAGACCCTTGTTCGCAAGATTGACTGGATGATCATGCCGTTGATGTGGGCAGCCTACAACCTCCAATATCTGGACAAGGTGCTCATCAACTACGCCTCCGTCATGGGTCTCCTGGAAGACACCAATATGAGGACGAATCAGTTCTCCAATCTCGCGCTTGCCTTTTATGTGACGTATCTTGTCTTCGAATTGCCCACGGGGTGCTTGATGCAACGACTACCTACCGCCAAATACTTGGGAGTCAACGTGATTCTCTGGGGTCTGATGACAACACTCAATTGCTCCGCGAAGAACTTTGGGGGCTTGATGACCCTGCGAGTTCTTCTGGGGTGCTTTGAAAGTGCAATTGCGCCAGCTCTGATTCTCATCACTTCAATGTGGTACAAGAGAAACGAGCAGCCCACACGCATGGGGATTTGGTATATCGGCACGGGGACCGCGTCGATCATGGGAGCGCTGGTCGCATACGGTCTGCTTTTCTATACCAACCATGTCTTCAAGTCGTGGCAGATCATGTTTCTCATCTTCGGACTGATCACCATAGTCGTGGGCGTCTGCATCTGCATCTTCATGCCTGACAACCCGATGAAATCGAAGCTGACTCACGATGAGAAAGTCTTTGCCATCGAAAGGCTTCGTGAGAATCTCACCGGTATCGAGAACAAGCATTTCAAATGGTGCCAGTTCTTTGAAGTGTTCAAAGATCCACTGACATATCTCATCGCTCTCATCGTGACCGCCATGGATGTCCCTAATGCAGCCGTCAGCAGCTTCACCTCATTGATCATCGAAAACATCGGCTTCACCACGAAGGAGACTGAGCTTCTCAACGTCCCCAACGGCGTGGTCAGTATTATCTCGATCTTGGTCGTGACAAACATCGCCTCCCGCTATGACCAGCGGTGTCTCTCTGTCATCATAGCATTGGCCGGGGGCTTACTGGGCAGCTGTCTGCTAGCCTTTTCGCCCAAGAGTCTGAAAGCTGCTCAACTCGCCGGCAACTACCTCACTCAGATGACGGGGTCGGCTTTACCTCTGATGTACTAGATCGCCGGCGCCAACGTAGCCGGTCACACGAAGAAGATCACCATGAACGCGGTGCTGCTCATGTTCTTCTGTCTGGGCAATATTCTCGGCCCACTGACGTTTCGCACGCAGGACGAACCTGACTACATACCAGCGAAGATTGCCCTGGTTGCGACCATTTCAGTGGCGATTGTATCAACGCTTGTCTTGCGAGGATATTATAGCTGGGAAAACGGGCGGAGGGAGAAGCGAAGCACTTTAGACGCACAGGGATTGAATTCGGAATTCCTGGACCTGACTGATAGGGAAAATGAACATTTCCGGGTACGTCGGGCACTTCCAAGACACGGCGTACATTTGTGGTGAAAGCCACTCGCTAATCAAAGATCATTTACAGTATAAATTATAATACGCGGATACAACCTCGTGGTGGATCCGAAAGCAGTAGGATTTGTTTGCGTACAGCCCTCAGAAAGGATGACTAGGGGCTAGGGGGGTCCTGTAACTTGACTTCTTTGGAAGCGGTCCTCTTCTTGTAATCAAATGAATGTTCTTCTGATCGGTTTCCCAGTAGCAATAGTCGAACCAATACTACCAGTGTAGTGGCGAGAATAAAACCTCTCACTTAGCCATACTTAAGTAGCAAACGTGCTGGAGGCCTAGCAGAAGCACACAATGGGCATGCTCTTTTTTCGGTCGACCCCTATCATCTTCCATCTGGCCGTGTTGGTTTGATATGACCAGCTGTTCTCACATCACCAATCCTCAGCGAGAGGCAAGATCATGTGCGGTTGACCACTGGTGGGAGATATAGCTTCAATGAGGTATGAGTGTAGCAGTCCGTGTAATCCATCTGAAGCGCAATCGCTCAATGTTGAATGTACACTGTGACTGGATCATCATGAACAAAAGCTCCAAAAACCGTAGCGTTTCCATGCAACACACTTCACCAAACGTTGCCTTCAAAAGAAGGTACTCCAGATCTGACAGCCAAGGAAGCATGGCGCCTTTGCGAGCCCTTGACTGCCTGCCAGAAGTGTCATTTCTCTTCTCTGCTCACCTAGGGTCGTATGCGTGTAGCAGTTCAAAGGTCTCTTGATGTTGGTCATCGGGATGACGGAATACCTTCCCAGGACGTCGATGAGAAATGTTCCTCCAAGAGGTGATACATTTGCCCAATTTGCATCTCACAGCAGACCCAGTTGTATTCTGGCGACAGGCACGGGTGTTTTGGAGACTCGGATTCATATGCACTTTGAATGGCCGGTGGAGTGTCTACTTTTCGGTGAAAGTCTCACGATTGATTGAACAAAAAGCATCGGGCTGCGTGTCCAGGCTCAACGGATAGATTGTCTCCCAATCGTGAACACCGAGCTAGGTTTCAATTTTCCTTCGATTGTTCCAAGCCAAAGAAATGCGCTCCTCTGGAGAAGTGTTTCTTTGTGCCTCTGAAAGCAATGTTCCCGTGAGGCCCAGCTCCCTCGACCGGCCCCGTTGCTGTGGTCAGGCCATACCCATGATCGAAGAGTCGAGCCCCACAGGTCTCACAGCTCAAGATTCGGGCTTGGGGGTTGTCCGGGGTTGACGAATGCGGCGCCATACCAAACTTTCTTTCATCATCAAGTGGAACCGGGTCGACCTGACGACATCATAACCGAGTTGCCTTCCGCTCCGCCGACCCGAGAGCAGAATAAAAAAGTGGTCCGGTGAAAGTGGAATAAGGTTCCAATGTACTGGTCCTCGTGACACAGGTACTGACGAGTTGTTCCTGGGCCCCAATTGCCGACATACCGGGGCTCGAGCATACTCTGACATCAAAGTGCCAGTGGCAATGCTTGCCTTGACAGATGCCGGGACAATAGCCACATGTCGTTGTGGAGAGACTTCTTTCTGCTGGTCCTGACTATGCGGCACGACAGCAAAACCGTGACACTGCGTGGATGTCAAGACACGCTGGGAATGAGGACTCGGTCTCATCCACACTCGCCACGATATCAACCTAGCAGGAGTTGAGAGAGGCGATGCCTTTGGACTCTGTGGTCAAGCAAGTATGCAAAATGGTTGAATCAACGTTGAACTCTTTCTGGTCAAACAATACACCCGCAGTGTAAACCCCAATCGTTACGCAACTGGGTCCAGATCGGCACAAACAATGTTGATGGCGTACCAAAGTTCTAAGCCTTTCCCCGCATCTGCAGCATCTCCCCGCATCTTCGGCATCTTCTCGCTGGGTCAGCTAATTTAGATCACCGAACACGCTGATTCTTCATTTTCGGAGCCACCAGGCACCTTTGACCTGCGCTTTGCGGGGGAACGTAGATTCTGCGATGCATTTTTCCCTTTTGTCCAGATTGGATCCGTACCTTAGCTTTCCATGGCACAACGTCGCCCAAAGTCGGGCTAGGCATTTGTATCCACTGCCCACAAAGAACCACAATAGAGCACTTTGCACTGTACGATGTACAGGGTGTGCTACAGTATGGTAGAATTGGTATGCCGAGTTCATAAGATACTTCCCCGCACCAAGCTGATCCAAGACCACGCTAGGTAGTTGGGTGCAGCAATCCTGGGTAGTTGTCTCGTGGCGATTGTGGGGAGACGCCTCGCACACCAGCCGGTCTGAGCACCAGTGCTGATTGCCTGATCTCGAACATGTCCATCAGGATAGTCGATCGGATCGGTGCCTCTTTCACGAGTGCAAGAGAGGCGTGGAACAGAATGATCTATTCACCTCATTTTCATCTGGTAGGCAAGCACTGACACCACCACGAAATTTCCAAGGATCGGCGATCATGCGGTCAGAGCGGTTCGCTTGTTGTACCCGGGATCAACAACACAACTGCTGATCCGACTCAACTGAGAACAGAGTCTCTACACGACACCGAGAAGACGCTTAGGGCCCCATGATGATAGGTCTCCATGGTTCCGACCATCCGGAGGGTTGACGGGTCCTCAGAGAGTAAGCCCACAATCAGTCCATATGGTGGCTTTGACACACCGCTTCGTTCCACCGAACACGAAGCAAGCCGCGACCAAGTAGATCATGTTGAAATAGGGAAAGAAATGTGGATGTTCTGAAAGGCTATGGTCATTGATTGATAATTGAGACCTTCTGGCATAGTTATCCGTGTTATGAAATCTGTCAGGTTCCCAGCAGTGAAAGAGTGGGTGAAAACGTGGCGGGCGATCGTTAGTGTGCCCCACTGACAGCAGGTGCTGGCGAGCCTGGCTCTACACTTTACAGTCCCATAGTTTTGGCCGATCTCGGTAAGAAGCAAACGCATGTATATTGTACACGCATTTCTTTCTCGGTGAGCTGACATCTTTCACGTGGCCCAATGGAGCTTTTTGTTCGGGCCAAGCACGCCTGAAGGTGTCCGAAAAAGTAACCAATTCTCGGCAAAACAAAGTCCTCTCTAGCCAGTCTCTGACTCTCTACCGTGCGCTACCCTAGTCTCTACCGCCTGTCTAGTATACTATGTGAGACTCGTGCAATTTATTCTTTGTACTCACAAACGCCAGAGAATTCAGTAGGCTGAGGAATTGCAGTTTAGAGTTACGTAGTATGGGTGAAATACTTGCTAGGCTAATATGGCCAGCAAATGGATAAAATGAGATTCAAACGGGGGTAGTAATCGCGACATCACGCCATATTCATACTCACCGAGTGTCGAAAGCAAGACAGAATCTGAACACTGGACGGACGATCCCCCATGGACGACTTCGCATGGATAATGCTTCTAGCTACCAACCACAAAGTCACACCGGCCTGACAAGCATGTCAGATTGCCGACGCTCCAATCAGTCGCTATTGAGAAAGTTTATATCATCTTTGTGTTGTCAAATGCCAAGCGCTCGTTTCATGGACAGGGATACTTTGACACAAAGCATGGGATCTGTCCTCAAGTCGGGGACAGAGGTACGAATCTGACTAAATAGGGTTTACACTTTGTCGTAGTAGCAGTACCAGGTATAGAATTATACACAGCAGAGCCTGCATGAGACTGGAACTGATGAAGTTTATACTATATAGTAGGAGTGAACTCGGTACCGCTATGCCACATAAAACACCTGTCGTCCTGTCTTTGGCTGCCGGCTTGTCTAGGCCCCGGGCTTGGCTACAGCAGTCCTTCATCTTGAACCGCTTACTCTAGACCAGCCACTCAGGAGTCAGAGCTTTGCGGCGCTAGAAGATGCAATGCAGAGCCACGGCCGCGGGACAATGCCGTTGACGAAACTCCATCAATCAGCGAGGTCCCCCCAAGTCATCCTTGCCAGATCGAGTAAAACAGCGGATGGACTCTATCGTCAAAAGAGAAGACCTTCCGGTCAGATTCTGGCCCTCGCCGTCCAAAGTTCGAGGCAGCACGCAAATATGCACGATTGCACTGTGCCAGCTCACATCACGTGAGGACTTCGATTTGCATCGCGCATGAAACTTGTGAGATCACAGTCACACTACTACTGCGAGCTGTTGGGTTGGGTTCTGTTTCGGACTTGCTCCCGTTGTGGCTCGAGCACCTCACCGTCTATGCCTCCGACTTGAAGTGTAGATGACTCATCTCTGTTGCAATCGGCTGAATTGAATTGGCAGGTCCTGGGCAAAGGACGTCTCAAATGCCACTTTAATAAGGGTACTTATTGTTCCATGCAATTGAAGTAGGTCAATGTGTAGAACATCTATGATCATAATGCACCTCGGGCGGCGCGCTACTATTGCGGTTCAGAACTGCCCGTGAGAGCTTTCCCGAGAGGGATTTCAACCTTGTCCGGAGTCTTGGTCACTTGTAGAAGGACCATACTGTACTCCTCTACCTACGAAAGGCTCTGGTCCTCGGCCTTTCACGTCAAAGTGACTAAGAAGTAGAATGCACATTCAACATTGTAACTAGTGTGCAATCTAACTTAGGACGAGGCACCGAGGCAGTACTACTGCCGCAACGCGGGAGTCTTTCCGTTTGGGCAATATTCGTCCCATCAATAACGAATGTCCCAGTAGTGCGCTTCTCTCGACCTGTGGATTCAAGCTTCTAAACAGATGGCCATCGAGCCCCTTGAACTTGCATAGTCGATTACATGAAAGCGCCACTTCAATGGCGAGCTAGGCTCAGAGTATAAATGAATTGACTTTGCGCGATTCCTAACGTGGCAATAGTCCAGAGCCGGTGGAATACAGAACTGGAGACACGGGCCGGTGCCGACAAATTTTGTTGAGACGGCACAAGCAACCGTGTCAAGGACGATATCCATTTCCGAGTGAATTTTTGAGAGTCTAGAATGATGTTTCCTGAACTTGTGAAGTTTTCATAAGCTGAACACCGTTGCACTAATTCACCCGTGAAGTGTTTGAATGTGTTGCAACAGCAACACTGACTACGTCCTGAGACCAAGCGTCACAGCTACTCTTCG